ACCAGTCAGAACAACAAGAATAAAAGAGAATCCAAAGAAATGAGGACAGTGTAAGCATTCTCTGGGACAACTTCAAGAGATCCAACATTCACATCACAGGGGTGCCAGAAGGAGAGGAGAAAGAGCAAGAAATTGGAAATCATCCTGGCTGGTGTGGCTGAGTGGGTTGAGTGCCAGCCTGAGAACCAAAACGTCGCTGGTTCGATTCCCAGTCAGGGCACATGCCTGGGTTGTGGGCCAGGTCCCCCGTAGGGGCACATGAGAGGCAACCACACACTGATGTTTCTCTCTCTTTCTCCCTCCCTTCCCCTCTGAAACTGAATAAATACAATCTTAAAAAAAAAAAAAAAGAAAAAGAAATTGGAAATCTATTTGAAAACTAGTGAAAGAAAACTTCCCTAATTTGGTGAAGGAAATAGACATTCAAGTCCAGAAAGCCCAGAGAGTCCCAAACAAGTTGGACCCAAACAGGCCCACCCCGAGACACATCATAATTAAAATGCCAAAGGTTACAGATAAAGAGACGGGAGGGGTGTGCAGGAATGGGTGAGAGGTGAGGGGATTAAGAAGTACTAATAGGTAGTTACAGAGTAGCCGTGGGGATGCAAAGTACAGCACAGGAAAAGAACTTTCCCATACTGCACCCCGCAGCCAAAGGACTTGCATGCATGGCCCATGAACACGAACACTGGTGGGGGGATTGCCTGCGGGACTGGGGGTTGCTGGGTGGAGGGGGGCGAAGGGGGAAAAACCAGGACAATTGCAATAGCATAATCAATAAAATGTAATTAAAGAAACTGGGGGACCCACGAGTGCATGAGGCCCACGGCTGGGGCCTCCCCGCACCTGGCGTGGGAGGGCCGCCTGGTCCCTGCCCCCCCGGCCCACGTGGTGCCAGTCTCCCCGGGCCTGGCCCGCAGGCAGAGCAAGAGCTTGGACATCTGCTGATTCCTTGCAAAGCCGAATGCTGTCCCGTGTCCCTTGGCCAGGGAATGAACGGCCTCCTTGTCGGCGCTCCTTGCCCACGTTCCGGCTACTCTTTCTGTGTGGCAGGGGCCCCCTACGCATTCTCAGTGTCACTCCTTTGCTCTGTGGGACGCTTTGGCTCCTACGATGTCCCAGTGTTCACTCAGTTTTACTGTCTTCGGTCCGTGCCAGCCCCCGAAGCGGAGCCCCGGAAGACCAGTTAGTTAGGCGGGGCGCAGGCCGGCGGAAGAGCTGGGCTGAGGGCAGGTGAGGACCAGGCCTGCCCTCTGGGGGGAAGCTGCAGGGGTCAGCAGTAGACCTCGGGGGGCCAGGTGGCTTTTGTCCTGGCCCAACCTCGTAGGGGACGGGCGGGTGGGAGGATGTCCCCACGCTCTGACCTGGTCCTGCCCGCTTCCCACACTGACCTTGCCCAGTCCTGCCCCGATGGACAGGGACACCTTCCTTGTGAGATCCCCGAATCCGCCCGCTGATTTGACAGCCCAGAGGCTGGAGCTCAGACAGGTGGAGCCGCCCAGCCCGAGGCCCACAGCTGCTGGGTAGCCGGCTGCACCCAGTGTGTCTGGCACCAGGCACGCCGCTCCCCGGCCCCGCCACCTGCTGCACCCCCGCACCGACCACAGGCTCCGCGGGCCCTGCAGGGGCAGCTGGGGCTCGGGCCAGGGAGGACCTCCGAGTGGTCCGTTAACGAACCCCTGTCCTCAGGCTCTGTCCTCGACCCTTCTCACTCAGGGATGACCTGGGATACAGGCGCCATCGGACTAGGGTTTGCAGACCCCCCCCCACCCCAGGCCCTCCCGTGCGTCCACGCCCAACACTCTTCCCCCCACCAAGAAGTGCCCACGCTCCCAGCCCCTCCGCCAGGTGCGGTGGGCCCCAGCCCTGCCGGCCTCCTCAAGGTCACTGCTGGCCTCCTCAAGGTCATTGCTCCAACAGGTCTTCCCTGCCTCATCAGCATTTTGTCCGCCAGTGGGCCACGTGCATGATCACACACGGCACGCTGCGCGCGCACACACGCACACACGCACGCACACGAGGCTGCCCACACCTGAAGGGCAGATGCCCTGGGCGTGCACGTGACACACAAACTGTGCACACAGGTGCACACGTGTGTGTCAGTCCCACTCTGGCATTCTCTAGCTGCCCAGACAGCCCTCCCCAGTGCCCGGCTCTCTCTGGAACCCAGGCCTGTCCAAAGAGCACCCCCCCCGCCCCGCATTCCCCGACCTTTGTAAAGGGCCCCGCGACCTACAAGTAGCCACATCCTCTTGAGCCCCGCTGGTGGCCCTTGTCCCGGATGACCGCCCACTCCTTCTCGGGACACCTTGGCTGCTGGGAACCCTGTGCTCTTGGGCTTCCCCGCCCTCTCCCAGCTCCCGCCCCCCCCGCCCCTTCTGGACCCCCAGGACCCCCAGGACCCCCAGGGCCCCAGGGCCCCAGGGCCCAGCTCCGGCCTCTGAGCCTGTGCTCCTCTGTCTCTCCGTGTCCTGCTTTCCGATGCGACCCCAGATGTTTCTCACCAGCCCCGGCTTCTCCCTCAACGCGGCCGACAGGCAACTTCACCAGCGCCCCCCCCTCCCCCTTCGCCCTTCCGGGCGCCCAGCCTGACCTGCAAGGCCTTCCGGGCCCGTCCTCTCCCTCGCACGCCCCGCCCAGGCGGTCAGCATCCCCACAGAGTTCAAGGGCTTCTCCTCGGCATCCTCCACACCACGCCCGGGAAAACCTAAGTCGGCCCACAGCGCCCCTCACTCCCAGGACCTCGCGCTGACCTGCAGGGCCCTCCTGTATTCGGCCCCACCCTTCACCCCTCCCCCATCTCTCTGACCTCACCGACCAGACCTCCCTACCTGGGCACACTCAGGTGTCCGCTTGGGCAAGATAAGCTCTCCCAGGAGAGCGGGGGAGCGTGTCTTCGGTCAGGTCCCAGCAGCGGCATGCCAGGGTCAAAGGTCAAACCCATATCTAGAAGGCGGAGCTAGTGAGCAGCCTCTGTTCCCTTGGGCATCAGGCCTGGGCAGGGTGGTGGTCCCCTCAAGGCCTCCCGGATCTCCCTGGGGGTCCTTCACTCCCACCCAACCTCCCTGAGGGAACCTGCGCACTTTACCCTGCACCCCCCACTCAACCCGGCACAGACCCCGCCACGCACCCCACGAGCTGTGGGCAGGGAGGCCGCGCACTTGCCGGGCACAGGGGACAGTCTGCACAGCGGGGGGGGGGGGCACTTCAGCAGAGACTGTGTGTGGCCCAGAGCGGCCCGGACCCCAGAGGGGGAGTCTCCAGGTGACCTAGGGTGAAGAGGACGAGCCGCCGAGAGGGAGGACTGCCGGCCGCCGCCGGGCCGGGGAGTGTGGCAGTGTCAGCGGCCCCCTGGGGGACGCCGGGGCCGGACGGGCGCGGGCACCTTCAGATTTCCCCGAGTGCTGTCTCTCACTTGGGGCCTCGGGACCCCAGGCACTGCGCAGGACACAGCTCACTGGCTGGCCTCCGGACCCCTCCGCTCCACGTGCTCGGGGCAGACCCAAGCCCCTCCCCCTGCGGGATTTCCCCCGACTGACCTCTGCCACCTCCCGCTGCCACTCGCAGACCTTTGCTCCAGCCGTGCCCTGGCCAAGGTGACCTCCCTCCCCACCTGGTCTTTCTGGCAAGGCCCATGTCCACTGCAGCCTTCCAGGTGGCAGAGGAGCGGGGTCAGAGTTGACTTTTGGGAAGAGGCTTTGGGGAACCCCAGCAAGGGGGGCACATGGAAGGGGCGAGGAGGAGGCCGCCAAGGGGTGGAGGGAGACCGGGCCAGAGGGCAGCTGCATCCCCTGCCTGGCACCTACAGTGATGACCTGTCACCCTCGTTCCACGGGCGGCCATGGACATGCCTAAGGTCCCCACTGCGGCCCTGCAGGACCAGCACCAGAGGAGCAGGGCGGCTGTGGCCTTGAGCTACAGGTCGTTTGCCCGAGCCACCACCTCCCTAGGAATGTCCCAGGGCCTGGTGCTCCTGCAGGGGCCAAGTGTCACCCCAAGGGCCTCCATGGGTCAGAGACCCCAGAACAGGACAGCCGCCAGGAAGTGTGGGGGCACTGACACCTGGAGAGGAGAAGACACTGATGCCAAAGTGATGCAGAAACGGAGCCCAGCCTGCCAGGTAAGTGCTCCCCGCAGTCCCCAACCCGGACCTGCGACCCAGGGCACCTGGTGGCTGTCGCCGGCCCTCTGAGGGAAGGTGTGGGTGGGCCTGCGAGGCCACAGTGCGCTGTGGTGATGCACACCTTGGGGCGGGGCTATCTGGTTGGTAACCTCTGATTTGTCCAAGCGACGCCCAAACTTTGTACCCCTTGTGGGGAGGCTGGGGCCCATCCCACCACCAATGGCTGCTCCTCATTTGGAGGGCACCTTCCCGAGCCCCAATTTCCGGGCAGGTGAACGGAGTGTCATGATTCCCAGCACCCATGTGACATGTGAAAATGAAGTGAAAGCAGGCACGCTCAGCACAGACTGCATACAGCAGGCGCTCATAACTTGCTGCCTGTAGCCATTCATCCATTCCCTAAGCTCCTCTGTTCCTATCCAGCGGGACAGAACGCGGGTCAGGGCCCTTAGGGGTCACAGCTCCTGCATTTCCACCCCTGCGTGTACAGGCTGTTTTCCCCAAGGTCACAGACGGTCAATGCAAAGGGGACCTGGAATACGACTCGGGGTGACAAGGAGAGGCCTGGTCCGCGGAGCCGGGGCGCCTACGAGCGCGCCCGGACTCTCACCCAGCGGCGGCGCGGCTGGCGGGGGTCCGACGCGCGCCCCCGCCCCTTGCCGCCCGCCACCCAGAGCCTTTCCTCGCCGCCGCCAGCGTTTCCGGAAGCCCCGCCCCCCCGGTGCGCCCTCAAGTTTCTCCTAACTTTTCCGCGGGTCCGGCTGGGCGCCCCGCCCTCCGGCAGGTGACGTAACAATGGTGCAGCACCGCGACCAATGGGCGGCGTCGGGGGCCGGCAGCGCGGGCCAATGGCGGTAGCGGACCGTCCCGCGGTCCTGCCCGGCCGGGGCCGCACTGCGCCGCCCGCCGCCCGCCCGCCGCCGGCGCCCGCACCGCCGCCCAGCGATCTGCTTGCGGCGGTTCAGAGCGCGGCTGCGGCGGGCGCGGGCGGCGGCGGCTCCTTCCCGTCAGTCCTGGGACCTTCGCCTCCGCGCCTACCCGCGGAGGGACAGCGCGCGCTTCCGCCCGCAGCGGGGGCGGGGACGTCAGACCCTCGGCCCCACGGCCCCCCACGGTGAGTCCCCCTCACCTAGCTCTCAGCCCCAGCCCTGGGCGCTCTCCCCTGGCCGCCGCCCCCCTCACGCCCCCTGGGCACCCGCACCCGCAGATGCAGCCCTCGTTACGCTCACTGCCAGCCCACAGAAACGCTGGCCTCGCTCCCGGCGACCCGAGGTCCCCCGTGCCTCCGGGAGGGGATCGGGAGGAGCGGCTCGGCGGCCCGGGGCGCGCCACCCAGCCCTCGCCAGCCCAACCCCCCGTCACCCAGCCGCGGCCGTGACTCAGTGCCCAGTGACGTGGGGCGGCCCAACTTTACGTAACCCTCCCGGCGCCCCACGATGTCCACACTGGGTACCCCTGGGGCGCGGAGGCCCAGGCGTGGGGGGCTGTTCCAGTCCCAGCACTCCCCAAAAGGGCGCTGTGCCTGCAGCCCGCTCCCACCGCGCCCACCTCTGTAACTTAGTCACCCAGACCCTTTGTGTCCGAGGACTTAGCCTCGAGAGAAAGCAGAGGGTACCTGGGGCCGTGGTCCGAGGCCAGGGCTCAGGTTGAGGGCAAGGTCTGGGCTCCCTGTGGGTTGGGAAACCCCAAGTGTGGAATGAGTCCAAAATGGGCGGCAGGAGATCCGGGTTGTAGGCCTGGCTTCACCCGGACTTGTGACTGATCTCGGACAAGCTTGTCCCTCGCTGGAAAGTGGGGTGACGGGCCTGCTTCGTCCAGTGGTGGGCAAGGTCGGGAGCCGTGGGCGACTCAGGACCTGCAGGCCGTGGTGTGCCGCACACCAGTCTCCGTGTTGCCTCCGCTCGCTTGCCAGCCTCCTCCCAGGAGCCGGAGGGATGTGGACATCATGTAAACATCCCACTTGGGGGGAAGGCTGGAGTCCCATCTCCACCCCCCACGCACCCTGCTGGGGTCACAGCCTGCATCCCCCTTCTTTCTTACAGATGGAGAAGCTCAGGCCCCGGGAAGGGTAGGCTCACGACTGCAGAACTAGGTGAGCTCCGAGCAGGAACCAGATGCCTGTGAGGCTAGAGTTCTGCCTCGGTCCTGCCTTGGGGGGAGACTCTAGGGGTCCCCACCCGTGGTCGAGGGTCAGAGAACTGGGTCAGGGTTAGGTAGGGCTGGGAACGGTATTTGTCGTGCAGAAAGGATTGGGCTCAGCGTGAGAGAGAGACGGCGGTGCAGTGTTCCTACCCCCTACCTGCCCTTTCCTCTAGTTGGGGTTGGGCGTGCCGGCCCAGGTGGGAGCAGGACCTCTTCCCCTGCTCTCTGGCTGGAGGGGCGTGGCCTCGTCAGTGGGTGGGGCTGGGGTGGGCTGTGGGGGAGTCTGGGAAGGGCCTGTCCAGAGAAGACGCCAGCGCAGCAAGAGTAAGGGTGTGGGAGGCAGTTCAGGGTCCGGGAGAGAAGGCAGCTGTGAGGAGTGACGGCAAGGGCCGGTCCGAAGCTGGAGGTAGGTACACGGTCCCTACGCACGGGGCCCTGTGAGGGAGGACCAGGAATCCCCTCTAAGGCCCCCGGGTTTCCCCCATTGAGCCCAGTGGTGGGGTCAGGGCCCAGACGCCTCGCCAGCCTCACCACGGTCCCCTCCGCCTGTAGGTGGAGCGCCCATGCCGTGAGGCCGGGAGTCGCCCCTCTGCCAGCATGCCGTGGGACGCTCAGCGGCCCGGGGGCGGTGCGATCGGTGGGCCCGAAGGCGGCAGCGCAGCACGCTCGCGGGCGCAGAAGCAGTGCCGGAAGTCCTCGTTCGCCTTCTACCAAGCAGTGCGCGACCTGCTACCCGTGTGGCTGCTGGAGGACATGCGCGCCAGCGAGGCCTTCCACTGGGACGAGCGCGGGCGCGCCACCGCCTACTCGCCGTCAGAGGCGCTGCTCTACGCGCTCGTGCACGACCACCAGGCCTATGCGCACTATCTGCTGGCCACGTACCCAAGGCGCGCGCTGGCCCTGCCCAGCGCCGGCTTCCGGTGCTGTGCTACGCCAGGGCCGCACGTGGCGCTGGCGGTGCGCTACAACCGCGTGGGCATCCTGCGCCGCATCCTGCGCACCGTGCGTGACTTTCCGGCAGAGGAGCGCACACGCCTGCTTGACCGACGTGGCTGCAGCCGTGTGGAGGGCGGCGGCACGTCCCTGCACATGGCCTGTGAGCTGGCACGCGCGGAGTGCCTCTTCCTGCTGCTTGGCCACGGCGCATCGCCTGCTCTGCGCGATGGCGGCGGCCTCACACCGCTGGAGCTGCTGCTGCGCCGGCTGGATCTTGACTCGGGGGCCACAGCTGCCCCTGGGGGTGTACCCACTGTACCTGGGGAGCCACGCCAGTGCCGCCTGCTGCTGCTCGACTTGCTGGTGCTGTATGCGCCTGAAGGCACCACCGGCCCGACCCGCCGCGAGCTGCTGGGTGACCGGCCACGCTGGCTGCGGCTTCTGGGCGAAGACAAGTTCCAGTGGCTAGCAGGCCTGGCGCCGCCCTCACTTTTCGTGCGCGCCATGCAGGTGCTGGTTGCATCCATCTCGCCCTGCCGCTTCCCCGAGGCCCTGGATGAGTTGCCGCTGCCGCCCTTCCTGCAGCCGCTGGACCTCACGGGCAAAGGCTAGCCCACGGGGCACCCTGAGCACTGGATTTTTGGAGAATACTATTTTTCAGAGCGTTGTACCTAGCACTTTACATATATTGATCTCTGTATATTGGAATCTCTTAATCTGTTGCGCGCATGGAGGGCGGGGCCGGGGAGGTCAGGTGGGCCCCGGCTGGAGGATCCCTGGGTCTGGCTGGGCCCCGTGCAAGAGCCAGAGCAGGGTTGAGGGGTCACATGGCTTCCAAGAGCCAGGCCTTGACTTCAGCTTCCTTCCCAGCTGGAGGAAGGAGTGCGGCGGGCAGGGGTGTGGACAGACGTGTCTAAGCAGGACCCCCAGCAGTGCCGAGGCATGAAGGCCAAGAGCGCCCCCTCAGGTCTAGGGGGGCCGTTGAGGCCCTCGTAGTGGCAGACCTTGAGGCCGCTGTGGCCCCTGGCCGGTAGGGGGCAGAAGGCTGCTGTGCTGCGGGGGGCCGGCGTGGTCGTGGCTAGGCCTCCTGGGCTCTCCTGTCCTGCACTGGTGCCTGCCCCTCCTTGGGTGTCAGTGTGACTGTCTCCGCCAAAGCTAGTCTACCCAGGCCCGGCCACCCCCTGTCACCCCCTTTGCTGTCTCCTGAGAATGAGCAGGCACCTAGCCCAGGGGCCCCAGGCCCCAGCTGGGCGCCCCCTCAGCTGGGGTTAGATGGGCCTTAGGCCCGCCCTCAGTGCGCCCTGGTCCTGCCCCCGTGGGTGTCAGACAGTGCTCATGGGTGGTGGGTGGTGAGTCACCCCGTGGGAAGCCCTCTTGTCCAGCCAGCAGAGCCAGTTTCTGCGGGAAGGTTCTGAAGGTGGAGACTGGTTAGCAGGCACATCGTGACCCTGTGGGATCGAGGGGTCCTGGTCGAGAAGCAGGGCCTGTGCCCGAGGAGCCTGGGGGCCGGGGACAGCGGCCAGGCTGCCCTGCCTGGGCGTTGCACTGGGCTGTGAAACCCAACCCGTGACCGCAGGGGCTGGAGGCCACAATGTCCTGCCAGGAGCAGGGAGCTAAAGGTCTGGGTGGTGAAGAGTGACCAGCCTGGCTGGGGTGCCCACTGCCCACCCCGCCCCCAGTGTCCCCGAGGGAGCATGCCCGGCCTGAGTGCCAGCGGGGCTCTGGGCGGTGACCCATAGGTGGGAGGGCACAGAGGGGCCTGGGTGGCAGGAAGGTCTTGCCTGGGGGGAGGGGGGAGGGCCTGGTTCTGGCCTGCACCTGCCGCCTACTCTCAGGGTGACCTGGAACAAACCCTTATCTGGGGCTTCCGTGTCTCCATGTTTTCAAAGGGGTTGGACCATTTCCAAGCTCCCTGCCTGCCTGGAAATGGCTGTGATCCGAGTCCCTGGGGGGCGTGGGGTGGTGGGTGCACAGCCCAGGGGCTGACTGTAGGTTCCAGGTGGGAGTGAGGGGCCCTCCCCTCCTGCATGCAGCGTGTCCTGGGCCAGTCAAATAGCTTCTCTGAGCTGTGGCTTTGGGGGCTGTGGACCCACATCTCCCAGCTCAAAACTTGGGGCATCGGGAGCCACTGGGTCTTCTGAGAGGCCCCAGGCCCTCCCAGCCAGGGCTGCCCTTGTGGGTGAGGGCTTCTTTGCTTTGGAGGAGACGGGGAGTGCCCAGAGCCTCAGGTCCCAGTGGCTGCAGAGGCGGGGCCTGGGGAGTGCTGGGGAGCCCTTGGAGCCCTGCCGCCGGTGCCTGGCGGAGGACCTGGGCCTGCAGACGGCTCATGTCTCCCCAGCCCCAGCCCTGCCCTGTGAGGCTGGCCCGGGGCCCAGGACCAGGTCCTGTTCCACTTCCCCTCCAGGCCTACAGCTGCCCCTTTGGTGACAACCTCCTCTGAGCTCCCCAGGCTGGGGACGGGGTGACGCTCGGGTTGGGGAGCTGCCCGGCCTGGAAGGGGGACAGGACACCTATTGTCAGGCAGGCAGGAGGTAGCGCTTGGGCTGGTTTCAGTAAAAGAAATTGCGGGCGCCATAGACGTGGGGAAGGTCAGGGCCGAAGAGGGGTGGTTTGGACGGGGGGGCGAGCGGGGGTCTGCACCATCACCCACTGGTCAACCTTGGGGCCATCTAAGGACCCCCTGGAGGGGCGAGAGGGCAGGAGGCTGGCAGTGGGCACATTAGCCCTTGACGCCCTCGCTGGGGAGGGTGGGACAGGTGGGGGAGGCTACAGGAGTCTGTGCTGCTGAGAGCTGCAGGGAAGGCCAGGGGGGACAGGGCCTGGCTGACGTCACAGCCCGGTGACAGCCGAGCAGGGCCTGACGCCTGGCGGGGCTCCCACTGGGCCTCTCTGGGGACTGGTGCCTGGCTCAGTGAGCGAGAGGTGCAGGGCGGATAAGAGTTATCTGGTGGCCACTGCTGGCCCAGAGAGGGAGGTGGGCCCCAGCTGGGCTTATCAGACTCCTGCGCCCTCTGGCCCCAGGAAGGGCAGCCAGCGTGGTCACCCTGGTGACCAGCATGGAGAACTGGGGACGCTGGAGTCGGCCAGGCCCAGCCCAGGGGCCCTTGGCAGACACCAGCTCAGGTCCTGGCCACTGGCAGGCAGCCTGGATGGCCCCGCAAAGGCCCCGCCCACAACAGGCCCACTTTTCTCTGTGGCGAAGCATGCAGGTCCCTCAGGCCTCTCAAAGGGAAACCGACAGTGGCCGGTACCGGCCACCCCACGCCCACCCGGAGGCCCACGAGCCCCAGCGTGCTAGGGCTCGGGCCAGAATCCGTACCCTAGACACCTACTGGTATCGTGACCTCATTCCCAGAGCTCAAAAGGGACACCACAGGACACTGTGTGCTGTCGCCACGGCCTGGGGGGTCCTTTGGTCCTGGCGAGGACCCTGTGCCCGGCCTCGCGGCGCCAACTTTACAGGACAGCCTCGCTCCGGGGTCACCTCGGTTTTCCCGCCGATTCCCCCCACTTTCTTCGCTCACTTCCCAGTCTCCTGTTGAGAGCAGGTTCCGGGCTGCCCCAAGTCCAGTGCAGAGCCAGGCGGCTTCCTGGGCCTCGGGAAGAGGCGACGGCCGCCAGAGGAGGCCTCGCTGGGTTTGGGCCCGTGTCAGGAGGACACAGGGACGGTGACCCGGCTGCCCCGCAGTGGCTGGGTCTGGCCACACTTTAAAACGCAGACCCAGCTGATGCGTGACAAATGCACAGACGTTGTGTGTGTAGTTTGAGGGGTTATGACAAGTGTGTACATGAGAGTGGCCACCAGCCCCATCGAGACAGAGGTGAAGAGGGAGACTTCTGCCCTGGGGGTGTTACAGACAATTCCGCGTACTGACCTCGGGGCCCGAGCAGCGCCCTCGGGCTGCCCAGAGGCCCCATGCGGACTGCGCAGCTCCTGCCCCCCGCCCCCCCCCCACCCCCCCGCCCACCCCCCTGCCTGCGCTCTGGTGCGCTCTCTCCCCGCTTTCCTATGTACACACAGACGTGTATTTTTCCTGCACGGCTTCTACATCCATGAGGTCACCACACAACTCAGCGCCTTTACACTTGCTGTCGTGTGCGCATCGCCGTGTGGTGAAACACGCCGTGAACGGTTTTAAAGAAGCTTTTGGTGACTGTTCTGTGATACCTGACACAGCTAGTGTCGTACCACAGAGTTGATGTTAGGGAGAGCCGAGCTTTTAAAATGCAAACTTTATTTTTGGAATAAATAATGCATTTACGTGGCTCAAAATTCACAGGATACAAAAAAGTACGTACTCCAGGCAACCCGTGTGACCGGCCGCTCGTGCGCTGAATGCGCTTCTTTCTGCGCCGCCCGCGCCCGGGACCCCGAACCGTCACGCCCACACCCTCCGCTCCCCCGTCTCCACGGTCGCCTCCGGAACCGGAACCGCGCCATCACCGCCACACCGGGAAAGTCCACCCTCCTGCCCTGGAGCCTGGGGGCAGACCGCCCAGCCGTGCTCGGGGAGCGCGGCGCGGCCCCTTCACGCGCCCGTCAGTCTCCGCGGTTCCCGAAGAGAAACGGGGTGCGCGCTCTCGAAGGCAGGGGTCGGGGGTGCAGCGCGTGGGTTGGAAGGTTTCGCTGCTACGGGACCCCCAGGGGCTTCCCCAGGACAGTGCCAGGCTGGGTCCCCACCCACCGCCCAGGGCCCTCCCGCAGCCGCACCCGGACCATGCACGTCTGAGGCTCTTCTCCTGGCGCGAACCGGCGCGAATCAGCGCCGCGGGCAGGCGCAAGGTCACCTCCCGCTCGGGGCGGGGTTTCCCCTCCCGGCTGTGTGTGCGCGGTCTGTAATCCGCAGCATCTGATGCTGAACAAAAACCTGCCGCCCTCCGGCTTGCCCCACCGCGTCCGTCCGCTGCAGAAAGCCCTGCCACCCAGAAACCCGGCAGCGTCCCCCCTCGGCCTCAGATCCCCAGCCTGTCGGATGTCTGTGTGTGCCGGTGACTGAGCGGCGGACACAGGGGCCATGGGGTCACACTCCCGTCCCCCACCTCCGATGCCGCCCACATCACACGGCCTCCCCAGGCCCGGCCAGGCTGCCCGGTGTCACCAGCCCTGCCGCCCAGGCTGGCCTCTAGCGTCACCCCTCCCCTGGGACCTGGAGAGCGTCGCACAGCACAGGTCGGAGCTCCCTGCGCCACCCCACGCGGGGTCCTGGGCTCTGAGTCTCCACAGGGCAAAGGGCATGGACCCTGGGGCCCCCGTGAGGACAGGAGGCTGTGTGTGAGTGCCCAGCAACACGTCCCCCACGGCCAGGCGGCACCGGTGGGACAGACACCATGTTCAGAGCCCCTGCCTGCCTGCCCCCAACGTGAAAGCCCCCGTGGGGACTCGGACAGGCCGGGTTAAACCCCTGCATCCCGTGGGAAAGGGCCGGGGTCTCTCGGGGAACCGACTCCTCCGTCGGGGTGTCGGACATCCTTCCTAGGCTTCGATCCAGGCCTTCCTGGACGTCTTCTGGAAAGCTCGGCCATTTCTTTTAAAACGTTTTTTTAAAAAACTGACTTTGAGAGAGAAACATTGGTTTGTTTTCCACTCACGCACTCACTGGTTGACTCTCGTATGTGTCCCGACTGGGGATCGAACCGCAACCTTGGTGCATGGGGATGACGCTCCAAACAGCTGAGCTGCCCCCCCAGGGTGGGGTGGGGCCACGTCCCGACCTGAGTGTGCCATTTCTTACTCGGCCGTTCCTGGGGACAGCTGTCCTGCTGTCACAGATGGGATCTTTCCCCGAATGCTGGGTTTCAGAGGGCACGTCTGACGTGTGGTTTTGTTTCTTGGAGGGCCCCTGGGGTTTGAACCCCTCCAAAGCCTGTTGGCAGTGGCCCAGCCTCAGTGGGCCCCAGGGGGGAAATGGCTCTGGTCTCTGCCTAGGACTGACCAGGGTGGACACCGGCCCCCGGGGTGACCCTGGCTGCAGGACTGCCCCCTTGGGCAGACCGGCGCCTATGCAAGCGTGGAGCAGGTCACGTGATCACACGCACTGCACTTTCCAGGCAGCGGGTCTGGTGGGTAGGTCCTTCCCAGACGGGCGGGCACGTCGGCCTCCACGAGTGCCCTCGGGGGGCACCTGGTCAGGGCTCGGAACAGTCTAGTTTATTGCACTGTCTCACAGCACAACTGAAAATTAAAACCAGCCCTGGCTGGTGGGGCTCAGGGGACTGAGCGCCAGCCTGCAAACCAAGGGGCCGCCAGTTCGATTCCTAGTCAGGGCACGTGCCTGGGTTGCGGGCCAGGTTTCCAGTGGGGGGTGTGCGAGAGGCAACCACACATTGATGTTTCTCTCCTTCCCTTCCCCCCTCTCTAAAAACAAATGAAGTCTTTTAAAAAACCCAGAAAGAAAACCGTACGCAGCACGCACTGGAGCTGACAGTGGTTTAGCCGCACTGAGCCACACACGGAGGCCCGGTGGGCTGGGGAGGGCTCGGCGCCGAGGGGTGGGCTGGGCACGCCACTTGCAGCCAACGAGCCACGGTCACCGGGGCCTCTGCTGTCCCCAGGCCGAGAGAGGGGGGTTCTGCCAAAAGGAGGCCAGCGTGTGGCCAAGTCTGGGGCCAGCATCTCGTCCTCCCTTAGCAGCCCTGGAAGACCCTGTCTTCAGGCGGCTGGTCCGTCACCGCCTGTGGCCTGCGGCCCGGGGGCTGACACCCCCGCTAAGGGAAGCAGCGGCCTCGCAGGGCTGGGCCCCGGGCGGGCTACGACACTGCGCACAGCGGCTTCCACGAGGGGGAGGGGGCTCAGGTGGGGGGTGCAGGCGAGGTGCAGCCGACCCAGGGACGGGCGTCTGGCGGGGCTGCAGCAGGCGCAGCTCCAACCTTGTGGGGGGGGGGGGGGTCAACCCAAGTGCCCGCGCTCGGTGCCGGGCTGCCAGTGGCAGGTCCTGCGACTGCCCCGCGAGTGGAGAACAGCAGGTGACGCCCCCCCCGGCCCCCCGTCTGGGAAGGTGCAGCCGAGGACGGTGCAGGCTCAGGACAAACTGGGGGAGGGACGAAAGGCCCGCCACCGGCTTCAGAAAACACATCTCTCCTACCCCCGTAACATCGGGTTTCTAATGAGGTATCTTACGCAGTCTGTACCACACCGAAGGGAGAAAGGCAACGGTTAGTAGGTTCAGGCTCTAAGGACGCCCCTGGTCTCCACGGTGCCCGCCGGTCACACGCCACACCGCCTCACGGGCACGCCTCCGTCCGCCAGCACGGCCACATCCCCCACGTCGGCTTCCTGCCGTCCCTGCCAGGGGACGCGCCCGCACGCCCGGGCCCGTGTCGCCCACCGGCCTGTGTGTGGTGGCGGAAGGGTGCTCCTGGCGGCGCGTGTGCCTGGCCTGGGCGTGCCGTGGTGTGTGCGGCGTGGTCCCCTTCCTGGCACGCCCGGCACCCACGTCTCAAACACGGCCCGGGGGCCCCGTGGGTGCCCGGCACGGAATGTGTGTGGGCCTGTGTCCCTCGCAGGAGGCGGTGGGCTGTCTCGGGGACACAGGCGGTGGCGGCAGAGCCCTGCCCTGGCTGACTCATGCTGCCCACGGACGGCTCGCCACACGGTCCCACAGGGGGAGCGGGCGTGGTCAGCGAGGGGAATGTGGCTGCAGCACAGGGGCCACTGCCCGCCCAGAGACGGCGGCCACTCCGGGCTCAGAGGCTGAGAGATGCAGAGGCGCAGCTGCTGCAGCAACAGCAGCGGTGACCGCCCGGCTGAGGCCGCGGGCGCTCAACGAGCCGGACGCGAACACGGATGAAAGTGAGTGTGGGCGTCCCCCGAGGCCGGACGTGTCTGGGCCCGAGCCGACGGGGCATGTCTGAGAGGGAGCTGTGCCCGTCCCGCCGCCTCCGCCCCGGGCGGCCCCGCCGCCGCCGCGCCTTCAGATGACCTCCCACTCGTCCTCCAGGTCCTCGGGGTGTGCGGCGGCGGCCGGGCCGCGCTGGGCGCCGTGCGAGTGGCTGAACGTCCTCGTCAGCCGCTGGAGGAGGTAGCCGGGGGGGCCGACTGCCCACAGCTCGTCTGATGAGGTCACTGCAGGGACAGGGACACACCCTCGTCAGCCACCCTGCCCGGGGGAGGGGGGGGGGAGGGCGCGGATGGGGCCTGGCGCCGGTCCTCATCCAGATGTGGCACTTCCCGGCTGGGGGCCTGGACACACTGCCCCGCCCTGTGCCCCCCTGGGCGACCCTGACGGCCCAGGTGCCCAGCCCCTCCCTCAGGTGTGACCCGGGGTGGGCTCCTGCGGGGAGGCTGAGCCTGTGGCAGTGGCCTGGGACAGCGCCGTGGGCGTGGCCCCAGGGGCCTGAGAACCCCTTGGAGCCCTCGCGGCCCAAAGCCCCGGCACCTGCCTGTGAGACACGTCGCACTCCCGGGGACCTTCTTCCAGTAGTCTCCGGCGGGGTTTTTGTCGGTGACGCCGTAGCGCCGGGCGAGGTCGCCGTTGGGGCAGCGGGCCCACACGGTCCGGCCGCTGAGCGCCAGCTGGCAGGCCTGCAGCCCTGAGGGCGGAAGGGCCTCCGTCTGCTCCGAGACTGTGGCGGCAGCGGGCCGCCCGCCCCCTCCCCACAGCCTGCGCCCGCCAGCCAGCGTGCCCCGTGGTGACAGGGTCCCGCCCAGGGCCGTGCCCGCAGGGGACCCCAGGGAAGGTGCCGGTGGCAGGGCTGGCGCAGCTGCCGAGAGCCCGAGGCTGCGGGGCAGAGGCCCCGGGTGGGGCAGGGGCAGCCGCGGTGCCCTGCCTTGGAGCGCCTGCCGGGCCTGCGCATGGTGGGCAGCGGCGGGGGGAGGGGGAGAGAAGACCACGCCACCCTGGCTGCCCAGCTGGGCAGAGGAGGGCCCCCGGGCCGCCCGCGAGGGGCGGTGCCGCGTGCTCGCGCGCCTCTACCTGGCACGTGCTCCCAGTCGGTGCCCACCGGCATCTCCTCGGTGATGCCCACGCGGACGTGCACGTTGCACCTGCTGTCCAGCGCCCACAGCATCTGGTCGTTGGGGCTGCAGTGGACGCTGACCAAGGTGAGCCCTGCAGGCTGGAAGTGGGCGAGAAGGGGAGGCGGGCGGGTTACTGCAGACGGAGCGAGGTCAAGTGCTGTGCAGAGGGAGGCTGGGGGCGCGGGTCGGGGGCTCCAGAGACTCTCAGCGCCGGCGGCTTGCTGGCGGCCAGCCTGCAGCCCCCGCCCACCCACGCCTCCCCCGCCCACCCCCCACCCGCCCGCCGGCCAGCAGGCACTCGGGCATCCGCTCTGTGCCCAGCATGGCGCCGGGGGTCAGCAGCCCGGTTCCTTGGTCCTGGGTTGTAAAGTCTGCCTGGAGGCAGACAGGCCCCTGCTCAGGCGGTCACGCACAGGCACACGGGCGCACACGGGGCCGCCGCTGGCAGGGCCACAGAGGCGGACGAGGTACCAAGGGCACATTAACTGGGCATCACACCCAGAGGCCAGGGGAGCTGCCTTGGATCCCACAGCCACACCGAGAACGCAGGGCGGACGGGAACGGCCGGGAGAGGAGGGAGGGATATGCCGGGGGTGGGGGGGGTGGGGGGGGCGGGGGGCGCGGAGCACGGCTGCCAAGCAGCAGGGCACACAGTGGCCCGCGTGGGCGGGTGGCTCTGAACCAGGGACGGCCCCTCGGGAGGCTGCGGAGGGCCTGCGGGGCCGGGGCACGGAGACGGGGGGCTCAGAGGGGGCCTGGAAGGGCGCCCAAGGCCCGAGGTCCACGGTGGGAACAGGACGCACGTGCGGGGGGGGGGGGTGCGGGGGGGCTGCAGGGGCAGGAGGGGGGCGACGTGGAGAAGACCGGGGTGGTGAGGCGGCGAAGGGCTCCACCAACACCGCTGCGCCTCTGCCACCCTTGTCGGGTCCCCGAGCCGTGGGCGCGACCCGGGAAATGTCGCTTCACAAACGTCCTCTGGGACAAGCCCCCGTGACCTCACTCCAGCGGCAAGCAGGGCAGAGGGGGCGAGGAGCCGCCGTCCGTGCAGGCCGCCCGGCGCGAGCACAGGCCGCTCTGAGGCACGATGCTCGTTCTCGCTGAACCCTAAGCCCCCCCGAGGAAGATGGGCCAAGAGGTTCCCAATCTCAGGGTCCTGGCACTCTCTCCGGACTGTCAAAGCGGCACATTCCGGGGCCGGGCCCAGCCCTGGTGCACCCGACTGCGGGGAGGCGGGGCCCCGACATGGCCCTTAGACCCGCACCCCAGTGTCCTGACTCTGGTGGGCTGCCCCTGAGGGCACCGCGCCCTCCCCTCCGTGAAGAAGCAGGCGGGGGGCCCCACGAGGTGGGCCCCACATTTGAGAGCGGTCACGCTGGCTGAAGAAGCCACAGCTGAGCCTCACACTGGCGTGGGACCACAGGGGCCCCGAGCGCCACGACAGTCCCGACAAAGAGCAAACCTGGAAGACTCACGCTCCCTGATTTCAGACGGTTTTGAAGCTGCCGTAGCCGAGTGGCGAGGCCCCGGACTGAAGACCCACGTGGAAGCCCGGGGAGCGGGACTGAGCGTCCAGACAGGAGCCCGCCCAGCTGCACGGAGTCTGACACGTTGTGGGGACCATGCCAGGAGCAGGGGGCAGTCCGCCCACCGGCGGTGCCACAGCACCTGCACGCCCACCCGCAGAGGCCCAGGCCGGACCCTCGCCCCTGCCCTGTCCAAGGTGACTGAACCAACATCATGGGACAAAGACGACTGCAAGAGCGAGACCCGACAACGCTGTCTTAGATGTGACCCCAAGGCACACGCAACGCAGAGAAAAAGACACTGTGAACCTCATCGAAAAGGGTAACTTCCTCCCCTGAACGGTCACAGCAGAGGAAGGGCAGGGACGGCCCGAGGACTGGAAGGGCGGGTTTCCAGGCCCGGCATCTAAGGATCTGGCACCCGAGTAAACAAGGACCTTCTGAACCCCGGCCACCGGACTGCTAAGACAGCGAAGGACTGGAGGAGACCTCTCTCCGAAGACAGGCCAGTGCCGACGGGCACAGGAGGAGGCGCCGGGCGCCATTCCTCCGCCACTAGGAAGCGCACCCCAGAACCACCGGCAAGCACCACTGGGAACACGGTAAGTCACGGAGCGGACTCGGGAAAGAGGACCCTCACGCACGGCTGGGGCGAATGTGGGGTGGGGCAGCTGCGTGCAGAGGGGCCTGCAGGTCCCCACGGGAGAAGCCGAGGGGCCCTGTGACCAGCTAGCCCACTCCTGGGTACACACCAGAGCCACACGGACACTGCATGGATGTCACGGTGGAGACGGTCTTCACGGTAGCCCGAAAAGTAGCAATAGCCCGAGAGCCCCGGCGGCTGCCGCGTGGGCACCCAGACGCAGCGCGCCCGTGCGCAGGCGCAGCTCGCAGACAGCGCAGGTCCGCGCTCGGCCACCGCCACGGTGCGGCGGCTGTGGTGATAAACAGAGCTGCGTGAACATTTTGGTTTCCCAATGCACATACAGGTTATGTTTACACCTCACTGTGGTCTCTCACGGGTGTAATGGCATCGTGTCTAAAAAAATAACAAGTGAAAACAACAAAAAAACAACATTCATACCTTAATGAAAAAATACTAGCCCTGGCTGCCGTAGCTCAGTGGATTGAGCGCGGGCTGCGAACCAAAGTGTCACAGGTTCGATTCCCAGCCAGGGCACATGCCTGGGTTGCAGGCCACGGCCCCCAGCAACCACACATGGATGTTTCTCTCTCTCTCTCTTTCTCCCTCCCTTTCCTCTCTAAAAATAAATAAATAAAATCTTAAAAAAGAAACAAAACTTCACAGCTTAGCAATGCTGGCCACCGCCCGAGCCCCCGGCGGGTCTGACCGCATTGCGGGGAGGCGGCCTGCCGCCCTGCGGACAACACGCAGCAGCTGCAAAGCGCCAGGCACCCGGGTCTGCCTGTGGCGGAGTCGCGCTCAGCGGCGGAAAGGAGTGCGGGACAAGCCCCCGAAACACGACACAACGTGGCAGCGGCCAGCCTCAGCAGGCCACGTGCTCTGTGGCTCCAGTTACCGGACTTGCCCGGGAGGGAAATCCGTGGGCGGAGGCGGAATGGAGGTGGCTGGGGGCTGGGGGTTGGGGGGAGTGACCGCTGGGCACAGGGCTTCCTCTGGGGGCCACGGGGATGTCCGGGAACTAGGGGTGACGAGGGCTGAGCCACACCGTGAGGGGACTGAATGCCACTGCCGGTCACAGGAAGGTGACAGGCCTTGCTTGTGACAGTGTGCTGCTGTGCAGGGTGTCGTCGTCATGGGAACTGGGTAAAGGGTGCACGGGACGTTACTTCTTGTAAGTAAATGGGCAATTGTCTCTAAAATTTCAATTAAAAAAGGCAGCGGCCTGAAATTTTGGCTTGTTCATACTCAAAACTTCATAAAAAAAGAAGGATGTGACTTATGCAATGAAGTAAATAAGGTATTTAGGATTTAAAAATCACTTGCAGCCCTGGCTGGTGTGGCTCAGTGGATTGAGCGCCGGTCCGTGAACCGAAGGGTCGCCGGTTCGACTCCCAGTCAGGGCACGTGCCTGGGCTGCAGGCCAGGTTCCCAGTCGGGGGGCGTGTGAGAGGCAACCCCACATCAATGTTTCTCTTTCTCTCTCCCTTCCCTTCTAAAAGTACAAATAAACACGATCTTAGAAAAGTAAAGCAGCAGTAAATTCTCAGAGCCAGGGGGCCTGGAAACCTTTTCTCTACTCGGCCTGTAACCGCGGCCGATGCCCTCCCCCAGGCTGTGTGTCCCCCCCCGAGGCTGTGTGTCCCCCCCCAGAGGTGACCCAGATGACCTTCCAGCCACTCTGACGGAGCTCCCCCCCACACCCGGGGGCACGGGTTCAGGCTGCCCCTCCTGCTGTGCAGACCGTCTGGGGCCGAGAGCCCCGGCTCTGGGGGCGGCCCGCGTCCCCGGGGGCAGCTCTGCGACCGCTGGCTGAGCGCGTCTGGCTCAAGTACGGCTTTACGTGGGGGGTGAGTTCGGCTCAGAATGCTGGGAAACCCAGACCCGGCTGCGCGAGGCCCCCACGCCGGGTCTGGGTAGGAGAAGCTCCCCGCCGCCCGCCCGCCGAGCCCCCGCGTCGGGTCTGAGGTGCCGCACTGTCGCGTCGCCGGATACAGGTGAAGCAGCTGAATTTAAAACCACCTTTCAAACGTTAGCCTGGCTATCTGCAGGCACAGCTGTCTTGGTCTTGGAGCCAGCCCACACAGGGAGGGGCGGCCGGAGCCTCCCACCGCGGGAGGCCCGGGTGCCGGGGGGGGGGGGGGGGGATCCCTGTGGAAGAGGAGGCGGGGCCCACTGGGGTGCAGCCGCCGGAGCACCCGCTGGACCCCTTTCCCTTCCGCGTGCGCCGTGCAAGCAGCACCGGGAAACCGAGTCAACTGTGCTGCTGGCTCCGGAGCCAATTTCATTGCACACAGAAAGTTCAGCAACTGATGAAGCGAACTCCAAAAAAAGATGCTAAACACAACTATAAATATTTTCTCCACATCCTTCTAAATGTTAGCAAGCCTGAAAACTGAGTCATTTGTTTTGAATGCTTCGTTAAAATGCACCCCAAGACTCCCAGAGGGGGAGGTTCAACCAGAGATGAGAACAGGAAACAGAAACGGAGCAACTGTGACTGCTCTGGAAGAGGGGGGTGAGCTTGACGGGTGGCTCACAACGCCGTGCCCTGTGGCCCCCCGTCCCCCCGTCCCCTCGTCCCAAGTGCAGCCGCGTCCGGCACGCGGCCCAGGACGCTCCGGCGAAGAGCGAGTCTAGCCAGCGTGCACGGAGGGCGGGGGGGTGAGTGACTGGCGGCCCCACTGCCGGGCGCGTCCTCCCAGGACTCACTCCAGCTTCATCGTCGGGGCAGTTCTGTGCTAAACCCCTGCGGGTGCATGAGGTCGCCGGCTCCGCTCCGCAGCCCGCCGGAGACAGTGCTGCTGAACGTCACACCTGGCCTCCGCCCTGGAGCACAGCCTCCAGGCCCTTCCTGGATGGGATGTGCTCCCTTCGGGCCACGTCCGGGGGCGAAGTGCTCCCACCCCTCTCAGCAGCTCTCTCCAGCGCAGCCCCCACCCCCAGTGCCCCTCCCCAGAGGTCGTGCGAGACTCTCAGAGAGGAAGGGGCACGCACGGCCCCAGTCTGCGACGCAGCCCGGCGGCAGAGCGGGGGCTGCAGGGCACAGCAGAGGCTGCCCGGCCCGGCCACCGCCACGTGCTCAGCAGCGCCCTTCCCCCCCACGGTCCTGCGCCCCTCGTCCAGCCGGCGGCCCCTTCTGACCCTGGCGTGGCTCCGTGCTGGGACCCTGCCCGCTGTCCCTGCAGGCCCTCCGCAGGGCGCGGCCGAGGTGACGAACACGACGGGGGCGTCGGAGGGGTCACCGGCGGGCGGAGGGCTGTGCGGCAGGAGGGCACGGAAGGGACGGACCGAAGTGGAAGCAGAGGAGACGGGGAGGGCAGAGAGAGGGGGGCAGAGCGACAGAACCAAAGGACAGATTCTGAGAAGGTGGGCAGAACTGTCCACCCTGCAGCTAGATTAACTGAGAAAAAGAGAGAGGAGACTCGGATTACTAGAACCAGAAAAAAAGAGCCACGCCCCTGCCAACCTTACAGAAAGGAAAGGGGCTGCAGGGGACAGGGAAAACCGGGTGCCACACCGATGAAACGACAAACGCCCGGGAAGACGGGCACTGTTCGCACTGCAGCAGGAAGAAAAAACAGAAAGTTCCGAACAGAGCTAAAACACAGACTGAGTCAGTAACAAACAAACAAACAAACAAAAAAACCCAAAAAAACCCACAAAGAAAAGCCCCGGCCTGCACTGACAAGTTCTAACGAACACGTAAGGAACGGCTGGCACCAGCCCCTCAGAAGCTCCTCCGGAAAATGTATGAGACGAAGACCCCATCGGCTCGTCTGAAAGGCCGGTGCGGCCCTGACACCGAGCCGGACGGGCGCGCGACAGGCCGGGCAGAGCAGAGGCCGCCCGTGCCCGCCCTCGCCAACGCGGACACGGGAACCGCCAAGGAAGCGCCGCCGGCCAAGCCGGCGACACCCACACGGGACCCGTCGGGTCTGCCCCAGGCGTGCGCGGTGGCCCGGCACACCAAGCCCGTCATGTCATGCGTCATGTCAGCAGAGCAAAACCCGCACGATCCTCTCAACAGACGAAGAAAAAGCACTTGGCCAAACCCAACACCCTCTCACGACAGCAAACATTCACCACGCTGGGGACAGAGGGGCCTCCCTCAACGTGCAGAAGAGCAGCGGCAAAGATGTTTCTCCCCCTCTCGTCCTCCCTGCCTTCCCCGCTCGCTCTTTAGGAGAACAAGCAAACAAAGCAACCCCACAGCTAAGAATAGCGCACTTCACGGTGAAACCCAGCACGCCTTCCCCTGAGATCAGGAGCAAGACGGGACGCCCCGCTGGCCAGCCCTTCGGCGGCGTGCGCGGGGCTCCCTCCGGGGCGAGGAGGCGAGACAGCGGGCTCGAGGGCGCCGGGCGGGAAGGGAGCAAGTACAATCGCCTCTGTCTGCAGGCACGACCTTGTATGCAGAACACCGTGGAGAACCTACAAAAACGTTGTCGGAACTAATGAACAAGTTGACCGAGGCTTCCAGACACAAGGTCAATACACAAAACTCACACCAGCAAGTAACAGTCCGGAGATGGGACTAAGGAGACGACTCCGTGCGCAGCAGCCTCCAGAAGAATAAAAACGCCAGGAGTGACTTGAACCGAAGTAACACAGAGGTACACCCTGGAAACTGTGACACTGCCGGACGGGGTAACAGACCGGCCGCCAGGAGGCAGACACACCCCTGCTCCTGGCCGGGAAGACCCCCACAGCGGCGAGGGGCAGAGCGCCCCCTGGTGGACCGGCAGATTCAGCGCGATTCCCATCCAAGTCCCAAGTGCCTTTTTTCTTTTTTTGCAGAAATTGGCAAACTGATCCTAAAATCCACACGGATATTAGACAGATACAGAATAGCCAAAACAATCTTGGAAACAAATCGCTTCCTAATTTCAAAATCAACGACGAAGTTACGTGACCAGATATGTGGCGTAGGGACAGACACACCTGCTGACCACCGGACGGAGCCAGGAGCTCAGTGACGAGTCCTCACACGTACGGTCGGTTGGTGTCAGCCCGCTGCCCAGACAACGTACGGGGGAAAGAACAGTTATTTCTGTAAATGGTGCTGGTGTAACTGGACACCCGCCTGTACGAGGATGGATTTGGACAACTTTCTCACACCACATACAGAAACTAACTCGAAATGAATCAAACATCTAAATGTAAGTGGAAACTACAAAATTAGAAGAAAAGCTAAGCGTGATTTTTCTTGACCTAGGATTAAGCAACGGTTCTTAGCACGCCCAAAGCATTACAACGAAATAAAAACAGATTAATAAGCCATCATCAAACTAAAACCTTGGTGCTGCCTGGTGTGGCTCAGTGGGTTGGGCACCACCCCACAAAGCGAAAGGTCGTTGGTTCAATTCCCAGTCAGGGCACATGCCTGGGTTGCGGGTTCGATCCCTGGTGAGGACACGTACAAGAAGCAACTGATGGATGTTCCCCTCCCTCCTCCCCCCACTTCCCCTCTCTCTAAAACTAAACAGATACATCTTAAATAGAAAAGTTAAACACACCGTCGCCATTCCAGCCTGCAGTTCCGCTCACAGGTACACGCCCAAGAGAACGGAAAACGCACGTCCACAGAGAGCACACACGAATGCTGGCAGCAGCACTGCTCAGAGCCGCCGGGAAGCAGGACACCCCCGGGGCCCACCGGCCGACGAGCAGACACTCGCCACGGGACCTGCACTCGCCACGGGACCCGTGCACGCGGCGGAGCGCCGCTCGGCGACAGAGGGGACGGAGCGCCCACGCGTGCCGCCTGCGGACCGCAGACTCAGAAAACGCGCTCGGCCAGGGACGGCGGGCAAGGCCGCGACGCGGTGCGTGAGCCCATCCACAGGAGGCGGGGTCGCGCAGACGCCGGGACGCGCAGACACGGGGAGCAGGTCCGTGCTGCCGCAGGCCGAGGGGCGGGTGTTCTCGGGGAAGGGAGTGGGGACCCGGGTCCCGGGGAAAGCCCCGGGCCGGGCGGCAGCGAGGGTGCAGGACCCGTCGGTGCATGACAACCCACGAGAGGCGCTCTGTGAAAGGGCAGAGCAAGGGACAACTGTCGGAAGGGAAGAGGAGGAAGGGGCTGGCCGCGGTGCGCCGGGGAGTCGGGTGACGGGAGGGGCCTCGCGAAGGAGCCGGAGTGCGTCCACTTGCCTCTCCTGGCCGCCGCGGGCCACCGCGCTCGGGACGCCAGCTGCACGGCCGTCGTGTGCGTGGGCGCGGGGCGCCCCGTGTGCGGAGGGAGTGTGAGCGTGCGTCCCGGAACCCCGTGTCTGCACAGCGCTCTCTGCTCACGCAGCGTCACCCGCAGAGCTGCACTCGCTCCCCCCCACCCCGGAGCCCTGCCGGGGGGGGGGGGGCATGCGGAGGCTCCCTGCACCCGCGGCCCCCCACCAGTGGCCTGAAAGGTCTCCAGACCGGCCGGTTCTGCTGTCCGGCCTCCCGGCACATGCCTCAGGTCCGAGGGCAGGACCGCTGGTCCTCATGTCTGGCCCTGCACCACCCCGCCCCCCGACCTCTGCTGCCCCATCCCTGAGGGCTACCATGCCCAAAATGTACGCGGCAGTGACCACGGGCCTGTACTCCCACCCTCGGTTCCCTTCTGGCACCACGAAAGCATTATTTTGTCCGAAGGCAACCCACTCCTGCCCTCTGCCGCCTCTGCCTGTGGCAGCTCCGTGTTCTACCCAACAGGAAGTCCCACGAGCAGGACGGCGGCCTCCCTGTCACAAACGTCAGCAGAGACACACTCAGCACAGCAACCCGGCCTGTCAGGTTGTTTTTAAGGGGTTGCCTCTCGTGCGCCCCCACCTGGGGACCTGGCCCACCACCCAGGCATGTGTCCCAACCGGTAATCGAACCGGCGACCTTTCAGTCTGCAGGCTGACGCTCAATCCACTGAGCCACACCAGCCAGGGCCCATTAGACCCTCAAGGGCGATTCGACAGTGCTCTGAAGTCGGACTTCTTCTGACCCAGTGGCGGAACAGTCAAGAGCGCAAGAAAACATTTAGATACGCTGTAGGACCTCCAGTCAAGATGGCGGCGTAGGTACACACAGCTCACTGCCTCCCAAGACCATACACAAATTACAGCTGAACCACAACACCGCCATTCAGAGCCATCAGACATCCTGCAGCCGTGGAACTGCAAGAGACCGACCACAGGACGAAAGAAGAGACCCCAGCGAGACTGGCAGGACGGGGGGAGACGCAAACCGGGCTGGTCCTACACCCGCGTGCGGCGGACAGAAGACACCGCAAATCGGAATGGGACGCCGGGGACACCAGGGAAGAGAATTCCTGAATAAACCCGGAGAGGCACTCACAAGACGCCGACACTAATAGGCTACGTCCACGACAAGGCTTTAAGTAGCCTTTACTTACTTTCTTCTCTATGCTTTTTGACAGAGTTAAAGAAATAAGGCTCACTCTGTAAAAAGAAATAAAATTTTTGGGGAGGGTGCAGAATTCAGGGCTGGCTGAGATAATTTTAACAATCTGTGCAGCTCTAAACTTCACAGACGGCAGATCCTAAGTTTGGGGGGCCGCAGAACAGCCCCCCTTGTTCGCGGACACACGCCCCGCCCCCTCTGCTGGGAGCCCCCCCCCCCCGCCCCCGCACAGCTGTGGTGCTTCTCCCGGCAGCTGCATCTGGGCAGCCCCCGTGGCCCCGCACTCACCTGGATGGGCGGCTCGATCGTTATCCAGGCCGGGAGCATGAGGTTGGGGTTCAGAGGCTGGGTCCCCACGCGGAAGTACACGCCTCCCCTGGAGTCGCAGGCCCACACGTGTTGGCTCCCACACGCCAGGCCTGTCAGCCTCACGGCTCCTGCGGGCGAGGGAGGGAGGGGGAGGCACAGACACGGTCACCGCCGGGAAGTGGCGGACCCCTCACCGAAACCCAGCAACGCACGCTGGCCCCTGCGGAGGGAGGGACGAGGAGAGTGGCCGGGGCCTCTGGCCGCCCTGCCACCTGCCGCGGGCCAGGAAGCGCCCGTGTCACCGAGCTCGGGGACGGGCATCCCCACGGGGGCCGCGCAGACCCTGACGACCACCAGCGGATTCTGGACTGGGGGAGGGAGGCGGAGGAAAACCCCTTCACAGGCAACCTTGACCCTGACCGGAATTGAGGGGAACTAAGGGAGCCTCCCGAATCTTTGCTTTCCTGTTCGCATCACTCCGTGCCGACCACGCTGACTCTGAGAGGAAGGGAAGTGGGAGGAGCTGTTCCGAGAGGAGAGCGCGGCGGCCACTACCGGCCAGCCGCTGTGGGACGGCCAGGCTGGGTCCGCACGAGGCCGTCGAGATGCAGGCGGGCAGCCACTCGCCCAAGGCTCCCCGGCATGCAGGCGGCGAAGCCAAGAGGCCGCGGGCGAGCTAAGGGCGGCGGCCAGCCCAGCCCGGCTTGTCTGCCTCAGCCACCTCGCTCGCTGGGCTCTGCCGAACTGCGTGCCTGGCAACCTGCCCTGGAGAGTGCCCGCGGACCCCTCCGGCCACCCCCTGGGCTCCTGGCAGCGCAGTGAGTCCGGCCCGGTTAGACGTCCGTCCACAGAAGCAGTCCCAGGGATGCCCTCTGGGTGCAGCTCCGTTGCTCACTGTCGCTGCTTCCGGGCCGAGGGCACTCACTCCGCGGCACCGACACCGCGGCACCGACACCGCGGCGAGTTCATCCGCCCGACTTCTGCCACCAGCGGCAGAGCTGCGACAGCCGTTCCTGGGGAAGACTTCCCGGGGACACGTGCTCCTTCTCTTGAACAACACCGAGGAGTGGGCCTGCTGGGCCACAGGCCGGTGCACGTTCACCTTTCTGCGGCACCGCCGGGGTCCCCAGCGGTCCAGGACCCTCACCGGCATCGCGCTTCGGCGCCATCTGTGCCAGCTGTTCTGGCAGGTGCGAGGCGGTGACCTCTCGGGCATTTCCCGGACAGCGCATGGCGCTGAGAATCTCTCCACGTGCTCACAGGACACCTGCGCACCGCGCCCTGTGAGGGGCGGGGCGGGTCTCCCGCGCGTCTTCAAGCGGCACGCGGCGCCTCCTGACGGCCGGGCCAGCGGACGGCTCGCCAGAGCTGCGCGCTGGGGAAGGGGGTGCGGCTGGGCTTGCTGGCTGTGCTGTTCTGGGCCACCCGGCCCCGGTGACACGGCATCAGGGGACAGACCGCGTGTCCGCACCCACAGGCACGGATCCTGCCGTGTGGCCATCCTGTCCCGTGCCATCAGCACGGGACCAGCTCAGACGTGCCAACGCCGGCCGCACGGAAGGGCCCGGCACCGCTCTGGGCACTGCCTGAGGCCGGGGTTCCGACCCTGAAACACCTGCGTGCTCCCCCCTTACTCTTCTGCAGGGCGTCTCACCGGGGCTTCAGACGGACTCCCCAGGTCTCTACTCTGCATGTTAGAAGACTTGTACCAATCAGAAGAGAGCAGCTTCGGCGGGGAGCCCCAGGAACAGCTGAGAAACGGGCTGACTGAAGAGTAACTGCAGGTGGGAGCCTCGCCCGCGGCAGCGCCCGTGAAGAGCCACGTGGCCGCTCTGACGAGCGGGGACGGTGCCACTGCTGGGACACGGTGTTCCCGCCACAAGAAGAACATCCTTTTATTTTAAAGATTTTATTTATTTACTTTTAGACAGAGGGGGGGACCCCGACTGGGAATCGAACTGGTGACCTTTAGGTTCACAGTCCAGAGCTCAATCCACCGAGCCACACCAGCCAGGGCAGGACGTCCGTTCCTTTAGAGCAAATACAAAGGGCTGCTGGAACGTCAACAGCCGGCCCTGGACGGAGGAGGCAGGTCGAAGAAGAACGCGGCCCAGTTAGGGCTTTTCCGCGCCTCCTGCCTCGCTGCCTGGTGTCCCAGGGAGGCACCGGTCTAGACAGGAGGTGAGGCCACTGCCGTCCCCAGACACGCCGTGGCTCCCCCAGTCCCTCGGCGAGGCAGGGTCCCCGTCTGGCCAACGGGCCGTGGGCAGGAGTGGCCTGCCCCTTCTGAACTGAAGCACGAGACGGCTGGCCCAGGGCCTCTCAGCCGTCCCCGCTGCAGGGACCAGGACGCCGGTGCCAGAGCTCCACCGTGGGCTCTGCTGCCGCGCAGGGGACGCGGGTTCTGAAAGACCGACAGGGGAGGGCCAGGCCGGGGGAGAGGAGGGCGGTGTGCGCCGTCGGGTCTCGGAGGGTGGGCTCGCCCCGCCACGGGCCCAGCGACCGGGCCCACAGCAACTTGCCTGCCGCTTTCCCTCCCGTTAAAAATGTTCGTTATTCTACTCAACACGTCAGACACCTTCCCCGGAGGAACAGTGGCGTCTCTTTGGCGTTTCACTACCTATAAAACACTCTTCTGCGTAAGTTACCGCCTATCACAGTCCTGTCATCACCTGCAGGCGTGACCCGCCACCGAGTACGTCCGCACCCCTGAGACCCGGTGAGCTGTCCCCACAGAGCACTCACCGGCTGAGCCGCCCAGCGCCCGCGTGACGCCCGCTGACGCCCGCGTGCGTGCCAGGGCATCGTAAACGCCCGCAAGTGACGCAACTCTCCTTCCGAAAACCAGGACTGTGCCGACTCACAGCTTCCGCACCGTCTCTGTGCCTGGGCTTAACGGCGAGGTGATCAGGAGTCTCAGCTCCGAGCGGTCACCGGCGTGGCAGTCCGTACAGGGCAGAGTGGAGGGATGCCGCGTCTTCGAGAAGAGACTGAAGGTAGGAATTGTGTTCGTGACTTGACGCTTCGCTAGAGCCATCCTTGAAAATGCAACTTCTGTTTGCAAGAAGACCAGTGACGTTCCAGACTTCACAGCGACCTTGTGCTGCCCAAGGTCAATGCCAGCAGGAGGCAGCCGGGCTCACGTTGTGGGCACCAGGAAGACAGACCCTCGCTTGAATGTTTTCAAGGTCGGAACGCCTGCACCGAGCCAGGACCGAGAGGGGAAGGGGCGGAGCACACCTCCGGACCGCTCCGAAGAACCCGGCGCCGCCGGCCTCCCGCCCCGGCCAGGCTGGGGGCTGCCAACGCATCGGGTGCGGCAGCGCCTCGACCCTGCGTGCCGGGCAGCTTTACCTGTGATCAGCAGCGCCAGGGGTGAAACCCCCGTGCCGGGTTGCTGAGAAGTGGAGCTGCACTCGACGACAACTGCCCCTGACAGCTCACCTTCCTGAAGGGCCGGGATGTGGCCGAGCACGGGGTCCCTGCCCAGAGCCCCCCCCTCCGGGTGCGGACCTCCGGAGTCCGACGGAAACGCCCGCTGAGAGCACGCGCGCAGTGCGCAGGGGACAGAGTGTGCTCGGCCAGTGGAGGACCAACCGCTCCTACAGGTGCGCTGTAGGACGCCGGGCCTTGCTGGACGAAGACGGGAGACACGTCTGCACGGCGCCCTGGAGGCACCGCACGGGCAGGCCCAGCTGCACGGGCGAGTGGCCCCTGGCAGCCGGAGACGCAGCCGGGCTGCCGGGAAGGAGGCAGACGGCACGCCCCCGTCGCTCCCTTCTCTCGTCCCCCACCCCGCCCCCGCCTCTTCTGTGTGCGTGTCAGTGCGTGTGGTTGTGTTCCCAAACACCAAACGCTGGTACAGGCAAAGCTACTGGCTGTCAGCTGACCAACGCGAGACACCGTATGGCAGCCGGAACCTCCGTTAGGGGTCACGTCTGGACGCGGCGCGGAGGCCGTCACGACGCACGAGAGGCATACCTAGCTGGGACAGGTCCAGCCGCGTCCAGTGCATGCCGGTGGGGCAGCTCCTGGACAGCGTCCTGATGAACACCTGGCCCAGGCTGTCCAGCGCCCACAGAGCGTCCTGGCAGGCGGCGTAGGCCCTCATCTCGGCGTCGGGCGGCAGCTGCAGCGTGGACGGGCGGGACTCGGGGTGCTGGGCGCTGACGCTGCACAGGTCCTTGCTGCCCTGGCACAGCCACAGGGCGCTGCCTGCGGAGGAAGGCGCAGGGGTCATGGGCGGAGGCACCGCGCAGCCTCCGCCTTCAGGCGGCTGACCCGAGGTCCCGCGCTCGCGCACGCACTCACCGCACACTCGCTCACGCACACTCACCGCACGCTCACTCACGCACACTCACCGCACACTCGTTCACGCACACTCACCGCACACTCGTTCACGCACACTCACCGCACACTCGTTCACGCACACTCACTGCACGCTCACTCACGCACACTCACCGCACACTCGCTCACGGTGCGCTCGCAGAAGCGCTGTGTGCCGTGAGTTACAGCCGGGGGACGCCCTGTGACTCAGCATGGCGAGGTGTCGGAACGAGGTGAGATCGCACGAGGCCACGTGCTGGCCTGGCGCTCCGACCTGGGGTGTGCTATGGCAGCCGGGGATCTCTCGCTCGGAGAGTTTCATCAGCACTCGGAGGGAGGGGGTCAGCAGGGCCGCTCAGACGCGGCGCCGCGGTGCCCGCCACCCTGCTGCGGTGGGTGAGGGCGGGCCTGCGCGCCAGGGAGATGCCGGGCGAGGCTCTTCCCATCCCTCCGCCAGTTTTGGGGCCCTTTGGTTTGTAGCTTCGGCTTAAAACGCAAACAGCCCTGGGGGAAGCTAAAACCCGGGTCGCAGGCATCATCTAAAACACCATCTAAAACCTGCGGCTGGGCGGCTGTGGAGTTCACCGTGTCTTTGGACGCGGACAACCTGTGGCGGCGGGCAGGCAGGTTTCTCCGCCCCGGCCCCAGGGAGCTGCTGCCCCGGGGAAGTGCAGCGCTGGCTGCAGTCCGAGTGTGGTCAGCGGTCAGTGGTCTCGGTCAGCCGTCAGGCCGGGTGTTGCTGCCGAATGGGTCTCTGCCAAACTCAGGAGCGCGCCTCTGTTTCCGGGGCTCACGGGTTTCAGAGCCGGGGTCAGATCAACCCGGTGCAAAAGCGTTTCACCGTCCTGACCACGTCCCCCACTTCCGGGGTGCAGAGGCTTGAGCGAAACGACCGTGTCCCCAGAACCGCATGCGGCACGACAGCCCCTCGATCAACCTCGATGCAGCCCGGGGCAGCTTCAGCTCCTTCCCAGGGGCCCCCCCGACTGCCCACACCCTGGCTCCAAGCCCCAGGCTGCGGGAGGGGCTGAGCTCTGGCGGTGGAGGGGGCTCTGCCACCGCAGGGGACGTCTGCCCTGACGGGTCGTGCTCGCGGGGCGCGGGCCGGCCAGAGGCCGTGGGCGGGCAGGCGCACAGGGACTGCTGGGAGGCGGCCGGATCCACGGGAGGCAACGGGACGGTGCCCGAGGAAGCCCCGGGGCGCCCTGGCGGCTGTGCTGTGGCCTGCGGCCCAGTGCCGTGTCGCTGGCGTCGCCGGCCGCCAGCCCTAGCGGCTGCCCCACGTGCTCCCCACCTTCAGGACGCTCCACTGCTCTGGACCCCTCCCTCCTGGTCAGGCCTGTCCAGCCTCGGGGGCCCTCGGCTCAGCCCACCAGGGTCAGCCGCCTGTGACGCCACCCCCCACTCGGAGCAGGCCACAGCAGACCGTGGGGTCCGGGCCACCGCGTTTCCCCACCCACCTTCCTTGGTGGGCGAAGCAGAGGCCAGCACGAAGGCCCATCTCGTCGCAGAGGCTGTGCCGCGGGGAACCACGCTGTTCCAGTAGGTGCCTGGACGGAGACAGACGGGGCGCGTCAGAGAGAGAAGGGGGAGCCCCACCTCGGGGCGTCAGTCCCGGCCTGCAGCTGGTCCTCCGCAGCTGCCGGCCAGCACCGCGAGGGCCAGGCCCCTCTCCGCTCCCAGCAACAGGCCGAGCCACAGCCTTGCCCGGGCCAGGAAGCCACGGGGGTGGGGGAGGAGAGCTGCGGGAAGGCCAAGGCCACAGAGCAGAGCAGGGCTCCGTTCACAGGGCGGAGCCCGGCCGGTGCGCGCCTGCCTCTGCAGACCTGGCCGGGCTTTGCACTTCGACAGCGCGACACGTTTCCTCTAGGAAACAGACTGTTCTCTCTCCTGGGCCCTTCAGACTCGGGTGGATCTTTCTCATTTAAACGTAAAACTGTTTTAAGGTAAAACTGAGCTCCGTCTGCTTTACATCACGCCAGGTTCCCGGTGGAACGTGCTCACAGGCGGTGGGTCACACGCTGGGACCCACGGTGCGGCAGTGACGGATGGGGGGAGCGGCACACGGCGGCCACTCCTGCCCCCGGCAGGGGCCTCTCCCTCCCCCTCCCCTCGGGCGGGCGGGGAGCCGAGTCCTTCCCATCCCCGCCCGGCCCTCCCTCCGGGAGCTGCCTGTCGAGCCCCCGCAAGACTGGAAGGGGCTCACCCACCGACGAGACTTCCTTTGGCGACGTGCAGCTCGTTCTTGCCTGAGGAGATCCAGACGCCGCTGTTGTTGACCCCCAGCAGGCTGGGCTGGCACTGCAGCTGCTGCGACCAGAACGCCGTGCGCAATCTGTCTGCCACCTTTTCCACGGGCGCCTGGGCCGCCGTGGCCACGGAGTGGGTGGCGTGCATTATGGTCTGGAACAGGCTGCACTGGTCGAACACCACGTAGTCGGTGATGCTCACCTGCAGGGGCACGGTGGGCGCCGGCCGTCAGGGCGCCCGGGGAACACGAGCCCTGCTCGCCGGTGTCCGGGGGAGCCGCTGCCCTCGCCGAGGCTCCGGCGGGGGCTTCACGTGTCGGGACCCTGAGGCCCGGCTGCGGGGCCCACGGGGCGCTGGGCCTTGGCACCTGCCCACCGTTCCGACCGCCCCGGGGGCCCCCTTTGCCCAGGTGGGCACGCTGCCGAGGCCCCGCGGGCATCTGCGCCTGACGCGGCCCCACACCCCGGTCCGCAGAGCAGCAGGACGCGAGTGTGAGTGAAGGCAGGCCGGCAGCCCAGCGGGACACTGGCCCCACGCGCTGACTGTCCAGACGCAGCCTCACGGCGACCAAAGGCACGGCCTTCGAGCGCCCCAAGGACGGGTCTGTGGGTTCAGCTTCTCCAGAGGCGACGTTCTGAGCAGGAGGAACTGCTCTCTGGTCCTCTTGGGCTGCTGGGAAACAGAGCCCGGCCCCGCACACACGCACACGAGCACGTAAGGCCACAGCACACGGTGACAAGCATGGAGAAGGTGCATTAACGTCGTTCGCGTGGCTTTCCGAGCAGCACCTGTGCGGTCAGGCAGAGGTGCGGGTGCACACACGCTTGGCACACACGCTTACTCACGCAGGAGCAAACACGCCTCGTTTCTGCCACCCCCACCGCAGGGGCACCAAGGCAGGGCCACGGGCGGTGAGGCCCGAGCCCGCGGGGACAGCACGGCAGAGCTGCTGCACGTCCCACCGCTGCTGCCGGGGGTCCGTGCGCCCTCCCCGGCCCCCGGGGGCCTGAGGGCTCCAGCCGCACTGGCCCCAAAGTGGGGGCAGGAGACCCTCCTCTGAAAAGGCGTTCTGGCCACTCTGCCTGGCACCGAGTCACGGAGAGGCGGCGTGATGACCCCTTTTCACTTCCCGAAGCCCCCCCCTCCCGCGGCTGGGGGACACCCTCTCCTCTCTGCCGGAACCCCACCCGCGCAGAGGCTCCCTGAACACGCGGCCATGCGTGAGCTTTCACTGTGGGTTGAGTTTCCCAAAGCTGCTGTCTAGTCTCCTTTCTCAGCACGTTCGCTCAGAGTGAAACGTCACTGCCACCCAGGCCCTCCAGCGGGTGTCCCGGGTCCACCGGGCGTGACAGGTCCCTGGACGGCCCCTAAGTGAGTGAGCAGGGCCCGCGCATCCAGGCACAGGGAGCGCCCTCCGAGTTACTGCCTGAGACGCACCGCCCCCGGCGCCTCCCGCGTGTGGGCTGGGGCCCAGCGGAGTCTGCCTGCCGAGCGGGAAAAGTGCCTGCTGCCACTGAGCCCCACCCGCCCGAGCTCTTCCGGGGAAGGGGGGCCCAAAGGGGGAGGCCCCGCAGCACGTGCCCCGCAGCACGGCACCCACCTGCCACCAGTGCTCGTCGTCCCCCTGGGGCCTCTTGGGCACGATGCCGGTCCGGAACCACAGGCTCCCGTGGATGTCCAGCGCCCACAGAGTCTGCTGGTCCCCGAGGGCTATGCAGACGGGCTCCAGAGCCTGCCGTTCACTGCGGGCAGAGAAGGACGGGGGTCGGCACTGACCGTCGGGGCCCCACCCACCAGGCCCGAGGATGGAAGCCTGAGTTCTGAGTTAGACTGCTGGGCAACATGAATTGTTCAAAAGTGTCCTAGCTTCTGAGAGACACACTGAAGACCCAGAACGATAGGGAACGCTCCTGGGAGAACATAACCTGAGAAAAAAGGGAGTGGCCCCGCCCCGCCCCTGCACCGGTGCGCCAGGCCGTGCCAGGACGCGGCAGCTGAGCACACGCTCCCCCCCCACCCAGCGCCACCTCACCCTCTCCCAGGCTCGGTGGGGGTGCCCCCCGCACGGTGCCCTCCCGGCCACGGCAGGTGGAGCCCGGGCGCCCTCAGGGCTGCGTGCTGCGGCCCTGGTTCGGGACCGCCTGCGCTCGTCAGCGCCGGGCAGTTCCCGCGGCTCCCTCAGGCCGGGAGCTCCGTGAGGCCGGGGCGGGGGCCCGGGCACGTCCACACACACGGCCCGGCCACGCGGGCCCCCACAGGCGCCCGCTCACGTTTCCTGGGCCGCTGAGTGCAAGCCAGCGTCCTAACCACATTTTTCTGCAAGAACTCTCGAGAGTTCCACCTCAGCAAAATGATTCGGTGGTAGTTCTGTCATTAGAGTTCTGAGTGATACAATGGAACCAAGTTACAGTTCAGAGATCGATTTCAGTCGACCAGGATGATGACAAAGAAGCCGATCTGGCTCTGAACCACCTGAGGTTCCAAACCAAAACTGCCCGGCAGGGGCAGGTCGGAACAGAGACCTGCGGGAGGGGCTTGGGACCCAACGGTGTTCGCGGTGACGCCCAGGGCGGCGGCGCTTCACCGACCCCACACCCAGCGTGCCGGCCAGAGGGGGACAGCGGGCGCGCCCAAGGCCAGGCCGCTCACAGGGGCTCGGACCCTGCAGGGACACCTCACCACGGCCTCCGCCCAGGAAAAGCCGCCCCCCCCGGGGCCCCGAGGGGGTCCAGCCGAGGAAAAGCAGACGGCGGGACAACCCAGACGCTGCAGGTGTGTGCGCCCTCCCGTCGGTACCTGACGATGTCGCACTTCCACTGCTCCCCTTCGGGGCAGAAGCTGCTCACGCCCTCGCGGTACAGCAGGGCCCTCTGCTCGGTCAGCGCCCACACCACGCCGTCGCGGGCCACCACCTGGGACAGCGGGCACGGGCAGTCGACCCTCACGGCCCTGGCGCAGGGGCGGTCCACGCTGAGACCTGCCGGGGAGACGGGCAGCTAGTCCCCAGGGACATGTGGTCGGGTCTCACGCCTCGTTTTTATGGTGTGCTTACTTCTCTTCTTTGGTGCTTTGCTATGGTCTTCTGTAGTAAGTACTTTTAAAAACGTTTCGTCAATCACCAGAGGGGAGGGGGTCGGGGAGGTAGATGAGGGTGCGGGGGGGCGGGATAAATGGGGAGGAAGGAGATTTACGTGGGGGTGGCGAACACACAGCACCACATGCAGATGACGTGTTACAGACTGTGCACCGGAGACCTGTATACCTTTATCAACTTACGTTGCCCCAACACATTCAACAGAAAAGGGAAAGGGAGGTATGGCCTACCTACAACGGCTAAACTAGGCTTCAAGACAACATTCAGCTGACACATTTTCAGACGCCCTTTGAACCCCGAGAGGCCGTGCGCCAGAGGGAACGCCCGGCCTCCGCACCGGTGTATGCGGGCCCGCGCCGCTCCTCCGGCCCACGGCTGCTCGCACGGAGGGGCCTCATCACTACGGGAGCCCTTCCCATGAGCCCTTGGGGCCTCGGTGCGGGCAGTGGGGTCCAGCTGCCGCCAGGTAGCAGGAGCCCGAACCCTGAACTCCCTGACCCCCGTGCAGGGTGCCTTCCCTGCCCCCGGCAGCCCCCGGCCAGCGGCCTGCAAGGCTACTCCCGGGCAGCTGGCAGAACAGCCGTTGCCCAAACCCGCACGCCGTGGCCTTGGGTGGGTGCCTGACTGGTCTCACACACACACACACACACACGCACACACACGTGCACACCCTGTGGAGTCGCAGGCCGTGGCGTGCACTTCCTCCCACCAGCCAGGCAGGGCTCACGGGCAGGACTTCCTACACTGCGAACCCTCGGGCCGGCCCCAAGACACTCAGCCAGTGGGTCTGCGTGGAGCACCCCTCCACGCAGGGGCTCGTCCAACACCCCTGGCCGGGCGACTCCTAGGGCACTGCTGGGAGGCACCCGCTCCTCACCCCAGGCCAGAAGCCCCCCGTTTTCCTGCCACAGCAGACTCAAACGCCCCAGAGCTGTTCCCACCTGAGGGGAGACCAGGGCCGCCCACCGCCCAGGACCCGGCGAGGCTGCCCGGGGCTCAGGCAGGAGCTTCTGGAGGGGCCGGCCCTCCCACCGCTGGGGGCCGTGCCGGTGGGCCGGGCTCGGGCCCTCGGGAGTCAGCCCGAGAGCTCACGGCAGGTGAGAAAACACTCGGCAGCAACAGCAGCGTGGGGTGTGGGAGGAGTGGTCTTCGTGCCGACCTCAGACGGTCTCCTGAAAACCGGAAGAGAGTTCCGGCCCCACAGCCCCCCTAGACCCTCGGGCCCCCACTGCTGGGGACGCTCGCCCCACACCCCTGCCAGCACGCAGGCGCGGCCCTCGGCATAGTCTATCGTTGACAAACTGGTCCCACTGGTCTCCTCCAGCCGCCAAGGCTCCCCCTCAGGGCCATCTCCCAGGACAAACTGAACCGCTATGTAGAGCAAATTATTTCTCGCTGCTTCTCCTGACCCACATGTAAACAAGTGTAGAGCAGCGCGTTCCGGCCAGGCCACAGGGAAACGGTGCTGGCGTCCCCTCTGTCCCCCCTTCCTCCCGGGACCTGGCCCCGCAGGACACCTGGCCCGCGGCGGTTCCCGTCCACGCCTCACTAGGTAGCCTGCTCCCCCCGGCCCTGGCTGTGTCCGGGGCTGGGTGTGAAGTGCCAGCAGGAAACTGCCAATGCGTTCCAACGACAAGTCTTCTCTTTCCAGAACTGTGCTGACTTAGGCTGATCTCAGCCTCTCGGGCACCGTGGCTGTTCCAGCCAAGCCAGGCGCAGAAAGACCCAGTCCTGCCAGCCCCGCCAGCCCCCGAGCGCTGCAGCCTCGTTACCTGTCTGCAGGTACAGGTCTCCGTTGGTCCTGATGACCCAGGCGGTGTCGTCACTCAGCGCCACGAACACGGCCTGGGGCAGCGCCTCGTACCAGTGCCGCTTGCCCTTGATGGTCACTTTGCCACACGCGAAGGCTCGGTTCGACTTCTGCTCGATCTTCCAGAGGAGGGCCCCTGCGCAGACAGAAGCCCGTCAGCGACGCAGACACACACACGGCTCTGGGGGCCGCGGGGAGAGGGCCGCGCAAACACTGCCCCTGCTGGCGGAGGGGCCCTGTGGCGCCCAGGTCTGACCCTTGCGCCGACACCTGCCGGCTGTGCGGCTCCCGGCATCATGTCACTGAACACTTCTGAGCCTCGTTCCCTCACCTGGGAAATGCAGGTGACAGCACACCCACGGCCCAGAGCCGGGCCCCTCACAGGCGGGGGGACGTGGGCAGGAGCAGGGCCGGCGTCCTCGGGTTTGCCGAGACGAGTCCCAGGCAACACCGGGAGGCATGGTCAGTGTCCTAGGACAGCTGAGGGTCCCCCGGGGCCTCCAGGTGGGGGCGCTCCTGGGCCGGCTACAGGGACCAGATGCGTGAAAAGGAAGCACCTGAGCTGGGCTGGGCTTTTTTCACTCAGAAAGGGATTCTGGTAAATAGCAAAAAAGAAGGGGCAGGGCGGAGGAAGGGAAGACAGGAGGGCGCTCCACAGGTGGAGGTGCGGCACCGCCGGGCACGGAGGGGGTCACCGGGGGCGCAGGCGGGTCAGAGGGCGGGGAGGAAGCCTGAGAGACACCACGCCTGCAGGGCGTCCCAGGTGCCGGGCTCTGGTGCTCACTGGAGACAAGGCCCTGAGGCATCTCAGCCCGAACCACCAACCCGGGGCAGACAGCTCTCCCTAGACACAGCAAGGAGGACTGAACTGTTTCCAAAACACACGGTGACCAATGTAATCAGGACGAACCACAGTTTCTACACGGATGGAGATGTGGACCCAAAGGTAAATGAACAAAAAAGGGTTAAAACCCACCATCCTACAACGCCGGGTAATGGGGTAGGTTGTTATTACCTATCAGTCTCTAAGGGAAAACACTCTTCAAACAAGCCGAGAGAGCAGACCAAGCTGCCCCGCCCACTCCTATATTAAACAGCAACGGAGACCAGGGGGAGCTGGGGGTGCCCAGGGGGACCAGCTCGCAGGGCACCGGCCCGGGTCACAGACGCAGCTCTGACCGACTTCCCTCCCGATGCTCCGGCAATGCGCCGGGCACTGCAGGGCAGACACGCGGAGGGCACGCTTGTCCCACGCGCGCACCGCCCAGCCTGGGGAAGGGCGTCTCAGCCAGGCAGCCTCACTCAGCAACGGCCTCCGCGAAGCCAACGCCGCTTCTCTGCACTGTCGGGGGCCGCCCCCCACTCAGGCAGAGGACACCCCCACGCTGGCTCGCCCAAAACCCGTCTCTGGAGAGGACACCGGGCAGCCCGGACGCACCCGGCATGCGCTCGGCCAGCTCCCTGCGTGCGGCCGCTGTGCAGCCGCACCGAGAAACAGAAACGCGATTCATTTTTATACGGAGTGTGTTAACAGCTGCAACTAGCAAACAGTCAAAAGCTCCAACGCTCACTAACACTACTGACATCAGACGAAGCAATTCGCAATTCACGTTTGGAGAAAACCCCTCACACCTGCGGGCCAAGGCAAGTCTGCTGAGGGGCAGAGGCCCCTGGGGCGGGGGCTGGGGGCGGGGGCTGGGGCGGGGCGAGGGCGAACCTGAGGGCGAGACCGCCACCTGCTGGACGGCATCTTCAAACTTCTGCCAGCGCAGCCCGGCGCCCGGCAAGGCGCTGCAGAAGAGGCCGCCCTTGTAGTCCAGGCACCAGATGTACTTCTCGGAGACCACCAGGCTGAGGATGCCGTGGCCGGGGCCAGAGTAGCCCATCCAGCTCTCTGCAAACTAAGGACAGAGCCCCGTGAGGTCCGTGGCGGACGGCGTGGCTGCGTGTGCTGCGCTGTGGTCAACAGGAAGGCCCACAGGCTGTTGTTGAACGCAGGGAGGCGGGGGCCTCTGAGGAGCCCGCAGAGACCGCCCCCGCTACCTCCCGGGCAGGGCTGCGGGAGGCGGGCAGGGCTGCGGGAGGCGTCGGACCCCGCAGCTGCCGCCCCGCCTGTCACGTCCTTCCCAAAGTCACGCCGACGCTCACGGGCGGGGCTCCGCACCGCAGGTACGGCTCACCCCAAGACGTGTTCTGTGCGTGAGTGCCCTGCCGCCGGGGCAGGGGAAGCTGCTCTGCCGCTGCCTGTGTGCGCGGCGTGTGCGCTGAGCACACTTGCGAACCCTCCCAATCGTCACCCTCCAGGCCCAGGGTTGTGAGACCCGGCCAGGACACGCTGCCGGGCTGGATTTTGTAAACTAGGGTTTACTTGCTAGGGTTCTTTCAAACACCAAAACTAAATAAAGCCTTGGCTCTTCTGCAAAAGAAATCAACACATCTGCCCAGCTGCCCCCAGTGGAAGCTCGCTGCTTGGAAGGGGGCTCTGCTCACCACGACCAGCCTCATCTGACGCCCACCCACCTCCCCCGCTGGCTGGGCTTTCCAGCCCCCCGAGGGGCGCGGGGGAGGCCGGGTGGGCCGACCTGGGTGGGCGTCTCTGCCGAGGCCGCCCCGCCGTCCTGCACTTTGCTCCCCACCGTCCCCGAGCCCCACTCAGCCGGACGACCCGACACTGACGCCCACGACCGGCTGCCCCGTGCACGGTGGCGTCCCCGCGGCCGGGGCCCTCAAGAAAGGGTGAGCACACGCACGAGTGGTGCGGGCAGGCCTCGGGCGTTCCGGCACAAAGCAAGTGCGCCTCGTGGCTGTTTCTGAGGCAGGACAGCTCGGAGGCCGAGGGGCCCTGGGGCCGCCTTGCCCTGCGCTTGCTGCGTGTGGCCCCTCCGCCTGCGGGTCTCGGTCCCCTGCTCTGTGGAGCGGGCGACAACAGCACGACCCTCCTGGTTGCTCGGTTTCATAGAAGGGAACGGGCCGAACTCGGGGAGTGCTGGGCACGGCCCTGCCCACAGCCGGAGCCGCCACACGCCACCGTCCGGGGCACCGGGAAGCCAGTGGGTGCGCAGGGAAAGCACAGGCGGCTGAGAGTGCGGCTGGGACTCCGCACGGCGCATCCACTCGCGCAGCCGCTGGGCGGGGAAGTTCCAACACGCGGCTCATGCTCCCCCACGTCCCTCCAGCAGTGCTCGCCTGCTAAGGAGAGTGCGCGCTAGCTAAAAACCACTTTTTTATCTAAAACGACCCCGGACAGTCAATAACTGACTTCCAGCGGTGCAGACCGGCCCCTGGGAGCCTGCACCCACACCGAAGGTGGAGGAGACAGCCAGGGGGAAGGCTCCTTCCTGCTGCCGTCCGGTGCGCACACCCGTCTGAAGGGGCAGCGAGGACCGTCCCTGCCCCCCGCCTGCCCAGAGCCCCCCACCGCCCACCAGGTCCTCTGCCCACTGGCGTTGGAATGGCCCCAGGCGGTTCACCCTGCGGAGGCGACCGGCACTCAGTGCCCTGCTGGGCGGGCCGCTGAAGCAGCGGTTACGGAGCAGGGGTGACGAGGGCTCAGCACAGATCCAGGCCATTCACGGAAACGCCCCCCACCCGGACTTCAGCACGTTCAGCCCGCAGGTTTCGCAGTGGAAACAGAACTTCCTTCCATGAGAAGGAAAACCGCCGGCCTGCCAGCGACCTTCCTGGACAAAGAAGCCCACCCACCTGGTCGGCCTTCAGCAGCCCGGCGTCCTCCGGGGCCGGCTGGCCCGGGTCCTGCAGGGAGCGGCTGCCCCCGAGCTCCGCCACGCTGGTCTCCGAGGACGAGGAGGGCAGCCCACGGCCGTAGATGTCCTCCTCGTCGCTGGACGTCAGCGCCTGGTCTCGCCAAGGGTGCTCGGGGCGAGGCTCACGGGTGCTGGCCGCCAAGGCAGAGGCTGGGGCCGTTCCTCGCCCGCCCCCGCTCCCCAAGTCACACTCGGACGCAGCCCCCGCGCTCTGGCCCGTGTCACTGCCAACAGCCTCGCGCCAGGGCCCGGAGCCCAGGCGGCCAGCAGCCTCCGCGTGCAGCAGGAGGCCCTGCTCTCGGCCGGTCTCCTCGGCGCGGCCCCGGGCGGCCCCGGGCTCCAGCGGCCACCCCTCGGCGCCGGGAGCCCAGCTGAGGCTGGAGGGCGCTGGGGGCAAGTCCAGGGGGGGGGCCTCACACAGCGTGCTTCGGGGGGGCTCAGGCTCCAGGCCCCCCTCCTCCGGGGCCTCAGCAGAGCTATCCTGTTCTGGGCCAGGCGACCGCCTGCTACTGGGTCCGTCGTCCGCAGGACAAGGCTCCTCCTTGGGTGCTGCGACGCCACCACCCTCCGCGTCTTCCCTCGGCCGCAGCGGCAAACTCAGCACCTCACCGTGGGGCTCCATCTCGCCTGCCTGGTCCCACCGCGGGGTTTCCAGTCTGGTGTCGTCTTTACTGAGCACGTCAGGGCCGGGCTCAGGCAACTCCAGGACACTAAACGCTTCCGGGTCACTACTGTCCTGCAGGACACCGTTCACGTCCGCGCTGAGGTTGCTCTCCAGGTCGGGGGACTCGGTGCTCAGCTGGCCCAGACTCGAGGTCGCAGACGGCAGGTCTGCGCTCAAGGCCTGGGGGCTGTCGCCGGGACACTCGCCGCAGGGAGTCGACTCCAGGGAGCTGGGCCAGGTGTCACTGCCCCCGCCTTCTGTTTTAAAACAAGAGCGTTCACAACGGGGTGTGACTCTACACAGAGGTACGCGTTAAAAACCAAAATTTTGGCTTAAAAGATACATTTTCAATAAATGAAAAGTACATCTTAAACTGGCAAAGAATACATTTCTTAAGTACAAATTATGCCAACACAGGGATGTTTCAAATGGATGCAAATATTCTACACACAATGGGCGCTGAGGCCTCACTCACAAAATATTAACTCAGAAAATAAAGAACATGCCCTGGCTGGTGTGGCTCAGTGGGCTGAGCGCCAGCCTGCGAACCAGAGGGTCGCCAGTTCAATTCCCCGTCAGGAGACGTGCCCAGGTTGCAGGCCAGGTCCCCAGTGGGGGGCGTGCGAGAGGCAGCCACACATTGATGTTTCTCTCCCTCTCTTCTTCCCTCCCTTCTCATCTCTCTAAAAATAAGTAAATAAAAGTAAATAAATAAAATGTTTAAAAAATAAAAGACAAACTACACACTTTTTTAAGTTATTAAAATGCTTAGGAATATGATAACAATGCCCTCCGATACTACAGTGATCTTCAGCCAAGAGCTAGATGGGCACCGTGGAGTAGGAAGTTCAAGGGTTCAATGTCAAATCCCGATCTGGTAACAAACACACCCGCAGTTGAGACAAAGCGACTCATCCTGACAACCGGCGACAAACTGGTCTCCGGGGCCTTCTGCACAGGGTCACGACATCTGCGGCCTAGCAACTGGTGCACACGGACGAACCAGCACTGTAAGGGCCGACCAGTGTCCCCACCCCAGGCCCCTTGGGCGGCTGGCGAGCACACGGGTGCGCAGCGTTCCGTGGGCCCCAGGGTGCACAGAGCGCGCAGCCCGTGGGGGGCGGGAACGCGGTGCTCTCCGCTGCCCCCGAGGGCAGCGCCCACGGAGCGGGACGCGGCACCCCCGGGCTGCCGGGGGTGGGAGGCGCCAGCGTGCCCCTTGCTGTCGACCTGACGTACCTGCCCTCTTCTTCCTCTTCTTCTTCCTCACTTTGAGAGGCTTCACCACGAGCTCCTGGTCAAAGTCCTCCGAGCTGATGACACTGAACCTCTGGGAGGTGGGCGGGCTGCCCCCGCCGAGCTCCGCGGCCGCCTGGGGCCCAGAGCCGCTGTCCGTGGAATTGAGCGAGCTGCTCCTGCTCCTGGGCTCGCTGGCCGCGGAGCTGGCCACGGAGGCGCCTCTGAGCCTCGCCTCGCCGGCCGCGGCCCCCGGCGGCGGCCTCTCTGCACGCTGTGCGGGGACTTGCTCCGCGCATCCTGGTGTCTCCGGACCGTCTCGCGCTGCGGAAGAAGAGTCAGCTTTACCTGTCTCTCCGAGAGAGAGTCGGCATTCCCTGACGCCAGCCTGCCCTGCACACCAGCCCGCTGAATTCTGGGCAACGCGCAACACTCAGACTCGCCCGCAGACTCCAACCGCTGGGTTCTGCTCCCCAGGGAGCACAAAGAGCATCAGCACACTGGGTCAGAGTCAGCACCCCAAGCCACCGCAGCTGTCCTGCAGCTGGAGGAGGAGGAGGGGCACTGAACAGGAGGGGGACACCAGCACCCACGGAGCACCCCTCATGCTGACTCACAGACGACTTACACGGGAGGGAGGCTCGTCTCAAAAGGGGCTTACTGCCGTCTCACAGGCACCCAAGGCCTTGAGTACACTTTAACACAACACTACTCAGTGGACATTCGAAAAGTATTTCACCCTGGCTGGTGTGGCTCAGTGGATTGAGTGCCGGCCTGTGAAGCAAGGGGTTGCTGGTTTGGTTCCCAGGCAGGGCACAGGCCTGGGTTGTGGGCCAGGTCCCCAGTAGGGAGCAAGCAAGAGGCAACCACACATTGTTCTTTCTCCCTTCCTTGCCCCTCTCTAAAACTAGATAAATAAAATCTTTAAAAAAATATATATGTATGAGAGCTGTCCAGAAAGTGTCCAGCCATGTACTATGAAAAATGGAGAAATTTACTGAAGAAGATGCAAGATACAAGAAACACTGCAAACAGGATAATGATGCCTCAGTCCCCTTCAAAGGAGGCACCTTGGGACCTCTCACAGTTCTCTCAGTTGCCATCAGCTGCCCTGTTGTATTTTCATGAATCTCATCAATGGTCTGAAATCTCTTCCCTTGCAGAGGGGATTTTAGACTTTATTTTTGGGGAAAGGCAGAAGTTGCAGGGCACCAAATCTGGGCTGTAGGAGGTCTGGGTCACCTGGGTGACTTGGTGTTTCACCAAAAAACTCTGCACGAGACATGATGCATGAATGAGCGTGTTGTTGTGGTGAAGCTGCCAATCACCAGTTGCCCACAGCTGCAGCCGTTTTCATCGTATTGCATCTCTCAGCTGACGAAGAACACAGGTCATGCTCCTTGTTAATCATTGGGTCTCGGGGGGCGAGCAGACTCTTGATGGACAACACCTTCCCAACCAAAAAACACAGTTAACATGGTCTTGGCCTTGCTGCGACTTTGCCGCACCTTCTTCGGGTGTGGAAAACCAGGCGGCTTCCGTGGGGACGACTGGGCCTCCCTGTCCTGGTCTTACGAGCCGCAGACCCACGGTTCATCTCCAGTCATGACCTTCTTGAGGAAATCCAGGTCATTGGCAGCCGTCTGAATCAAGTCATTGGCAACTGCAGCACGATGTTCCTTCTGCGCTGGTAGCAGACGCCACGGGACGCATTTTGCCACGACACGTTTCATGCCAGGATCCTGCGTCAGAATCTCGGACGCAGTAGCTTCTGGAACCTGGAGCTCCGCTCCCAGTCCTCACACTGTCGGTCGCCGATCTCTGTTGGCTGCAGCCCGCACACGCTCAGCAGTCTCAGGTGCTCTGCTTGCTGCAGGCCTTCCAGAGCGTGGGTCACTCTCAACAGATTCTGGACCGTCTTTGGTGCGTTTGTGCCACACGCTTGTGTTTGCGCCACACTCACTGCATCGTCTCTGAAAGCCTTCTGAATCACCCAGATAGTTTCTGCGGAGGAATGTTCAAGCTTAACACAAGAGTTGACGTGGGCTCGTTGCTCTGCTCACTCAGTCACTTTGAATGCGACGGCCACACAGCACGCATGCTCACTCAATGACGTCTACCGGCCCCACTGACGAGTGCAGTGAAGGCATCATTGTTCACGCACGAGCATTCCAGTCCACTCCCCTTGGCTGCCAGGTTACATCCACGTCCTGCAGACTGTTCTCATCGTATTAGCAATGGCTGGGCTTTTTCTGGACAGACCTTGTATACCTGAAATTGAACTTCTCAGAACCCAGGCAGGAAAGGCAGTTCTCCACGGGGACAGACCCGGACAGACGCCCACTGAAGCCGCCAGCGCCCAGTCCAGGCGGGGGGCGCGGACAGGCGGGGGTGCGGAACGCCCCGTCCAAGCTCTGGCGGCGATGGTGGAGAGCCGGCCAGTTCCCACCTCCGCAGGCCCGCCCTCCTCTCACCACGGCACCAGGAGGTGACCCGGGCCGGAACGGCTCCAGCCACAGTCCCCTTCGACCTACTGAGCGCCAGACACCACCCACGTGCTGAGACATGGCCGCCAACCAGGCAGGCAGAGTCCCTGCTCCCCCGGGGCCCCCGGGGGCGGGCTGCAGGCCCCGCGCACACGCCGGGGACCAAAGGGCAAGGGAGTGGCCTGGGAAGACCACACGGCTGGTGGCAGAGCTCCCCTGGAGCTGCACTGCCCACTGCAGAAGCCACCGGTCACGTGGCTGTTCAAAGTCAGATCAATTAAAATGAATCAAAGCTTAAAAGTCAGTTCCTTGGCTGCTCCTGCCACGCCTCAGGCACTCGGCAGCCGCGTGTGGGCAGTGGCCACCTACCGGACGGTGCAGATGCAGAGCAAGGAAGGGACAAGGCTACTCCAACCCCGGGAGGATGAGGAGGGGCGCCGGTGGCAGGGAGACAGGTTTAGCATTTCCCACGGGTTTGTTACAAGGCACAGACAGAACACCTGTGGACCTGCTCTGTGGACGCCAGAGGCCCCACAGATGCGGGGCTCGGGGCCAGACAGACGCCCCTGGGGTGCCGCTCACGCACTGCAGTGGCGGGGTCCTTAGGGCTCTCACGGCACCCTGCCGGGCTTCAGCGTCCCCAGCGAGTCACTCGGTGCCCCCCACAGGGGCTGTTCTGAGGGTGAGGTCGTGACTGTTAGGTGCTCAGCACAGTCTCGGGCGCACAGTGGGTCCGAGAGAGCGCGAGGGGCGGGGCAGGCCCGCCGCCTGCTTGGGTGCCGCCGGGAGCAAGGTCACCGGGCAGCCCCAGACACACACACTGAGCACCGTGGGTGTGTGCACGGGAAACTGCCGCTTTGCTCACTGGAATTTGGGCTTCCGTGAATTACAAAAAGAAAGCCAAAAGCACACGGACTAATAACCAGTTCTACAAGCAAGGACTGCACTAAGAGTAAGAGATACATCCCAGCGGGCAGACTTAAACGCTCTAAGATCTCATGCGAATACAGGTCTTCTGGAGCCCTAACCCCAACCGCTGCCAGAGTATCAGAGGTCAGTCAAGTGGACTTGGCGTTCTCTCTCCCCCCCCTCACCACCCCCGCGGGCCGGACCCACGGAAGCAACTCTGCCAAGAGCGGGCCCTGTCTGACGGAGGCCGTGAGGCGGTCACCTCCCAGGGAGGTACTGTAGACAGTATTTCAAGAACGGTGAGAAGTCCTCCAGCGGAACTCCTTGTTTAGGTAAGCCGCAGTCACTTAGCCAGCAAACCGGTAAGCCTCACACGCGAAACCCAGCTGCGCACACGGCAACTGTATCGTGAATACGAACCTACTGACGCCAGTCCTTCCGGCCTGCTCGAGATCCTTATGATGTTCCTGTCTCCCTTCAGGAGGAATATTTCGTCTTCTGTGCAGGAGACAGACACGATATCACCTGATCCTTCCAAGCCGGCGATTGTGGCCTGTCCAGAAATAAAAAATGAAACAAATAAAATCACCAAACTGGCAGCAGTAACAGACCTGAGGGCGCGAGCAGGGCAGCAGGCCACTGTGCGTGGCTGTGACAGCTTCCTGGGACTCCTCAGGGCGACTCCACCCACAGGGCGGTGACACCCGATGGGTGTGTGGCCTGCCGTCGCCCTCCTCACTGGCAACTTCCCGGGAGGGAGGGGCAGTCTCTCCCCGCCTCTCGGCCACTCTCGAGACCATGCGCTCACCTGCCGCCCACGCCCTGTGCCACGGAGCTCCTGCTTCCTGGTGGGGCCTGCCTGTCAGCCTCACACAGCTCTACTCTCAAGAAGAAACTAAAACGAAAGTTTCTGTTTCCTTCTTTATCTTTATCTGAGCCCATTTCTTCATTAACTTTAGAGAGAGGAAGGGAGAGAGAGAAACAGCAAGAGAGAAGCACTGACTGGTTGCCTCTGTACTCGGCCTGACCGGGGATCGAACCCGCAGCTTCCTGGTTTTGGGACAATGTTCTAACCAACCCAGGCAAAGAGGCCAGAGTGAAAGTTTCGTTTTATGTTTTTTGAAGCTCCGGTGCCTGGCCCTAAAGGTAATGCTCTGTTACTGCCCTGACGGGAACAGACATTGTTCCCTGCTGTGATTTAACGCTGGAAACTGCCCCAAACACATACAGCACGATGCTGGGCTCCACCTGGTGCAGGGAATGGGCTGAAGAGTTCAGGGCAGAGAGGAAGCCGGGGAGAGGCCCCTGCCCTGCTCGCGTCACCCTGGGGAGGCCCTCGGTGGGGACTCTCTGCTGGTGCTCTTGTCAAACTCGCGTCAGCATCTGATACCCTCAGTCACTTGGTAGTCAGGAAAAACACAACCCAAATGGGCTATAAAGAACAAGTTCAACTGTGTGCTCAGGTGCGAAAAGCACTCACACAAAACCCAACACCCAATTTCCTGGCGGGGGGAGGACTGCAAATAGCAAACCAAGTATCTTTTCAAATCCAGCAAAACGAGCAGGACTCCCCGTGACGCCCGGGACCGGCCCGGAAGGAGGAAGAAAAGCACGGGAGCCGACCCTGCCTGCCCCAGCGGTCAGGGGCAGCCCCCGGGCGGCCCATGGACCCCAGGACGGGCTGCGGCGCGGTCGCTCACCTGGTTGACGGTGTCTAGAAGGTAAACACTGTATTCATTCCAGCTCAGCACCCAGCCTTCTTGGAAGAAACACGACACGAGCCCCAGGCGTTTCTCGGGGGTGCAGCCACCGCCGCCGTCGAAGGGCTCCAGTCGCGGGTACAGCTCGAAGGGCGTGGCTCCCGCGGCGAAGGCGTCCTTCAGGATGAACGTGGCTTGCACGGTCCCGTGGACGTCGGCCTTCCACAGCCGGAGCCCCGGCCGTGACGCATACAGGGTGAGGTCGCTCTGCTTACAGAGCCCCGGTATGAAGCAGGCGCCGAACCTCCCAGCGCTGGGTCGGGGGGAGAGGGCAGACGGACACGGGCTGACTCAGAGGGGCCGCTGCCGGGGGGGGCCGCTGCCGGGGCTGCAGCGGGCGTCTCTTGGCCGAGCCCGAGCCAGGCCGGCGTTTTGGGGCCCTTGCCTGCGGAAGCGCCCCGCCACCCCGAGCCCGGAGGACAAGGCGCCTGTGCCGCACCCCTCTCAACACCCGGGCGGGCCCGAGGGAGCCCCCCAACCACAGCCACGCAGCTCGAGTGGCCGGGGCGGTCTTTCTCCGCACTGCAGTGACGGGCTCCGCCCTGGGTGACCACACCCCCGGACGGCCAGGAGGGCACCACACACCAAACCCACTCTGAAGCGGAGACCGCCGGGCTGGCCGGGAGTGCGCGCAGGCGACCCAGCGGTGTGTCGCCGCCACCCTGGGCGGGTCTGCTGGGGGCGGGGGGTGGGGCTCTCTGACGGAGACCGGAGGGTCCTCGCAGGGCCGCCGGGACCCCTCCCCCACTTCCTCCCGCCTCTCCTGCCGCCCCGACCTCCACCTGGCGACCCGAGTGCCAGGCTGCCTCCCTCCAGGAACAGGGCCCCTGAGAGATCCCGTCACCTCCATGCTCCCTGTTCACCGGGGGTGACTGTGCGACCCCTTGGACGAGCAGGGAGCGAGTCCCCGCATCCTGTGGGTCACTGTGCACTGTGCGTGGGCGGTTATGAGAGCATCTGGGAGGGACCGCCCTGGGCTCAGGGGCGGTCAAAGCAGAGAACACAAAGGGGACGGGCTGTGACCGCCGCACAAGGAGGCAGGACCTGGACGCTGAGCGGGCAACGGATGACCAGGTGGAGAAGAGGGACGGGCACTCTGGGCAGGGACACGCTGGGGCCGGGTGCTGGCACATGGCGGGTCGGCAGAAGGCACGGAGGTTGGGGTGAGCGGCTACGGCCAGGTGGGACTCGCCCCGAGGCCCGACCCCGCCAGCACACAACAGGCAGAGACTTGGGGCACGGGTTCGGGCGGCCGCCACCCCGGGACCTGGCCACCCCGGGGCCTGGCCACCCCGGGGCCTGGCCACCCCGGGGCCTGACCACAGACGCGCCAGGCGAGGCTCACAGAAAGGGGCCGGGCTCCCGCAGGGCCCGGAAGGCCAGGTGTGAGGAGAGAGGCTGAGGGGACCGGGCCCGGGTGAAAGGAAACAGCTGATACCTCTCCGCACCCCACCTGCCTTCCAACAGGTCGCAGCGCAGCGGGACACTGTCAGACCAGGCCGGGCAGGGCGCCGGGCAGGGTGGGCACCGGCTGAGGGAAACCAGGGCCCACACCACAGGGTCCCCCGCGTCCCCCGGCGGTGGCGGCGACAGGCGGTCACTGCTGTGGGCAGGCCGGACCAGGGATGGGGCTGGTGGTGCTCGGCAGGGTGGACAGAAGCCAGGGGCCGGGTGGCAGTGCCCTGCGTGGGAAAGGGCTGCGGGGGAGCCTGGCTCCTCCCACACCCGGCTGGTGTCTCAGCCGCTGTCTCCCGCTGGCACCGCCAGCCTCGCGGGCCCTCCTCAGCCCCTGCCAGGCCACCGCGTTTCCAGGCCAGCCTGCCTCCCGCTCCCCACACCCCGCCTCCTGCCCCTCCCTCCAGCCCGGCCGGTGCCCTGACTCCTCCAGCTCCCACCCACCCGCCCCCGCGCCCCTCCATGCGCCCTCCTCCCCCTCCCCCCGCAACGCACACGCTGCAGGGAGCCTGCCCGGGAGCCTCCGCGTGGGACCGTGAACGTACGCGTACGCCACCCACGTGCTGCTGCCCCTCTTCCCACGGGCCGGCAGGCACGTGGACTTGGCCCAACCCGCCCCGCCACCGTTTTTCTGCCAGGCATCAGGTCACAGGAGGGACGATCTCTCCGCCTGGAACCCTCCCGCTCCCCGACCCTCCCTGCCCCCCAGACCCCGGGACTCGAGGCAGAGGGGCTGCGCCGCAAGAGCACAGGCTCCTCCCCTGGCGCCGGGGCGGCGAGTCCCGGGCAGGCTGCGCCCCCCCGGGAACCCCAGGCCCCGAGCCTCCGTGGGCCTGCGTGCAGCAGGCTGGAAATGCAGAAAAACTGAACACCCACCCCCCCCCCGGCCGGCCACCACCCAGCTGGACCACCGGAGCACTCACCTTTTCCTTGGCTGGGCTCCGACCTGCCGCACGGACTGCTCTTCGGTGTAAAACAGCAGGCTGCGCTGCAGGGTGGACACCAGCAGCACTTTCTGGCTGTAGTCCAGCTGCACGATCGAGGACGGCTCTTCCAGCACCAGGTGGGAGCTGCAGGCGCCCTGCGGGAGGCAGCCCGTCACCCGCGGCCAAGGCGGGCGCACCGAGGCCCGGCCTCCTCCGGGGCCAGCACGCACCGCCCCGGCAGGTGCGTGTCGGCCAGGGCCCCCTGACAACGCAGGCCCTGACTCTGGGTCCAGCATCCGCCCTGCGCCAGGGGCCTGGCTGGGGAAGTGCTCGCTCCTGAGAGCAGAATCGGCCGAACGGAGGCTGGACCAGAGCTCCGCCCCCTGTGTCCTCGGCAGACGCCGCGAGGACACTCACGGAAACGCACGCGGGAGCGGGAGCAGGAGCGCCACTTCCTGCCACGAAGGAGCCCCGGGGCCTCCCACAGAATGACTGTGACAACACCCAGCGGAGCCCCTCTCACACTCGCCTCCCACAGAGCGACTCTGGGGACATTTCATCCCTGCCAGCTGGAAGGGTCAGAGAAAACAGGCGCAAACTAAAATTAAGACGGCACTAAACACAGTAAGGAGGGAAAGCGGAAGAAGTCTAGAAGGCACTTGGCTGCCAACGCCAACCCCACGTCCCGGCGTCCCCGCTCTGCGCTCTGCGTGTGTCCCCCCCTCCCCGGACCCAGCTCCTTCCGCTGAGACACACACGGGTGCGCGGCCACAGACCTCGCCGCCGGGGAGGGCCAGCGGTGGTCGGACTCGCTGGTGAAGCCCACGCAGCGCGCGGCCCGCCCTCGCAGCCACCCAGCTCTCGTGGCCACGGCGACGTGGACAGAAGCCCCACTCCTCTCAGACGTCACGGGTGTTTTAGGAAGCCCTCTGCCCACGTTGGCAGTTACGCAAGCGGTCGCCTTTTAGTCTTTGGCTCACCTTGTGCTGAAGGCAATGACGTTTCCTGGACTGAATTTTGCAAAAACATGCGTCCTCCCATTTTCTTGTCTACAAATCTCACAGAGCAGCAGGGTCTCTTAGGAAACTGGTCAGAGCCTCCATGAAGCCGGGGAAACACGTCAGCCTGCCGAGGATACCGCTTCCGGCGGGAGCAGTGTCCCGAGCTGCCGCAGACCAGTGCCGCACGGGCACCCCCGGCACCCTGAGGGTCGCGGCACACCTCCTGCAGAGCAGCGGTGCTCCAGGCGTGGCCCGCACCCCCGAGCGTCCCCAGGGCCCTGTTCAAGGGTCTGCGAGGTCCCAACAACGTCCGTGACGGCCCTAGGCTGCACCAGCCGCGTTCAGAGGGGACGCCGGGACTGACGGCACAGAGGCCCTGCCCGGGAGAGCCGCAGGGAGCTCGGGGGCCCACTGAGCGGGGAACCCACATCCACCCGTCCCACTACGCCCTGTGCCACACGCTTGCAGCACGAACACGCACTTCCCGGAGATTTCACAGAGAGTGCTTCTGGCGCACAGAGGTGACGACGTCCTGGAACCCCGGTTCTCGGGCACGTGTGCACCGTGTGCGGCCACTGCGCACGGGAGCCTGGTCCTGTCGAGCAGCAAGCGCCCGAGCGGGCGTCGGCGCTGCCGGTGGAGCCGGCCCCAGACACCTCCTCGCCTGCCGCGCTAGCACTGCTCCCGCCGGGGCGTCCACCGGGGCCTTCGCCGGGAGGGATGCAGGACACCTGTTCTCCACGGACGAGGGACGGGGAGGGTCTGCAGCCCGCGGTGAAATCCGAGACCTCCAGTGAAGGTCAGAGCTGGAGACCGAGACCCCACCCTGTGAGCCTGGGGAGGGGGGTGCCCAGTCACCGGAGACTCTTCTGACCGAACAACGGAGACGCTGACGAGAAGGTGCTCCCTCCCCCGCTGTGCGGCCGAGCGTGCCCACGCCTGGGACCCGGCCTCGCCCGGGGGCCAGCCTGCTCCAAACGGCCGCAGCGTGTGTGGGGCCGAGGAGCCGGTCTGAGGGCAGGCAGGCTGTGGGCTTTGTGGGGCAGAGCACGGGAACTCCGTCCACGCGGGGTCAGGCCGCATGGTGACCGACCTCCACAGACACTGCCGGTGCCCCCGGGGAGAGACCTGAAGGAGAGCAGCCGCGATGCTCCACGAAGGCTGTGCCTGCGAGAGGCCGGGCCCTGCACCTCCGCTGCCAGCGCTGCGCGCTCGGGACAGAGCGAGTGCGGAACCCAGGTGCCCTCCACCGACCCAGACGTGGGCGAGACCGACAGACGTGTGCAGCAACGCCACTCCTACTTGTGTTAACACGTGATAGGTTTATTGTTTCAAGATACAATTAATATTTTTAAATGTCTTAAGGTTTTTTTAATGTTTTACTTATTTACTTTTAGAGAGGGGAAGGGAGGGAGAGAGGGAGGTAGAGAAACATCAGTGTGTGGTTGCCTCTCGTGCGCCCCCTACTGGGAACCTGGCTGGCAACCCAGGCACGTGCCCTGACTGGGAATCGAACCGGCGACCCTTCGGTTCACAGGCCGGCGCTCAATCCCCTGAGCCACACCAGCCGGGGCCTAGTTTTGATTTCTGACACAGGCCACTCGGTAGATAGAACTCGTACAAAACCACACGGGCCAGGAATAACGGCTACCGATACGAGCGCGGAAGGCCCCCCGCGCCACCGAGGGGTCCCGTCTAGCTGGGCACAGGCAGGCGAGGGGCCACACGTGCAACGGGGGCGGCTCTGGGGCGGGGGCTCGTCTGCAGCCGTGCCCCGCCGGCTACCCGCTCCTGACCGGGGCCTGCGACCGCGTCCCCGCAGCGGAGCGGTCTGTCCCTGCACTGACCGGGGAGAACACACAGCTCAGGGCGCACTGGGGGGGCTCGACGAAACAGCCAGCTCGGGGGCGGGGCTGGGCGGGTGCCGCCACCAAGCCCTTGCCAGCCACTGGCTCGCACACCGGGCGGTCACACGTGGGCAGGGCGGGCTGCCAGCCCACAGAGAGCCCCGGGCTCCGTCCCCCGCTCGGGCTCAGAAGGGGGTCCCTCGGCTCCTCCGAGCCCCTCAACAAAGGAGCAGAGACCGGGACTCCCTTCTAAGCAGCAGAAGAGACACCGGGAGAAGGAAAACAGTGAACCCCCGGGAGAAACAAAGGCCACTCTTTAACCGCAGGCGGTTATGACACATCAGAAAAGCCCTTGAAAGACAAGGTCACTAATAACAACTGAGGTTGTAACAGGACGACGACGAAGAACACAAGCTGAGAAACCGAAGACACAAGCGTGAGTACTGTTTCTCCGAGTGGGGCGCCGATGGAGCGCGGAAAAGGGTTTACCTGGTCCAGGTCCAGGGAAGAGTAGACGACCTTCCCCCTGCCGTCTCCGGAGAACAGCTTCATGCCGTTGGGGCTCCAGGCCAGAGCCGTGATGCTGCTTCGGTGGATGCCGGCGACGTCGAACCTGCGCAGCTGTGCGGCCCCGACAGAGACACACGCACGGGGAGGGAGGGGTGGCGCCGTGAGAGGCGGCGCTGTGCACAAGGGGGCGGGGCCTCCTCTCCCTGCAGGAAGGAGCTGGGTGCCATCTGTTCCCCCGCCAACCCCGGGGAACCGCCAGCGAACGCTGGGCAGACGTTCAACCGCCCACGTGTGCTTTCTGCCAGGTGTCCCACCGGGGACGAGAACACTGCTGGACCAGAAAGGACACAGTGCCCAGCTGTTCCGGACCCTCGTCTTCCAGGCAGATGAGGGGGCCCCCGGGGAAACCCGGCCGTGCCACGTGCCTGGTGCTGACCTGCTTGTTCCTCCCGGGCAGTGCGGACACCAGTTGGAAGATGGCCACCCTCCCGGAGGTGGTGCCCGCGGCCACCAGGTCATCGAAGCAGCTCAGCAGCTTCACCACGGTGATGGACTCCATCTTTCCCTGAAAGACAAAACACCCAAAACCAAAACCTGGAGGCCGGCCACTCTCGAAGCGGAAGGCCTGGGCAGTGGACTGGAAGACTCCATCAGGCTACAGCCTGTGCACACCGCTGAGAAAAATGCATACGACCCAGAAAGACAAACCCATGAAACCCCCGTTTTCTTTCCCAGTTTTTGGCACCGATGGGAGTGAACAGAGACAGACCCCTCCTAAGGGTCTGCGGTCCGTCGCCCGCCCTGCTCAGCGTCAGAGCGGGCGTCTGCCTTCCACGCGGAAGCAGCCTCGGGCCAGCCGATTCAACGGACGCGCGTCCGTACGCGCAGCACCCCGGAGGCCTGGCTGAGCGAACCAACCCACCCTGGGGCGCAGTCCTGGGCCGGCTCCCCCGGCACCCGCACACATCAGGTCGGCCACGCAGCTCGGCGTCAGCCCCGGCCGGAGGGAAACAGGCCCGTGAAGAAGAACAAACTAGAAAAGGCAGTATGGTACAGGACGACCCCTCACCCTCACCCAAGTATTCCATCTAGGCTGGGGAGACCCCGAAAAGAAATATGCTTAGGAACTTTAAAGAAATATAAAAGGAAACGAAAGCATGGAGCAAGCCACCACCAGGAACAGCCAGAGCGAAATGAAAAGCCGTCGGAAGCCTTAAGACTGCAGTGGCGGCTCCAACGGCAGATCGGTCGCAGCTGGAAGAAAGTACCGAGCAGGACGGCAGGCGCGCGCCACAGAGAGACACGGGAGGTGAAATACGCAGGAGAAGGGTCGGAGGACAGAGCACGGAGCTCCGACCTCATCTGACCGGGCTGCCAGACGGCGGGGGAAGGGAGGGGAGGGAGGCAGTGTCGTCGGGAACGAGGGCCGAGGGTGACCCAGGACTGAGGCAAGACCCGTGTCCCCAGGGGCACCGGCCCGGACGAGACCCGCAAACACGCACACACGCACATGTCTTACAGCGAGACGGCAGCGCCTCGAAGACAGCAGCAGGTCACAGGAAGGCAAATAAGCAAACAGGAATGATTACTGAAAAACAGAGTTCTGAACAGCAACGATGCAGCCCAGGACACAGTGGAACGTCATCTTCAGAAGTGCTGAGAGAGAAAAGCTGTCGGCCTGTGAGGTACGCCTGCCCAAAACTCAAAGGCAGAGAGACAGCCCAACGACAACAAACAGATCCGGGGTGGGTGCTCGCCGCGAGCACCGCGGGAGGACCGCTCCAGGGGGAGGGGCGTGGCCGCGAGGGAGGAGCTGGACGCAGCAGCGGGACGGTGAGGGCAGCAGGGGGGGAACACGAGGGAATGGGGACGATGACTGCAGACACAGCGACACCGTCCAGCCTGGGCAGTGAAAACGGCAACCGCAGCACCGGACAGTCACACGTGTGATAGGAGGGTCCGGCAGAGACGCCGCGAGAAAACCACAGCTGACCCCTGAACAACGTGGGGGTCGGGGGTGCAGCCAAAGATCCACCATGACTTCGGACTCCTCCGAAACGCACCTGCTGATAGCCTACTGCTGACCAGAAGCCTTGCCAAGGAACAAACAGTTACATATTTCACGTTATACGTGTTACACACTGTACTCCGACAATAAAGCAAGCTGCAGAAAAGACAGTGTTGTTAAGGAAACCCTAAGAGAAAACGCGTTCACAGTGCTACCTATACATCTTCCCGGGAGAGAGAAATCTGCGTAAGCGGACCGTGCGGTGGAGACCCGTGTCGTCTGAGGGTCAACGGTACAGGTCAACACCCTCATGAACATGGACAAAAGCCTTAACCAAATACTACTAAAGTGAATACCGCAAGATGTATAAAAAGAATAGTATAACATGACAGAGCCCTGGCTGGTAATTAACCCAACAGGCAGAGAAAAGGAAGAAAAAGCAAGGTGCAAAAATAAATGGGGCGAGTGGAGAGCAAGGACCCAGACGGCAGACAGGGCTGACGGTCCTCCACGGGGGGGCAGCCCCGTCCTGCCCTGCAGCAGCCTTCCTAACCCACCCCCACCCCCGCACACTCAGACGAATTGTGGAAACTCTGCAGCACACAAAAAATACAATTTTTGCCGACCTAACCAAAAAAATAGGTACAATTTTGATTCTCTCACACCAGACAGCTATTGTTGTATCGGCTATTGTCATCTTCAATAGGATTTTCTTTACTTTGAGAGAGAAAGAGGGAGGCTGGGAAAAAGAGAGGGAGAGACACGCTGACATGAGAGAGAAACATCGACCGGTGGTTTGCTGCACACGCCTTCACCAGGGGCCGCACCAGCAACCCAGGCATGTGCTCCGACTGGGACTCGAACCAGCGACCTCTCAGGGCTGGTGTCAGTTTTTAAATTTGACAATCCAAGAGGCCAGTGCCGCCGAATGAACACTCAGGTGCTGCGGCACCCGGGCTGAAAAGCAACGCCGTCTTGTAACGCTGCCGACACACGAGAGTTTGGATCTCAGGGCGCCGGCCGGCGGGCCTCAGGGTTCCCTCCACAGGGAAAGACGGAGGGAGCACTAGGGAATGCACCTCTGCTGACGTGGAGAGACAAACACTGCCATCCCTGCATCTCTTTTAAAAATACACTAGGTGTAGTAGCCCTGGCCAGTGCGGCTCAGGGGCTGGGCACTGCCCCCTGAGCCAAAAGGTCGCCAGTTCAATTCCCAGTCAGGGCGCACGCCTGGACTGCAGGTTCAGGCCCCCGGGGCGCGTACAGAAGGCAGCCAATTGACATTTCTCTCTCTCAATGATGTTTCTCGCCCTCTTTCCCCCTGCCGCTAGAATCTAACGTAAAATACAAGAACATGCTAGGTATCGTATGCACGCACACACGCCAGGTGCACGTGCACATTAGGTGTGAGTCGGGTGAACGCTCACAACATTCTACAGCACAGGTTCTCTAGCAGACCCGTCAGCACGGCGTGCCGCTCCCTCTGCTCAGGTCTCTGTCTGGCTGCCGCTTCCCCGTCAGCCCTCCCCGGCGTCCCCACCTACAACCGGACGGGCTCTGGCCGGTGCAGCTCGGTGGGTGAGCACCCGCCTGGGAGCTGAAAGGCTCCATCCCTGCTCAGGGCCCACGCCTGGGTCGCAGGCCAGGCCCCAGCTGGGGGCGTGCGAGCGGCAACGGGTCGATGTCTCTCTCGCGCATCCAGGTTTCCCTCCCTCCCTTCCCTTCTCTCTGAAAATGAGTAAATAAAGTCTTTTAAACCTGGGCCAGCCCTGTGGGCACTCCTCACCCCATCTCCCGCTCACCTCCCCCTCAGCCCAGACACCCGCAGGCAGGGGCCCGGCCTGCAGGGGTCTCTCCCGCACCTCCCGGACCTCGCCTGGGCCCGGCACACGGTGAGCCCTAGACGACCACAGGTGGGCTCACGGGGACGGCCAAGGGTGGCATAAATGTGGTGGAAACGTGGGCCAGCCTGGCTGTGGCTGCAGCACGGGATTTGATGGCAAAGCCTTGAAATTTCAACAGTCCACTGAGTGCTGACGAGAGACATCGCAGACCATACATTTGATTTCAAAACAGAAAATTAGAGACTCAGGTCGAGTGGTCTTTCTCATCTATTCTCACATACAAGGTCCTTCCACAAAAAGTCCAGCCATTGTCAGTATCACAAGAGCAGTTTGCATGACATCGATGTAACCTGCTTGCCAAGGGGAGTGGACTGGAGTGCACTGGCGTGAACAGTGATGCCCTCACTGCACTCGTCAGCGGGAGTGGTAGGTGCTGCTGAGGGAGCATGCGCGCCGTGTGGCCAGGGCATTCAAAATGCCTGAGTGAGCAGAGCAACGAATCTGCACCCAATTTTGCTTGAAGCTTGAACATTCCTCCACGGAAACCATTCCGATGACTCAGAAGGCCGCAGCGATGGGCAACTGGCGATTGGCAGCTTCCTCAGACAACACACCCGCTCATGCACCAGTGGAGTCTCGTGCAGTTTTTTGGTGAAACATCAGATCACCCAGGTGACTCAGCCCCCTACAGCCCAGCTTTGGCGCTCTGCAACTTCTGGCTTTTCCCAAAACTAAAGTCACCTTTGAAAGGGAAGAGACTTCAGACCATCAGTGCGATCCAGGAAAATACAACAGGGCAGCTGATGGCGACTGGGAGAACTGTGAGAGGTCCCGAGGTGCCTACTTTGAAGGGGACTGAGGTGTCATTGTCTATGTGCAAAGTTTCTTGTACCTTCTTCAGTAAATCTCTCCATTTTTCATATTACATGGCTGAATACGTTCTGGACAGAACTCATATGTCACAGCCATCTGTTTAACAAGCTTGTAACATTTTTGTGCTTATTATTAGCCTCTCACAACATTTCTTCGTGCTTTTGGCACCCACTAGGAAGAACTTCTTGTGTCTCCATCTGCTCTCTCCTACTGAGTTGCACAGGAAAAGAAAGGGCTTCCAAAAGCATTATTCTTGAAAACACATGCCCTGCCTGGTGTGGCTCAGTGGACTGAGTGCGGGCTGGGAACCAAAGGGTGGCTGGTTCGATTCCCAGTCAGGGCACATGCCTGGGTTGCGGGTCAGGCCCCAATAGGGGGTGTGTGAGAAGCACCCACACACTGATGCTTCTCTCCCTGTCCTTCTCTCTCCTTGCCCCCTCTCTAAAAATAAATACATAAAATCTCGGGGGGAAAAAAACAACACATGCCAGGCTCTACTGACCACATATAAGGCCTGCTTTCTATCCAGACACACGTTCTGGAGCAAGCACCGCCTAAACCCCTAGGAGACTAAGCCCGAACGCCAAAGTGACTCAGTAGTGAGCTGCACCCCAAGGGGGTCAGAAGAGCAGGCACCCTGGGGAGGAGCGCGGAGCACCTTGGGAGGTGGCACCCGCGAGTCTGCAAGCTGCTGGAAACGTTCGTATCTTGACCTGGGTGTCGTCACGGGTGCACACACATAAATCCATCGAGTTGTGCACTTGAGACCAGTACACTTCACGTAAATTACACTTCAATTAAAAAGTGAAAACAGATGAGGCGACACACAGGCCCCCGGAAAGCCTGCTGGAGTTTAAATTCGGTGAGGTGTGCTTTGTGCCCCGGAATCCGGTCTGTCTGAGTGGGTGTCCCAGGTCCAGCTGTAAGGAGTTCTGAACACGGCAAGCAGACCGCAGGGGCTGACCCCGCTGCTCAGCGCTGCGTCCCTGTGGGTCCTCTCCCCACTGCTGCCGCCCCCCAGGACGGGGCGCTGCAGTCTCCGGCCATAATCACGGGCTCCTCTCTCCCTCCTTTCAGTGCGGTCAGTGTTGCCCCGTGTGCCACATGGCTCTGGTGCTGGGGACACAAACACTTGGGACTGCTGTGTGTTTCTGGTCCACTGGCCCTTCCACCGGCACGGCCCGCCGCTCTGCACCCCTGGCTGCCTCCCTGCTGAGACCGCTCTGACATCAATACGGCCGCCCCAGATCTCTTTTCATGAGCGTTTGCATGGTATATCCTTCTCCATCCTCTTACTTTTCACCTTCTTACACCGTTTACTGTCAACTGATTTTCTTAAAGGAAACATACTGTGGTTTCATGATTTTTCTCCATTCTCATAATTTGTCTTTGAGTTGACATGTGAGATAATTTCCATTTAATATAACTTCTGGTGTGTTTTGATTTAGATCTATCACTGCATTTGATTTCTGGTCACTCCTCCTGTTTTCCCCTCTTCTGCTTCCCCTTTCCCGCTTCCCTGTGAGTCATGTGTACACGTCTAAAAACCCCTTTCTAACACGCCTGGAGTCACTTTCACGGCACCCTGCTGTCGGGCTGTCTTGGTGGCAGCGGTGGGGATTGCAACGTCACCTCTTCGAGCAGCACGTAGAGACCTTACCAGCACGGAGGTCCCGGACTCCCCTCTGCTGTGCTGAAGCTCTCTCATGCGTTACTGCATGTACACACACCAAAACCTTGACCAGACCACGTGTCTTTAAATTTCTGCTGCCTGTCAAATGTATTTTAAAGAACTCAACGAGAGAGACCTGGCCTGCTAGATGTATCCAGGTACTTGTTTACTCTTCCTCTTCCTCACTGACGTGCCGGTGGTTTTCGAGCAGGTCTGCTGGCAGCAGACCTCTCGGTCTCCCCCCCCCACCCCCCCGGGAACACGCGTGCTTCACCTTCTTTCCCGACAAGCGTTTTCGCGGGTGCAGGACCCCTCGCCGATGGTCTTCCCTCGGGACTTCGGGACGCTGCGCCCGGCCCCGACCCCCAGCTCCCGCGGTCTCCGGGGAGAAACCTGAGGTCACTCCGATCGCCCACCCTGGGGCGCTGCCGTCCTCCTCTGGCTGCGTCCACCATCTCCCTGGTCTCTGCTCCTCGGCAGCTCAGTCCCGGTGTGTGTGTGGGGGCACTAATTCCTCTGGGCTGTTCTGTTAGGAGTTTGCCGTCAGGCTCATCCGTCTTGCTGGTTAAGTGTTGAAGCGTTTGAGAGATTTTAGGTAAATTAATGCATAACTACAGTTGTAAAGATGAACTAGGTAATGGTCGTAAAGGTTTGGAAAATCGGATCAGTCAAATCCATAAGCTACTAATCAAAGAAAAGAAACAGCGTAGTTTTAATTTTTATATAAAAAATATTAATATAGCCCTGGCTGGCATAGCTCAGTGCATTGAGCGCGGGCTGCGGACCAAAGTGCCGCAGGTTCGATTCCCAGTCAGGGCACATGCCTGGGTTGCAGGCCACGGCTCCCAGCAACCGCACATTGATGTTTCTCTCTCTCTATCTCCCTCCCTTCCCTCTCTAAAAATAAAATAAATAAAAATTAAAAAAAAACAAAACACAAAGACAACTCTTTGAAAACTTAAAAAAAAAATATATATATATATAAATATAAACTCTAGAGCCAATCTGCCCAAGTTCAGACAATGGGGCCATCACTCACTAACCCTGACCTTGGGCTTGTCCCTTACCCACTCTGTGCCTCACCTGCCCCCAGTAAAGGGGGGTAAAACAGCCCCCGCCGCGAGGGGTCCGTGCAGGCGCCGCGGGCTCAGACGCACCCCGAAGGCCGCATGACGCCTGGCACAGGCAAGCGCTACAGCACGCGAAGCGCTTCTGTCATTCAAATTGAGTACAGAGGCTTAAAAAAACTAACCTTTTAAATTAAGACTTTAAGAAGTGGAATGCTGATCAAAACACAGGTATCTGGAAACATTTCTCTTCTGCACCACAGCCTCGCCTCGGTCTGCGAAAGCCCGCGGAGCAGGGCAGAGCCCACAAGGCCGAGAGGCGGGAGCCACGACCGGGGCACCTGGGAGCCTCTCTCACGACACGGCCGGGGCACCCACGAAAGGAGTGTATTCAGGGCGTCCGCGGACACTCGTGCGCCCGACCGACACAACACAAGCACAGAGACCGCCCGAGGGCAGCAGCGCGAACGCAGGCTGGCCGGGCCGCGGCGGCCGGTGCTCTCGGAGGCGACCCTGCGTGAGGCGCGCCGGCCCTGGCGGCCGGCCGACACCGACACCGACACCGACGCCAGTCCCGGTGTCGTAACAGGTCCGCCAGAGCAACTACGGGTGTTCAAGCCCATCCGGCGAGGCAACGTGAGAACAAAACGCTCAGGAAGAGCAGCTACTTCCGAAGGTCCCTGCTAGGTATGAAACGCTAGACTGTTCTGGCATCGCACTGGAAGTGACGCGAGATCTCTGAAGGCAGGAGGAGGAAGTTAAAACTCCACTGTTTTTATCCGCACTCCAGCCCCGCTGGGGCGGTCTGGAAGCGGTGCCGGGGTGGGACGCCGAGGCCTCGCTCCGGCACCGCGGCAGCCAGTGTGCTCGCGGCACACGCCGGCCAGCGGGCCGCGGACTCACCTCGAAGCTGTGCCTCCTCATGCGGCCCAGGCGCCGGCAGTACAGGTAGAGCATGCCGGTGCTGCTGCCCACGGCGATGTAGTCCCGGCTGGCGTCCAGGGCCGTCAGGCGCACCGCCACGGAGCGGAAGCCCTTCTGCACCTTCGCGGGGATGGCGCTGAGGAGGTAGTGCAAGGGGCAGAACTCCCTGAACGTGACGGGCGCCGCCGCAGACGCCATGGCCGGGGTGCACGGTGGCGGTCTTCCGGGGGGCCGTGGGGGGCCGCCTTGGCATCTGGGGAAACCTGCGGGCCGGAGAACAAGGCATGGTCGTTCTTCCGCCGTGCAGTCGCGCCGGAGAGACGTCCTCTCCGACGGTGGGGGTGTCCGACGGTGGGGGCGGGCAAAAACTGCAGCTGGGGCTCAGTCAGACAGAGGCAATAAACCAGCTGTCATTGAGATCACTTCTTTTTAGCATTTTAATTCAAAATGCACTTACCTATGTGCTGGTCCCTGTAATCTATATTGTGATAAAAACCATGGAGGGTGGAAAGAACAGTAAGAAACAGTTCTTATCCTCAAGAATCTTCTGAGCTAGCCAGGGAGGCAGAGAGACGGGACATTCCCAACCCACTCGGGACGAGCTGTGACTCCGTAGGTCTCGATGGGGAGGGCAGCGGTGTGGATCCCAGAGTGGGAGAGGCGTCGCTGGTACAGCCTGAGCCGTGCCAGAGAGCAGCGCCGCAGCCCCAGGGGCCCAGGTGTGCCGGGCTGCGAGGGTCCCCAGCTGCGGCCCACAGCCTCCGCCACGCTCAGAGCCTCCACCACACGCGCCCCCCTCTGCACCTCCGCGACCCGCGCCTCTCGGCTCCTCGGGCTCAACGCCCCCCTCAGCAACACCCCCTCAGCAGACCCTCGATCCTCACACAGCAAGTCTCAGCTCACAGGCGCTCTGTCCCTCATTTGACCCTCCCCTCCCCTGCAGGATGGGGGGCGTCGTCCCCCACTGTTAGAAGAAGGTGCCGAAGGCCAGAGGCTCACAGACTCGCCCAAGACCACGAGGCTGACGTGTGAACTCCGTCTGCCCTCCAAGTCCTGGGCCCTTCCCATGGTCACGGTCACGGTCACGGCTCTGACAGACAGGCAGCAGCTGCAGGTGGACGCTCTGTACCTGCTTACACCTGGGGGCACTTCAGCCCTTTAGGTCCACGGAGGTCGTCAAACTCCTCGACTGGAACCTTCTTGGGACGCTGGGTTTGCAGTCCGTTTGGGGCTTGTCTGTTCCTGCAGAGCTGACTGACTGGCTTCCGAGCCCCCTCCCAGGGACACTCAGCCAGAGGCCCTTGCGCAGGCTGCTCCCCGACCTGGGAGGCTCCTTCTCACTCCGCTCCTGCTGCTTCTCAGTGTGCGGCCTCTGCGAGAAGGCCCCTCCTCCACAAGGCCTTACCTCACCGTCCCCAAATGTGGCTACCTTCCCCCGCTGAGCACCCCACCACACCCCCTCCCCCAGCTCTCTCCACACACCGCCTTTCTCTGCGATTCTGCCTGACCCCCGCCTCACCCCGGGTCTGCAACCCCCACAGGAGCAGAGCCTGCCCGCCCCACCCGCCCCTCTACCCCCGGCCCCTGCGAGAGAGAGGGTTGGGCGCACCAGAGGCGCTCAGGAAGCCCGCGCTGACTACGTGCACACGCTGTGAGACAGGAAAATCTGCCAGGCAGGAAGGAGTGGCAAGAGGGAAGAGCAGCAGAGCAGCACCTTTTCCCCAGTGCGGTCCCCGTTCGCCGCTGAAACCACCACCCCCGGATCTGCCTGCGGGCACAGGCAGCTTCTCGAGCATTAGGTTGAGTCCTCTGTCGCTGAGAGTCACAGCGGCCCCTCCAGGCAGGCAGGCAGACTTGCGGGAACTTCCCGTAGGTACTCCTGACACGCCCCGCCCTCTGCGGCGGGTATGGACACTGACCGCCCTCTTTTAGCAGAAGCTGAAACTCCGGGAGTTTTTCCGACATGTGCCCCAAATCTCACAGTTTCAGGTGCCCCGTGTGACAGAAATCAGGATGGTGAACACTGGTGCTGTCCACACAGCAGCACAGCATAAGTCTGTAACTTTTTCAAAGCAAAACCGAGCCACCCTGGCTGGTGTGGCTCAGTGGATTGAGCGCCACCCTGCAAACCAAAGGATCATGGGTTCCATTCCCAGTCAGGGCACATGCCTGGGTTGCAGGCCAGGTTCCCACTAGGGGGCGCATGAGAGGCAACTACACATTGGTGTTTCCCTTGCTCTCTTTCTCCCTCCCTTCCCCTCCCTCTGAAAATAAAGAAACAAAATCTTTTCAAAGCAAGACCAAGCCTTGGTTGTGCACGTGCCCCAAAAGGTGGGCGAGACCCACCTGACCCAGAAATCAAACGGGGGCCGACTCCCGTGAGAAGGGCCCTGGCAGACACCTCGGGAAAGCACGCAGGTCACTTAAGGGCATGGGACACTGGGACCGAGGGGACAGCAGCGACAGGAACAGCGACAGCGGTGACAGCCCCCACCCTTACTGAACAGCGCCTGTCCTTGGCGCACCGCCTGAAACCCTCACAAAACCCCCGTGCTGTAGGCGCCGCCTGCCTCCCTTCCCCAGGGGCAGAAACTCCCCGCCCGGCCGCTGCAGCCCGCAGCTGGAGGTGCTTCCTTCAGCAGGGACACTCCCACCAGAAGCACAGAGCCCTGCACACCCTCCTCCTCCTCCTCAGGTCGGGAGCCCTGGTCCCCACGTGCCACCATCACTCCCACACGCGGGGGCGGGTGGGGGGCGCCCTGACCCCACGCTGCCGCCAACCGTGGCAGGCGCTGTCTCGGAAGCGGAGCTAAGACCAGTAACCTCAAGTCCAAACGGCTCCCTTGGCTGCACAGCGGCGCTGGGTCACCAGAGCGTGCTGACAGCTCCAGTGGTTGGAGGACTCCCTCCAAAACCTCCAGGGAGCGGCGATTAGCACTCAGTGGTGCGGTCCATTTTGGAAGTCGGGCCACAACATCTGTGGTGTTTCTAAGTGTGAAAACCTTGTGGCTGCACCTAACGAGACTGATGCAGTCAGGTGTCTTCCAGGCGGGACTGGGTCACCTCCCGGTCGGTGCCTGCCGGCCAGCCGGCCAGTGCTCAGCACCCAGCTTCCTCCCAGGCCGCCCTACTTCCGCACGCCCCGCTCTGCATGGCGGGGCCTGCCGGCCGCTGAGCCCAGCCTTGAGCCCGCCGGGCCTCCCCACCCCGCACGCCCGCAGCTGCGTGATCTCTCCACAGGAAGCCCTCTGGGACGCCCTCGGACACAGACACGCGCTCGCCTTTGTTCAGCACAGGCTGCGAGGGCGGTCACACACGGCACCGCCGCCGGCTTCTGTCCCGTCGGTGGCTCCCTCCTGCCTTTGCCCACGTCCTCCTAGTCCGCACGCTCCATGGGGCTCCACAGACCAACGGAGCTCGCGGTACAACCGACGCTCCGTGCGCTTTTGTTTAATTATCTTCTCTCTCAAAACACTGCCAGGAGTCCCCCCATACGACAGCCCGAGAGAGAAGACCGCCCTGCCACAGCCGCGGCCGCGGCCACCCTTAGGCAAACATTCCCGGGTCTCCTGTCCAGGCCGTAGCACTCGGCCGCCACTCACAGGGGAACCGCGCTCTGGACGGCAGCTCACGTCCCCCCGGGGTGGCAAGTCCCCAACCAGGCCCCCATGCCCCCCCCCCCACCGCTGGACAACCGATCTGCCCCTCACTCTTCCCAGTCAGCCCGCTGCTGCCTTAGGCGTCCCCTCCTCCCCCAGAGGAGCCCCAGCCGCTGCTCCACCCCCTGCACAGGGGCTGCTGTGGGGCGGCACTCGCCTCCATCTCCCAGGGCAGCAGCCGCTCTAAGAGAAGTCCGCAAACACAGCCGGGCCCACTTTCCACCACGAGACAGCGTGGCTGAGGGACGACGGAAACCTGACAGAGGCTGCCGCCTAGCCGATCCTTCGGTGAGGACCTCCTTGTCCCGTCTGCGCCCCCTCCAAGCCAGAGGGCCCCCGCAGGCAGGGGTCTGCGGGACTGGGTCTGTCCGGTCCACCCCGCACCCTAGAGCCCGGGTCGGTGGCTGGCATTCAGTGGACCCCAAATAACTACCTGCTGAAAGAACGAACGCGGGGTGCAAGTCGGGCTGCAAACCCCAGCAAGGTCAGAGGTTTAAGGAGCTGCGGCTGGCTGGGTGGGTGCAAGCAGAGAGGCCTTGCAGCTCAGGGAACCGGGAGCTTCTGGAGACCAGGGCCCGGGGTGGCGTCTGGGTCTGGGGATTTCCAGAGACTCCCTTCCTTAAAAGTTTCCAGGACCTCGGCCAAGAAGAAGTGCACCCCGAGGGCAGCCGGTCACTCCAGCAGACCACGCAAGTGTGCGCCCACACGCCGCCCACGGGTGGAACAAAATAAACGGCGGCACCTCCGCGAGAAAGTGAGGACGCACAGAGCCGGGAAGAGCCACGGCAGGAGAGCCGTTCTTCGTGGGAAGGCAGCGCCTATCGGCACGGGCTTGGCCCTCCACACGCGCCGACCCCCTTCACGCTCCCCGGGACGGAGGCAGAACCCAGCGTCACCTCCAGCTCGCTGACTGCCGGGCGGACTCTCACAGCCGCGGCAGCGCCTGCCCGGAGCACACACCCGAGCCCCGTTCTGCAGCCTGCACCACCTATTCTGCCTCCCGGGCCTCGAAGCAGCACCCAGGGAACGGCCGCTTCCTCGGCACCCCCGGGGTACGCGCCCAGGCCCCGGGGCGCGCAAAGCCCGGGCGCTGAGAGGGCCGGGGACGCACGCAGGCTCCGGCGCTCGGGGGCCGGGCGGGGGGCGCGGCGTGGGAGGAGCGGGGCGCGCCGGGCGGGGGCCGAAGCGGGAGGGCGACAGCTGCCGCGCTCCGCGGGCCGCCAGCGTCTGCGAAGCGGGCGCTTCGTGGTCGGACATGCAGCCTCGGCCACCCGCACGGGCGAGACCTCGGGAGCGGGAGAGGGGGCGAGCCGGGCAGGGCGACCCCAAGTCGCTGAGGCGAGGGGCGGCGGCGGGGAAGCCGACGCCAGCCGCGTCGCCGGACTCACCTCCCGCCACAGCCCCTCAGGGACTCGTCGGGCCCGCCGGGCCGGAGGAGGAGGGACGGACTCCGGGCCGCGGGAGCTGCCGGAAGCTCGTTCCCTGGGCCACCGGGCCCGCCCCGCCGAGCGACAGCCGGCTCCTCCGGGGGCTAGAGCGGCGGAGCCACAAGTGGCGGCGGGAGGGGCGAGCCGGAAGTGACGTGAGCGCGCAGTGGGCGGGGCCTCGGGTCTCCTTCCGGGGATCTGCGGCCGGCATGGAAGGTGCGTGAGAGGGGCCGGTTTCCCGGGGCGGGGAGGGGGGGGCGGGGTGGAACTGTGGGGACTGGGCGGGAGGCCCGGGGCCTCGGGGTTGAGCGGGGTCCCCGCGTCGCTCCGGCCCAGCCCGCTGGCCCCGCGCGGGCCCTGCTGTCGGCCCGGGAGCCGGTCGGTGAGGCCGAGCATCAGTTTTTCCAAGCGCAGAACGAGTTGCACGCAAAAAAGTGTCCGCGGATCCTGACGCTCGCATCGTCTTTGACATTATAAATAGCATTAGCGCAGCGCTGCCCCTGAGCGGCCCCCGGGCGGAGTTACCGGGCACAGTCCTTCCGCTGGCACTAAGAGCTGGCACTCGGCGGGTGGTCCCTGTGCGCCCCGAAGTGCTCGGAGGGCTGGACGGGGGTCACCTCTTTGAGCCTCACGGCGATCCCATAAGGCGATGTCCGCAGATGGGCAGGGAGGCTGGAGGGCGAGGTGGCGGAGCCACCCACCGCCCTCGGCCTCACGCTGCTCTGCCCTCTGTCACCGGCCTGCCTGTCCTACCAGCCTGTGACATTGTTGGGGTCAGAACTGGTTTTGGTTCCTAAGCACGTGCTGGGGGTGCGGCTGACAGATGATGAATCAGATGGGATCCTGGCCTTGAAGGAGCCCGTACTGGGGGAGAGAACCCCTTGGAAGACGATGTAGCATGGGTGGTGCACGCAGTTTCCCTAGTCGACACATTTTATTCAACACCTACTGTGTGCTGAGGCTATGAGAAGGAACACGGAGCATGAGCCCTTGGCCCGCGGGAGCTGATGCTGTCTGCAGGCAACGTGCTCAGAGCTGAGTGGGTTGCCTGGCGGTGATGGAAGGCCACGCATTGGAGAAGTCCTCGTGACTGCAGATACTGTGTTGGACACTTACTGCGTGCCAGGCCCTCACAGCTTTCCGTATATTATCCAACCTCTATGCCAACTCTCTGAAGTAGAGAGTTGTAGAGAGTCTGAAGTCTTATCCCCATTTTACAGATGGGGACATTGGGGCTCTGAGAGGTTACTTAACGTGCCCAAGGTCTCACCGCTGGCGAGAGCAGCACTGGGATTCCGGTGCAGTCGGGATGGTCTTCAGGGCTGGACTCCGAACGGTGCCGCTGCGCATGCACTGCACCCTTTCAAGGCCTCTCACGGAGTTCAGACGACCTCCTGGGGACCAGGAGCAGAGCAGCCTCTGATGGGTTCCGAGTAGGGAGGGGGAGAGGGCACAGGAGCGCTGGAAGAGCCCAGACAGCCTGAGTGGGCTTTGGGTGGTCTGGGGGTGGCTTCCCACAGGGGCTGGGATCTGGGTGCATCTTGGGGCATGGGCAGCGCTAGCCCGAGAGAGGAAAGAACTTTCTAGCAGAAAGAACTGCATGTGTAAAGGTCTGCAGCTGACCCCACTTTGAGAGCTGCCAGCAGTTCATCTTAGCTGTAGGTTAAGGGGGTTCCAGGCAGGGGTTAGGACGAGGGTTGAGGTGGAGAGGAGGTCAGGTCCTGAGGTCCTCTGCCCCTCGGGGTCGGCCTCGTCAGTGTCCTGGGCACCTCGAAGCTCTGAACAGACGTGAGGCACCCGAGTGCCTGAGACCAGGTGACACGAGTACCCAGTCTCGGGGCTGGGAGGTTTTAGCAGAAAGTCACAACTTCTCCCGATTTCCAGCCGTGAAAGCAGCCGAAGTGCTTAAGGTAAAGCTGTGTGGATCCGTTAAGCTAGGAAAGGATCCAGCCATCGCGGGCGAGTCTTCAAATGTGAAAACCATTCTGTTTTTTTCTCATTCCGGGAACTTTCCTGGTCATCCAGACTTCCCGGTGTCCACGTGACTTATTTGTCCAGTTGATGCAGCATTCAGTTTCACTGTGGGGAGTTCTAAGAGCCTTTGCCCTCCAGCTGTGGCCACGAATTCCATAACAGTTGTGTTTCTTTCACTGCCCACCAGCAAAGACCCCGGGAAGTGCAACGCCCAGAAAGCCTGTCTTATCTGTCAGCGCGAGAAAAATTAAGGACAATGCCGCTGATTGGCATAATTTAATCCTGAAATGGGAAACCCTCAATGACGCAGGCTTTGCTATTGCAAATAATATCGCCAACACGAAGATCAATTTATTGTAAGTACAGCTACGGCCCCTCCGAGCTCTTCATTTTTAATGATTGGGCACGAGTTTTGTGGGGGTCTGTTATGGGGGAAGGGTGGTCTCCATCAACATGGACAACTTAAATTATATTAAGGAAAAAAGCAAGTGGTAGAATGATACATGCAAGTATGAAGTATTAACGCACATTTAAATACAAAATTACACTGTGCGGGATCTGGCACAAATAACGCCCTTGTTTTATTACAGGCTCTTTTATTACAAAGTCATAAGCATGTAATTCTGCAATATAACAATATCACACTCGAGCATGCCATGTGACATTTGAGGTGACATGTTCAAATTAAAACTATAAATTATCACGCCCTTGTTATCACCCTACCAACCACCCTCAAGTAGGCCTTACTCCTGCTGGACCCTGTGTCCTGTTCCTGGTTACATCTAAATATACAAAATACATAAAATTATAAAAATAGATCGGAAGGACGCAGGCACAGTTCATGACCTTGGTCTCCTCTGGGAAGAATAAGTGTTGGGGTGGTTGGTAAGGGGGAGGTTGTCTTCATAATGTTGCGTCTTATTTTGCAACATTGTGATTTACAGTAAGAAATATCTCTTCCTCCGTGTTCCTGACACACAACTCCCAAACCCCTTATAATTCCCTAATTAACAAGAGCAATGGGAGAATCTCTCCTTACAATGTTTGGTCTTTTGTCCTCAAGTAGTCCCGGCTCCTGAAATAGTTCCGGGGCGGTAAAAGAAGTGTCTCCCATTTGTAACAAGCCCCTTTGGACCATGCCTGAGTTTATGTTAATAAGGTGACTTGGGGGAAGCCCTGGAGGATGCAGGCTGGTTGCCAGGGGAACCAACCAAGCAACAGGGGCCTGGAACTTTTAGCACCACTCCTGTGGGAGGCGAGAGGGGCTGGAGGTTGAGCTAACCGCCAGCAGCAGCCACCTGTGGCTCCATCCGCCATACCTGTGGGGTTTGGAGAGCTTCCAGGCTGGTAAGTGAGAACAGTCGATGTGCTGGAAGGGTGTCCCCAAACTCCACAGGGGCAGAAGCCCCTCCTGGACCTCGCCTCACACACCTCTTCATCTGGCTGTTCTTTCATATTCTTCAGTATCTTTCGCAGTAAGCGGTAATGTAGTGAGTGAACCGTTCCCCCGAGTTCTGAGAATCACCCGAGCACGTTAATCGAACTCGAGCAGGGGGTCGCAGGACCCTCTGCTGCACAGCAGTCAGTCGGAAGGACAGGGAGCAGCCTGGACCCCCGCGAGGCCCGCTCTCGGGCACTGAGCGCTGCGCCCGCGGGAGCCAGCGCTGTCTCCCGGTAGATCAACCTCTTCTCGAGGTTGTAATTCCGTGCAGACACCCTCCAGCGTGTGCGTCTCTGAGCCAGAGCCTAGAGACGCGAACTCCTGGCCTGCACTCCGGGCCGCAGCCGCGCTTTCCTGCGGAGTCCTGCTCAGCCGGCCCCGTGAGCTGCTCCCACATTCCCTCCCCCGTTTTAGTATGGAACTTCTTCCCTTCCGTGTTGATCGTGGCCCCACTTGATTATTCTCCTGCCCCGTGGGGCACGGCCTTCAGTGTACGGAATGCCTTCCGAGCTCGTCATCCCCGTGCCCAGCCCCGTGCCCAGCCCCGCGCCCCGCGCCGAGGGGGCCCCAGGGCTGAAAGTGATTGACTCACTCTAGTGCCGAGTTGAGTAACTGGCGGATGTATCCGTCGTGTACGTAGACGAGTCGACGTTTAATTACGTAAAGCAGCACGTTTGGGGAACCCCTGACGTCACTTCCTGGACGTCGTCGCGTCATCTCGGGTCCGCCCTAACGGGCCGAGGCGAGCGCACAGAACGTGACCCGCTCCCCCTCTTCCGCTCTGTCCAGGAGCAGAGACGAGGCCGAGCTCGGGAGTGGCGGGCCGGCCTGCGGCGGAGATGCAGAGCGGACGCCTGCGGGGTACAGCGCGGAGCTCGAGGCGCGGTGCGAGGAGCTGCGAGCTACCTTGGACGCTTTGGTAAGGCCCAGGGACCCGGCCCCTGCGCGCCGTCCCTGACTCCCGGGCGCCTCTGGCCCGGGGGCTCGCCTGCCACTGGGCCGCGCTCGACTCTGCGTGGTCGTTCCTGCTCAGACACTGGCTTCTCCCTCCTCAGCCGCCTCTGCCTGGTCCGCAAGTCTTGCTGTCCCCAAGATGCTGCCCCGACCTTTGTTCTTTTGGTCCCAGGTGTTCATGGGACCAAATCTCACCCCCTTGCCGGCTCCATGGTAACTGTTTTACGGCTCGGTAGGCCCCCAGCCTCTCTTGTCGCCACTGGGCTCTGCTCGGTGACCCCAATGCGGCCAGAGACAGGGCGGAGGCGAGTGGCTGGGCTGCGTTCCAGCAGAACCTTCCTTGTCCATCCTGAAGCTTGAATTGCATAGTTTTCACGCGTCACCACGTATTCTTTGGATTTTTTTTCAGCCACTTAAAAATGTAGCCCCCGTTCTTAGCTTGCAGCCCTACAGAACCAGCTGCGGGCCGGCCGGCCTGTGGGCCCTGGCTGGTAAGTGGTCGCTCGGTGAACTGGTGACTGGAGCTCCGCGCCCACCGCCCGGGCCACCAACCGTGGACGCCGCACGGCGCCCCTTTGCCGGCCCGGGAATGAGGGTTTGCGCATGTCTGAACTTGGATAGCTACAGCTCGCCCGTGACCATAAAATCCTTAGTTTCAACCTTTGCTGATGGAAGTGCTTCCTATACTTTACATGCTTCCTTGCCTTCTTTAACAGAATATGTTGAACATAATTACATTTCTTCAGCATGCCGTTTACTCGGAGTTAGGATTCAAAGGAGTTTTTCAGGAAACAACACTAACCCTCCCAAATGCCGCATCACTCGTGAGGTGCGGGATGCTTTCAGAAACACTGGAATGGGAAGATGAATGGCGCATTGAGGGCATCTCGGTGACATAGCCTTTTGTTTTAGATCGAAAGGCGACACTGACTTCAGCCATTTGGCTGTGTGTGGGGCTGTTTGTCTCCTCTGGACAACTAGGGTTTTGTGACTGTCCTGCCATTTGGGGACGCTGCCTTCCCTCTCGCCCTAGGCGAGCAGTGTCGTCTGTCAGCCCCACGCCCAGAAGGGCGGGGACAACGTGGGTGGGCTCTGGGATTCCCGCTGTCTTGGCTTTGGCTCCCTGTCCACCCTGTGTCTCTGGTGGGCGCGCTCTGGGCCAGTGGGGGTAACAAAGGCAGAGTGACCCGCTGAAGGTCACAGTTAATAAGCTGTCAAAGGCTGGTCACCGTTCCAGTGTTTTTTCCCATAACCCGTCTGACTGTGGCAAGTGCACACGAGCAGGCTGGCGTGGGGCCTGCAGGACCCCTGCAGTCCTGACCTGCAGCAGCTTTTCTTAGAGGAGGGCGCGCCAGAGAGCTGCCGCCCAGTGTGGGGGAGAGAGCACGCGCTGGGTGCCGGGGCTTGGGGTCAGAAAGCGGGGCCTCGGGTCCTGGCCTCGTCCCTCCCGAGCTCAGCAACCTTGGGCGCTTGCCCAGCTGTCGGACGGGAAGGGAGCCTGCCTCTTGGGGCTGAGCCAAGGGACGTATCGAGCCTGAAAGGACCTGGGAAAGGAGTGCCATGCTTTAGAGGTCAATGCTGGCTGCATGCAGCGCGAGCCGCTCCAGGTGTCCCTGGAGGGTCCGGTGGCGGGAGGACCAGGTGCGAGGGGCGAAGACTTGGGCGCCCTAGAGATCCTTTATACCCCCACCCCCGCGCTCCCAGAGGGGGCTGTGCCCAGGAGTTGGGAATGTGTCCTCGAGCCCGTGCCACTCAGACCTGAGCTCCTGGTGGCCCCGCCCGTCCGCTTCGTGTATGTGTGTGCGTGTTGCATGTATTGGGGTGGCACTGGTTGGTGAAAGTGTGTGGGTTGCAGGTTCTGTGATGCATCGCCTGTGTGTTGTGCTGTGTGCTCGTCACCCCAAGTCAAGGCTCCTTCCAGCACATTTACCCCCCTTTGCCCTCTCCCCCCAACCCCCCGTGATCACCGCACGGTTGTCAGTGTCAAAGAGGTTTTCCTTTTGGGGGAGCTGCTTTCTTCACCCTTTCACCGAGCCCCCCAACTGCCCTCCCCCCTGACGGCTGTCAGTCTGGTTCTCTGTGTCTGAGCCTGTTTCTGTTGTTTGTCAGCTTATTGTGGTCACTAGGTCCCACACGTGAGTGAGACCACGTGGTGTCTGTCTTTCCCTGACTGGCTCAGTTCACTCCGCATGATGCCCCCCAGGTCCACCCACGCCGTCGCGAAGGGTAAGAGTTCCTTCTTTCTCATGGCTGAGCACCCCTCTGTCCTAGTCAGCAAGCCCTTACCCAGCACCGGCAGGCACTTCGTCAGGCCGCTGAGGGGCAGCGGGGGCGGTGTCCGCATGGGGCACCAGCTGCACGCGGGGCCTGGCTGGCTACCCCGGGGCACCGCCAGGGTCCCGTCGCCTCCTTCCTGAGCTCCGTCCTGCGGGGTGTGGGCTGCCTCTCACTGTCACCATGTGATGAACAAGGAACCTGGGCTCCGAAGGGACTCCCAGAGGCGGTCAGTAAGAGTCGGGAGTGAGCTCAGTTACGGCCTGTCCGTCTTGCCTTCCACAACGGCAGAAGTCCGCCTTGCGGACGACCCCTCCTCATCTCTGGTTGGTGCTGAGAAGTTAGTGCCCGGGGAAACTCTCAGGGAGCTCCTTCTGCTCCAGGACTGGAAGTCGGGCTCATTGCCGAGTAATCCAGGTTAATGAAATCGGCCACTGTCTGCCCGGAAACTTGCTGTGCGTGGAGTGAATGGTGTCGAATGACTGGACGTTTGGTCTCAGCAGACTGACACTTACTTCCCTAGCTCTGAAATCTTAGAGTGCTGGAACCTGAGACCGGAGGAGATTTCAACTCTTATTATTACATTCCAAATTATTATCTTTTCAGACGAAAATACAGGTGAAAATGGAAAAGCTCTCTTCAACTACCAAGGGAGTGTGTGAACTGGAAAATTACCACTATGGGGAGGACGGCCCACGGCCCCCGCTGTTCCACACGTGGCCTACGGCCCGCTTCTGTGAGTGCTCCCCGCGGGGCCGCGGGGCGGGGGGGGGGCCTGTGGGGGGCCGCAGGGCGGCAGGGCGCCGGCGCTGCGTTTTAACCACCAGAGAATGGTGACAAAGTAATTAGAGACCCAGGCAGCAAGCTGCCGTGACTGGCCCTTTAAAACCAGTGAGTAGAATAAAGTCTGCCACTTCTGCAAAGACAGAAATCTTGACTTTTTTCCTGAAGTTTTTTTTTTTTGTGGGTGTTTTGTTTCGTTTTTCATTTTGTTTTAATGAAAAAACTTCAGTGAACCTCATGGAAGAAGACTGCTTGGAAACTGGAATTCATTACTTGAACAACCTCTATGAGACACTGTTATTTTTAGCTTTATTAGTTCAAAAGAAGGGCTAAGCTTTTTGATATCGATGTGAGATCTCACTTTTAAATGAGGGAGGAAAAGGTCAAGTCAGCTAGCCTGGTGTGTTGAAATACTGTCAGTTTGGGGTTGACCTGCTCTTTATAATCATCGCGGGTCCTTAGTTGAGGAGAAAGGGCAGAGTCACTTTTCATTCGCGGTACTCACCGCAGCAGCTCCTGCTAACGGGCTCCAGCTGTCGGTCCTCAGTCCTGGTGCCGCTGCCGATTCTGGGGGGCGGCAAGGAGCGCGTGCGGGCGGCAGCCTTTCCCGGGCAAGGCTGCCCCCTCGGATCCTGCCACTGAAGGGAGGCTCTCGCGTTCCAGACGAGGTGGCCCGCCAGCTCCTGGCCATGTACCGGGAGGAGCTGCTCCTGAAGCGCGCCATCGTCGCGGGGCTGGCGCACACCACGGACCGCAACCTCACCCTGACCTACCTGTCCCTGTGGCTGCACCAGCCCTGCGTGCGCAGCGACAGCAGGCTGCTCCTGGAAAGCATGCTGCTTGAAACAGGGCACCGAGCTCTGTGACTTCCCACCACGGTCCGCGTGCCATCTCCAGAGCCCTGCCTTCGCCGCAGGCTCCCGCAGCCCCCACACGGACCGTCCCACAGTGGGGACCCACGCCCGCACCCCGGCGCCATGCCCGGACTCTGGCACGGCCACCCGCCCACCTTCTAGGGTCTCCCGGACAGGACCCTTGCACCGCTCCCTGTGGCCTCTCCAGACACGCCCGTTAACTGCTGCGCGCCATCTGCCACTCGGCGCCATCCGTCCCTGTGGCGAGCCTGTCGGCCACGAGGACCTGGGCGTGAAATAAATGAGCTCCTTCCTCCAGAGCAATGGAGTGGTCCTGTCTTTGTAAGCCAGGTGTATTTTACAGGGCTCACATTTGTGGACAGAGTCCCTGGTTTAGTATTTATACTTTATACTTGCTGGTATTGTTTGAACTTCTGGGGCTGTATTAGTTTTGCAATTACGGCTGATGTTTAAAATACCACAGGGTCACCTGGGCAACGATGGCACCATGAAAAGGATCACCCCCTATAAAAAAAATGGCCCATCGGCAACCACCCGAGTGGTGGTGCTTCCGCGTGGCTCTCCTGGCATAAATCCTGTGGCGTGGCAGTGGTCGCAGAGAAACACGGAGGGCGGGAGGGTCAGTTCTGCCGTGCTCCCCAGGAACAGAGGCCTGAGAAATTTCGCGCTGTGGGATACCGGGTGGGGCCTCGAGACACTGAAGTTCCGTTACCCTGGAAACAAGGGCCTCCCCGGGGAAGGAGAGGACGCAGGCCGCCAGTGAAAGGCTCGGTCCCCGGCGGGCTATTCCGAGGAGAAGTCCGGCGCCCTGACTGTGCAGGCTGACCCATCAAAAGCACTTACAGGCAACAATTTTTAGAATTTCTCTTGCCTCTGCCTTTGCAGTATTTGCGGAAATCCAACCTCATAGAAGTTTCCCATGGTATGTCTTGCAGGCTGGGAACCACGTGGTTGGCGCTTGAGCCGGGACAGGTGGGCGGGGCCCCCAGAGGCACGGGTCTGTGGGCAGTTTCGTGTTTGGGGGGACACTCCGAGACAAATGCTCTTCAGGGGAGACACAGAACAATTTGTAGGCCTTTCTGGGACGTTTCCTGTTTCCTGATGCCTCATCCCCTGGACACCACATTGGCCATTAATAGGAAGAATCGATGCTGCGAAGGACAAGCAGAACCAAAAGCGCTGAGTGAGGAACACATTACCGGGTGGCACTCACCCAGAGACCTCGCACCGAGGGACCAGACTGACGGAAGAGATCTCCGGGGGTTGAATTTGCCGCATCCCGAAGTCTGCACGATTCTAGACAATCTGCAATGCAGTTTCTACCCCAAAGAAACCACGGAGTCCCGAGAGAACCACAGCAGACTCCTGACCACAGCGGCTGAGTCACAGTTCTCTCCTGTGCCCCCAGAAATCCCGCCCAGCGGGCAGTGCAGGAGCGTGAAAGTACCAACAAAACAGAACAGGGTTGGGGGAAAGGTTTGGGGACGAATTCATGAAAAGTACCTTTAATTAAAACTAAAAACATACATATGTAAACATATATATGTTTATACATATAAAACTCCAAGAAATACAAAAGCATAAAAATAATCACAATGGCCCTGGCTGGTGTGGCTCAGTGGATTGAGCACCAGCCTGTGAACCAAAGGGTCGCAGGTTTGATTCCCAGTCAGGGCACATGCCTGGGTTGCAGGCCAGGTCCCCGGTTGGCAACCACACATTGATGTTTCTCTCCTTTTTTCCCTCCTCCCCCCTCTCTAAAAATAAATAAATTAAATCTTTAAGAAAAAAAGTAATCACAATGTACCACACAGAGCTCAGCTGTGCACAGCATTTGCATGTCATAAAAAGGAGCGCCACCTTTCTTTAAAAAATAAATACATCTTAGGAAATTGACACCTTAAACTATATGCATGTGTGATTTTGTTAAAAATAACCAAAGACCAGTCTCAGCTGGTGTGGCTCTGTGGATTGAGCGCTAGCCTGCAAACTGAAGGTTTGCTGGTTCTATTCCCGGTCAGGGCACATACTCAGGTTGTGGACCAGACCCCCAGATGGGGGCAACCAATCTATGTTTCTCACATGGATATTTAGCTCCCTCTCTAAAAAGATTAATTTAAAGAAAAGCAAATTAAAAAATTCCAAGGCCGCCCTGGCTGGCGTAGCTCAGTGATTGAGCGTGGGCTGCGAACCAAAGCACCGCAGGTTCGATTCCCAGCCAGGGCACATGCCTGGGTTGCAGGCCATGACCCCCAGCAACCACACATTGGTGTTTCTCTCTCTCTCCCCCCCTTCCCTCTCTAAAAATAAATAAATAAATCTCTTTTTAAAAAATCCAAGGCCATTATCTCTAGGAAAACCAAAGCTCACAAGAAAATATCCTTACAGCTCAGAGGCTCAGCGGTGAACAGTATTTACACTCCAGTGTATGAAGCAAGTCCTGAGTTAACACCAACGTGTGCGACAGAGTGCGGGGGAGGGGGGTGTGCACCATCCCCACGTGTCAGTGGTTCGCCCACGGACCACAGCCAACGGACAAGTCAAGGCAGCAGGGCAGCCGCAGTCACAGGGCACCTGAGGGCTGAGGTCGGGGCTGGCGCTGCTCGTCAAGGCCCTTTGGTAGCCCTTTGGACATTTCAAACTACGGGCATGTTGTTCCCGAGATGAAAACAAAAATGTATCTGAAAAACACGGTCCTTAGCCCTGGCCGGTTAGCTCGGTTGGTTGGAGCGTCGTCCCGCCACACCAAGGTTGCAGGTTCGATCCCTGGCCAGGGCACGCACAAGAATCAGTGAATCACAGACAGGTGGGACGACAAATCGATGTTTCTGTCTCTCTAGAGTCAATAAATTAAAAACATACGGACCTCAGAGGGCACTGCAGACCGACTCCCACCGCCCCTGCTTCCTGCTCACCGGTCCGCACCCCCACGACCTGGTGGGCGTGGGGGGCCTGCTGCCTCGGGAGCCTGGCCGGGTGCCGCTGCTGAACCGGCCTGGGTGCCACGGTCAGTGCTGCACACACAGGGGCACCCCAGAGGCCCACGGCAGCCGCCCTGCGGTTCCCCCTGGGCGGTGTGCGCGTCCGGTGTCTGTCCAGGGCCCCTTCGCTGCTGCGCTTCAAGTGCTCTGTACACCAGAGAGTTCTTGATGGGGATGGGACACTTCCCGTGGTTTCTGAGTTAAGGTCACGTCCGTCCGTCGGTGCGGTGCCGTGACAATGATGACGCTGGCTCCTCTCCGTCTCGGTGCTGGGGGCCCTGTGGACGCTGCCCCCGCAGAGAGGGCACAGGCCCCGGTGGCCGAGGTCAGTCCTGTGTCACATGTGTGGGGACTCTGCGGCTGCGCCGCCGGAGCCTCCCGCGCTGCGGAGCGCACACACACGCACGGCGGGCACGTCTTCCTCCACTGGCAAACTCACTGCCCGCTTACAGCGGCGCCCACACCACGGTGAAGCGGAGGCGTGCTGGGACACTCCCTCGAGGAACGTCCTGTAGGGAGAGAGTAGACACGCACTCCACAGGCCTCGGCCGGATTTGACCGGCTTCTCGTGCGCGCTGCCCGGGGGTCATCCAGGCTCCACCTTTTACAGAAGCCTCATGTGCCTCGTTTGTGAGATGCAAGGAGACACAACTTTCTTCCCTGCTCCCCGGTACAATGCTGCCCAGAACGGCTAGCTCGTTTGCTTGTTTTCTTACTGACCCCAGAAGCAGCTTCTAGCATGGACCCAGTGCGGTGAGACAGCAGCATGCGTCGAGGAGCAAGGGGACGGTCGAGTCCCGGTGGGCGGCAGGGACAGAGCTGCACCAGCAGCTTCTGGGAGCCAGACGTGGGGAGAAACTCCTCGCGTGGGGACCGCGCTGCGGCCACAACCACGAGGGGGAGGCGCCGCTCTTTATAAATGCTCGTCTCTGCCTGCGCTCCCGTCGGCGCAACACGTGTCGCTTGAAGCCGACCCTCCTCGGGTCAAACACACGCACGGCTGGGACTACGGTTCTGACTGGCTCTCACCAGGCGGGCGCTGCCCCCACGGCTGCGCGAGGAGCCCCTCCGGTGGGCACGTGTGCAGGACGGGCCCTTCCGCCTCGGTCAGTGTGGCCACTCCCTCCTCCCCGGACGCCGCGGAACCCGGGCGGGGTGGGAGAAGCCCGCCGGCAGTCTGAACGAGGGTCTGCTCCCGCCCCCGAGGCAGCACGCCGCACCCGCCGGCGATCCCCACCACCGCGGCCTCACCCGCGGCCGCCGTGCTCCCCCGTCCTCTCTGGTCAGCGTGTGTCCCCGTCCCGTGGGGGGCCTGGTCCGCGTCCGCCGCAGGGCTCCCAAGACCCCCTTGTGTGGAGAGCGGAGGCCTCGGCTCAGGCTCGGTGCTGCGGGTGGCGGGCACCGGCACCACGCGCACAGACAGGACGTCCCCCAGCGGAGGGGCCTCCCCCGGGCTGGCGGGGCTGGCGCGCTGGCCACTCACGGGGGAGCCTGGCACCTGGCCGAGCGGTCCTGCCCCGCTGCGTCCAGAACCGCCAGGCAGCAGGGATGCCACTCCTTCCTCGGACATCGAGCTGCTGCAGAGTCCGCAGCTCCCCAGGCTGTCCCCGGCGTGTAGGTCTGAAGAGTGTCCCTGAGCATCCTCCGTGGGGAACGCTACCGCCTGCTCCGGGGTCAGCGCGCCAGGCCGTCCCCGCTGCGTATCCTGGTGCGAGGGGGCGGGGTCTGCAGGCCCGCTGGGGGCTGCGCAGTCAGCAAGCGCGTTCAGCTGCCCGCCGGCCTGGGGCGTACCGGGGTCGCGGTCAGAAACCGGGGGTGTGTGGCCGTCTTCAGGACCGCGGCAGGCGCTCCCGTGCGCTCGGGGGGCGGGACCTAGACAGTGGGGAGAGCAGGTGGTCACGCGTGAGCCGCGCTGAGGCCCGTTTGTCGCATGCACCGTCCGAATAAGCTGGTCCAGATTAATCTTATTGCAAGAAAAGGGAACACATAAACGCTCCTTGCAACTTGGCATGGGAGCTTCCCGGTGCAGAAGCAGCTGCGAGAGGAAACGCAGGCCCGGGAGGCGAGGAGAGCGGGTGCCAGGGTTCTCACTGTTCTCGAGAGCGCCCCACCGCCCCACCCACCAGGGAGTGAGGTCCCAAGTCCGAAAACGGAGGATGGCCCCTCCTCAAACCAGAGGCCACCGCCCCAGAAGCTTTCGGAACTTTACTGTCACTCTCAGCGGGCCGTCTGTTCAGAAGCTGGCTGAGGGGTTCTGGCCGGCGCAGGATGGAGGCCTGGCTGTCGCAGGTGAGACCTCAGCCGGCACCCAGAGCCGAGTCTGGGGAACCCAGCCACAGACGCGGTGCACCTGGGGCCCGGCCCTGCTCTCGGCGCTGCCCCGCTTCTCAGCACCCCCCACCCCACCGCCCACCCCCCACCACAGCAGCTCTGAAACGTGGGGGCGCTGGAATCAAAGTCTGGAGGAACCGGAGGGCTCCCAGACGCTCCCACAGGGGCAGCAACCCTGCAAAGCAGGCCTCTGAGCCGCGGGGCACGACCAGGGCAAGCACTTTACCCTCGCCGGCCGCCGGGGCGCCCGCGCTGTCAGCAGAAGACGCAGTGGGCTCCTGGGGCAGAGCTGCCCTCCTGGTCCTCTTCGCTGAGGCCAGCCCCGCCTCCACGGTCTAGGAGGAGAAGACCCAAACAGCTGAGACTAGCAGGAAGCGGGCAGACGGCACCCCTTCCTCCCGGAGAAGCGTGGAGAGTTCCAGAAGGGAAGCCGCAGCACCCCGCGGAGCCCCGGCCCCCTGTGCGCCACGCCCACCTCGCTCTCCCTCTTCCTGGGAACCGCGGCCTCCGGCCCCCGCCCGTCTGCCCCGGCCGGCCCCTGGCTGCTGCACGGGTGCGGACCACCATCCGAGCGAGTCTCTCTCCTCCGCAGGAACCCTTCGGGGATCCCCAGGGACTCGGCGACCTGGGGAGAGCAAGGTGTGAGGATGAAAGGCCTGCGTGCACGCCTGCGGCGTCCCTCTGTCCTGGGAGGCGCCGCCCAAACGCTGAGGAAAAGGAAGGTCCGCACGAGCTCCATGGAGGAGCTGATGGCGAGACGGGCCATGATCAGGGCCAGACGTTCCGGGTCAGCAGTTCAGAAGACACTACAGCGGTTTTCTAAAAACTGTCAAACACTCTCTCCAGTGTCACCACAAGCTCAGTGATGTGAGTCTGACACCAAGGTCACTTTCTGGCCCGCTCCGCCTCCTTCAGGGAAGTGATCCTGCCTACTCTGGACCAGGTCTCCTTCCCCAGCTGGTGGGGAGGGCGCGGGTGTGGGGGGCTGGGGCCCGACGCTGGAGCCCGGCTTCTCCGCTCAGGGCCTGGGCCGCCTCGGCAGCCGCCCATCTGAGACCTCCGCGGCCGCGAAGGGGTTTGGCGAGGAGCGCATCAGAGTCCACACGAGCAGCAGCAGGTGTGAAGGTCATGAGTGACAGCTGCGTGGACCTCACAGAGAGAACACACAGCAGGTGGGGGCGGGGCGGGGAAGTGAGGGCACAGCCAGGTTAGAGGAAGGATTGGGGATTGGCAGGTTTAGCGTCTACCAGGCTGACAGGGTGGCCTTGCGAACCATGCGGGGACTCTGTCAGAGACGATGGAAGGCTCCCAGGCACCGGCAGTGGGGGCGGGGCCCCGGGTCTCCCTGCTGGCCAGGGAGGGCCCCCGAATGACCTGACCACGTGGTGCACGCTACACCCAGCAAAGGGTCGGTCCACGATAAGCCAAACGTCTTTTTAAAAACATGTGTCGGCCCTGGCTGGTGGGGCTCAGTGGATTGAGCACTGGCCTGAGAGCCAGAGGGTCACTGGTTCGATTCCCAGTCAGGGCACACGCCTGGGTTGTGAGCCAGGTCCCCAGTAGGGGGCGCATGAGAGGCAACCACACACTGATGTTTCTCTCCCTCTCTTCCTTCCTCCCTCCCGTCCCCTCTCCCTAAAAATAAAATAAATAAAATCTTTAAAAATAAAAACATGTTCCCATCAAGGGCCCAATACAGATGCAGGAAATGTGATGATAACAATGACACTGAAATGAGAAATCCGTCAGAACCACCAGAAACAACAGCTGTTGGCCTCTCTGTGGCCCGCCCCCAGAAACCTGCAGAATGAAGGAAACCCTGGTGACCACGGCGTTAACTCTGATAATCAGTGGGGGAGGGGAGTCCAGTGCTGTCAGTTTTCCTACTTATTGATTTTTAGAGAAGAGGGGAACGGCGCAGGGCGGGGGGTGGGGGGAGACAGACAGACAGACAGACAGACGTCGGTTTGCTGTTCCCCTTATTGATCTCTGGCTGACACTTGCATGTGCCCCGATGGGGGAACAGGGGAACTGAACCCGCAACCTCGGCGCATGGGGACGACACACTCACCACCGGAGCTACCCGGCCAGGGCCGGTGTTGTCAATTTTCTTTTACCTTATCTGCCTTTCTGAGTTTTCTTTAAAAGAAAAAAAAAAGCATGTGCCACTTTCGTATGGAGAGGAAACCCTGTGCCTGACAGGAGGAGAGCGGAAGAGAGGCCGCGGTGAAGGTGCCGCTCCAGAAACCGCTCTCCCTCCTGGCGCACGCCCTTCGCCCGCGAGCTCCCAGGGACAGCTGTCCCCGCGGGACGGTTACCTCGCCGTCACTGATCTCCAGGGGCTCCTGGGGACGGGGGCCGGAACTGCGGAGGTAATCCTGACACATTTTCTTAACCATTCTGTGCAGCTCTTCGAACTCCTTGTACACGGCTGGGAAGAGAGGCTTCGCCGGACGGTCCTTCCCAACCTTCGTGGGGGTAAAGATGACGGCGGGGTTTACACCCGAGGCGATGGCGCGGGAAACACGGCCGGAAACTTAAAGTCGGGGAGCACACAGGTTCCTCAGGCCCCAGCGGAGGCCCGGCGGAGGCAGGGGCGTCCTGCATGCCCCGGTGAGAGCCTGCCGTGCCCCAGCAGGAGGGCCTGGGGGAGTGGGGGTGGCAGGAAGGCCTGAGGGCGGGCGTGTTCACGGCCCGGTGCGGGGAGGAGGTCCAGGCCTGGAAGTGGGCAGTGCGGCTGCAGCCAGCCAGGCCGCCTCCTCAGAGTGGGCTCGCCGGGGAGCAGAGCCCCGTATAGAGGAGGCAGGAGGCGAGGGTGGGGGCCGAGGTCTGCTGCCCCCCTTTGGTGCCTCCCACACAAAGCTAAAGCGACAAGGGGGTCCAGGGGGGGCCCGCCCGAGACCTGGCCGTGTGGGCAGCGGCCCCGCCCAGGCGTCGGCAGGACCAGCAGCCTCACTGCAGCTCTGGCCCGGAGGGAAATGATCCCAGAAGGCCTGGCTCATTCTGCATAACTTCTGATCGTCCCCCAGATCATTTAGAAACGTGAAGAGGACTCACCTTCATCAGAAGAAATTCATACACGGTCACAACCTGCGCCAGCTGGGGCAGTGCCAACTCCACCAGGTCCTGCTGGTCACACTGGTGGAGAAACTACCAGAAGAAGGCGTCTGACGCCTCCGAGAGCCCACAGGCATCTCCCAGCAGCCAACAAGGGGGTGCGATAAACACGGGAGACAGGAAGTCCCCGAAACCTCAGCAGTGAAGCAACTCTCACCACGGATGTCCCGCCGTGGTGAGCAGCACCCCCGCCCACCCTCTCGCACAGTCCCGTGATCAGTCCTGGCCTCAGAGAAGTTGATGCCCTGCGACAGCCCCGAGCATGCGTGGAGACCGGGTTCTGGACAAGGACATGGCTCTGGGGACACCCCTGCCCTCCCCTGCAGCCAGCGCCAGAGATGGAAATGCAAACGAGCCCTGAGGCGGCCAGTCAGGACACCCGAGCCGAATGCAGGCGGGAGAGGAGGGGGACCCGGAGTCGCTGGGCATTTTACTTGTAAATTCAGAAGCCTCATAGCGAACTGCCACACGGCACGCCAGACGGGTTTCAGGAGCAGAGTCTGAGAGCCACGTACCTCCCGGAGGCGGGTGCTGCTCCTGGAGGTACGCTGCAGGGCGGCGGCACCGGGCTGTGCGGGGGCCGCGGCGCAGCCCCCCGTGGGTCCTGGGTGTCTCTCGGCTTCCGAGAGGGCTGAGCAACTTCCGCCTGCTGGGTCCGACACCGTCGCCTCTTCAGCTTCTACAGACTGACCATTCTGGATGGTGTTGGAAGGAGCAACACAGGACGGACATGCCCAGCACGTCACTGCCCAGCGAGTCACTGCTGGTGCCCGAGGCAGCAACCCTGCGGCCCGCTGTCCCCCATCCCGACGTCCCCGAGACCCTCCGCCAGGTCAACCAAGGGCGAGCAGCAAGCAGTCTTACCGCCCGGACTGAAGAGGCGGCCCCCTACGCCCGCCACTGCAGACAGAGCACACGCCTCGCTCGCCTGGCCGAGGGGCTGGCGGGTGGGGCCTCAGGTTCCCCCCACGATGACTGGGCTTCTGCGTGAGCCTCAGCCTGACCCCCCCCACCCCAACACGGCAAAGGTTCGCTTCAGGTGACGGGCGGCGACAAGAACACGGTGACCAGACAGAACCGTTACCTGCAGGCCACCCCGTGCTGACGGCAGGCCCTGGGCGACGCTCCTGCCGGCCTTCCCGCGCGGCGACGCCTCAGGCTGGGGCGGGCCGTGGCCCGGGTGGAGTCTGAAGTGCCGGGCCAGCCCCCCCCTCCCTATGTAGGACTTGGCGCAGGCCTGGCACCCGAAGGTCTTGGGCCGCAGGGAGCAGCTCGGAAGGTCGAAGAGCGCCGGCTGCTCCCGCGGCCCCTCCTCCTCCTCCTCCACGCTCAGCTCCGCGTAGTCGTCCGAGTCCGACGGGTGGCCGTCGGCCAGGTCCTCCATTTTTATGAACTTGTAATCTTTGGCCTTGTGCTTGGGAGGTCGAGATATCCGCCCAGAACGTGTTTTCACCTTTAAAGTCTTTTTCGGTTTCTCAGGGTGCTTCGTGTGCAGGCTGGGGATAAATAAATTTGCTGACCTGGGTGAAACGGGGGTCACTGCCAGCGGGTCAGAGGCAGACTGAGGGGCCGGCGTGGCACCCGGTCCGTTCAGACCCGGGGGGACCTCGGCTCTCTTCGCAGGGACTGGTCGGAGGGCGGGCAGCGGCCTCTGTGCGGGCGCCCGAACAGGAGGCTGTGGCTGGGTGCTCAGGAGGGGCCGCGCCCCAAGCAGCTGAAGACTGGGGACCCTGGGCCCCAGCACGCTGCCGTGCCGCCCAGGCAGCTGGCTCGGCCTGGCCGTCCGGGGCTGGATGGCGGCCAGTCGGGGCGTCGGCCTCTCCGGACCTTCCGTTTCCCCAGGCGTCACCTTGACACAGACGGCTTCCAGCTGCTTAAAGAGAGAAGACGCGTTTAGCTCATCAACGGCTCCGCAATTCTGTTCTCACCTTAAATCCACTATTGAGAGTTTTTCTAAATTACAAAATGCATCTCACACATATACAAGTCTGTGTATCTGCACTTTGCAGAGTGATGTTTCCTAATCTTTCTGACCAGAGTGGCATCTTTTCCTTCACAACCATAGGTGAGGACAGCAACATTTGCATATGTAAATAATATTACAAGTTCATGAAACTACTTACCATTCCTGCATAAATGCCTCCGATTATATCTACCGTACTATCATAATCCACTGAACTGATTTCACGACCTGCTAATATCCTCCCTTACAGGTTTACAGGTGTATTTACTTGGAGTTCTGTGCCCTAAAGTGGACGCAATTCAGCATGTAGGCTCGCTTTTAAAAGTCTAACGACGTTTTAGAAACCCAAACAGCCACAAAGAACCAGGCCCCGGCGCCCGCCCCGCCCCGCCCCGCCCGGATGCGCTGCTGACCATCCTCATGCATCTTTCATATTACATGTGGCCATCCCTAAAAATACGTAGTTCAGTTTCGACATGTTTTTAAACTTTGTATAATTTTTTAAACTTTGTATAAATGCATATCATCTCCTGCGACTTAGTGGAGCTTTTCACTCGCTCTGTTGCTTGTGAAATGCGTCCGTGTCGAGGCGGGCGGCTCTGGGGGTTCCTCCCCGGCCGTGTGACCCCAGCACTCTCCCGAGCGTGGATCGGTGGTCTCCAACCCTGTACTCTGGGGTCTGCTGTGAGCCTTCACGCTCGTGTGTGTGTGTGTGTGTGTGTGTGTGTGTTTCTCCAGGGCACATCTGTAGTAGGAGCGGGGCTGTAATATCCTCAATGAGCTGTTTTAAAAACACCGAACAAACTTCGAAACACTCGTGCTTTTGGCCCAGCCATTCCGCTCCCTGAACCCCGCATGAAAGCCTAGCACAGGCGGAGAGACACGCGCCTGGGTGCTCCAGGCAGCACCCACCGTCCCTAACAGCAGGGTGCCCACCGAGGGGGGCACTGTGACCCACGACGACCCACAGACAGTTACTGGGCAGTGACCATGTGCCCGAGGTAATGGTCTGGGTGTCAGGGACACGGCTGTCCTGGGCTCAAGGCAGGGGCGGCGCGGCAGCGTCCCTGCCCTCACAAAGCAGGTACAACGAGTGGCCCTCTCCAGGGGGAGAGGAGAGATGAACCTCGTCGGCCTGGGCAGGCTTTGCCAACCCCGGCACGGCTGGCACCTGGACCAGTAATGCTGTCGTGCACACAACAGGGTGTTGACAGGCAGCCCTGCCTCTGTCCGTGGGGCACCAGCAGCACCCCCCACACTGCGACAACCAGACATGTCTCCAGACATTGCCAGTGTCCCCAGACAAGAACCACTGATCCGGGGCCATCGACAGGCCCTCTTTAGACCCCCCCTTTTACTAAATGGAGGCCGATAACGACAGTTAGATTTACACTGCATGTTGAGAACCACATTTGTTTCACTTGGCTATCAGTCACTTAAAATGTTTCTCCAAGCTCTAAGGACATTGCCTGGTAAGGCCGTTAAACCCAGGTTTCCACACGTGTGCACACGCACGCACGCACGCACATGCACACCCTGTGTGCGTGCACCAGACCCTATTGTTTGAGGACTGTCACCGCGGCAGGCGGCCTGAACGTTTCACCTGCCGTGGACACTAGTCCACCGTGCGGGCATCCGACGGGGCGCTTTGTCGTGTGCTCGCTTCCCTCGGCGGACATTTCCCGGGCCTCTCCGGGCGCCAACACTCGAACGTGAGCAGAGCCCGGCCGCCCCCTGGGGAGGTGGGCAGTGTCCCTGCCCTGCCTCAGCTGACCACCCGCAGACCAGCTGGATCAGACCTCCTGCCCCAGACCTGTAAGTGCGAAGGCTCCCCTGCTGACTCGGAAGGCAGACCGGGCCCCCAAGGAGCGCAGCCGGGGAAACAATGCCACCATGCACGCGCACCAGGGGCAGCGAGAGCGGCAGGGGGCAGGGGCAGCCCGAGAGGCTTCCCGGGAGAGGCGACCTCTGCGGGGGCCGGGGGCTGCGCAGAACTGTCGCCAGGTGAAAGGGCATCCTAGGCGTAGGGAGAAACGACAGGGCTCGGCCTGTCAGTGGGAGGAAGCGATGTTTCTGTGGGGCAGGAGCGGGGGCGGGGGGCGGGGAGCAGTGGGGAGGGACGGGAGCCGAACTCTGACCCTCGGGAGTGTGTATCCACTTGGCCTTGGCCTTTCACCTGACCCCCACCACCCACCCCACCCTCAACGCTGCCTCTCAGCCCCATGCGCTTTCAAAGGGCACCCACCCTTCCGAATCTAGTTCGGCCGTCACCTGTGCCACCAGGTTTCCTCTGGTCCCTCAGCCGGAAGTGGCCTCTCCCTTCCTCCAAGAGTGTCTCTAGCTCTCGGTGGTCGGAAGTTACCTGAGGCCCCTTTCACCTCCCTGGTTAGATTACACCCTCCTGGGGGGCAAGGCACACCCCCGGTTTGCCTTGAGGCCTCCAAGGCCCAGCTGGGGCTCAGCGAGGATCAGCCGGATGGGCCGCCGGTCACATTATTGTGAATTTGGGCAGAACTGAGGTCGTCCTGATGAGATTAGCTACAGAAACAATGGGGCCGCCTAACTCCAATTAACTTTGCTTTCATTTGATGGAAAATGTCATTCTGGAACTTTTTCCTAAGTTGCCACTCCAAACCCAAAAAACTGTGGCCACCTTCAACAGGCCCTGGAATGCAGCCACACCTGGGGGACCCTGGGCCAAGCTCCTCAGCCTCTCTGCGCGTGCTCCTCGACCGTAAAATGCTGATGCAAACGCTTCCGAGCGCGCTGAGAACCAGGCGGCCCAGCACAGTGCCAGGCGCCGCGCAGCGTCTCTGCAAACAGCAGCCACGGTCCTGGTTCTGCCTCCAGGGACATGCTGTGCCCAGCTTACGGGGAGGCATTGGTCTCCACGGCAGAGTAAGACCCAGGAAACTCACCCAGTGAACCATCCCTCTTGCAAATAAGGAAACCAGAGGCCCAAGAGATTGTTATCCACAGTCACAGCTTTGGGAAGGAAGCATTTGGGCAGAATCATAGTGGTTTTGGCCCTCGGGGGCTACACTGGACCCTCTGGGCTTGGGAGCCCCTGCTGCAGTCCCTCCTGCCCCGGGAGCCCGCAGCTGTGTGTCCCTGGAGATGACGCCACTGAGAAACGGGGTTCTGTCGTGTACCGAGTGCTTCTGCACATTTCACACACGAAGCGCGCGCCAGGCGCCGTGCTGGGCACTGCGTTACAAACCCAGGGCGCCAGGTCCTGCGCCGGGCACCACCACGGACTTCGTTCTGTCCCGAGTCGAGTCACTGCACCTGCCACCCGGTTCCTTTCAATCCAACCAGGTCTCCGGTGTCGGGCCTAGGGACGGCTCGCTCTAAAGCGGCCCCTCGTCACTCCTCGAGTCTGTCCCGCGCTCCCCGTGTAGGGCGTGTACGCACTAGGTCCCAAAACGTGCGGACTGCGAGACACGGGCCTGGGAGAGGGGCCGTGGGGCAGAGAGGGCGTGCGGGGCTTAGTGTGCGGACTCCGGGCTCTCAGGCGGGCGCCTCCGGCCTCTCGGCCCCGCAGGTCTGGGCCGTGCGGTGACGCGGAGGCGCGCCCCACCCCCGGCCTCAGCTCCCCAGGTCCCTCCCGGCGCCTCACCTGAGGCGGCAGCAGGCGCGGCGGGCGCAGGGGCTCGGAGCCCGGGCCACGCTGCAGGGCGGCCTGCTGGGCCGCGTCCCGCAGCCGCCGCACCGCGTCCTGCAGCACGAAGGGCGGCGGCGGCGGCGGCGGCGGCTTGGCGGGCGGCTGCGACTTCGTCACCTGCTCCAGGACCCGCCGCAGCTGCTCGGGGCCCAGCGGGGCCACGCGCACGGCGCTGCCGCTCCGGGAGGGGGGAGCCCGGCCGCCGCCGCCACCGCCCTCGCCGCTGCCCTTAGCCTCCGGCTCCGCGCCCGCCATGGCGGCCGACGCGGGGATTCGAACCGCCGCTGCTGAGTGACGGCGGCTCCAAAGTGCGTCAGCTGGAAAAGGGGCGGCTACGAGTGCCCCGCAAGCCAAGAAACCTCGGAAGGCGGCCGCCGCGGGAGCAGGCGGTGGGCGGGGTCCGAGAGGGCCACGCCTCTTCCCGCTTTATCGACTACCCAATCAGCCAATGAGGGGACGCCTGTCGTGGCCTTAACCTCCGGAGGTCACCTTCTCCAGGATCTGTCCAGGGTCTCCTGGGCGGAGATCTTCGGGGTCCCAGCGCCCCCGACCTGACATCACACTACCCAAATAGTCTCAGCGGCTCGTGCGTCAGAGTCCCCTGAGGATCCTGTCTGGACTTGTGGATTCCTAGTCCCCACCCCCAGACCTTCTGAGTTAATAGATCTGGGAAGGAATTCTAAATGTGCATTTCTAACGAGTGTACTCCCAAACCCCAAACTGTTCCCAGGGCGAGCCACCCCACTCTAGCCACTCACCCAGACTGGGCGCACGAGCCCCGACCCAGAGCGCACCTCCAGGAATGAATGATGGGTGGATGAATAGGAATGAATGAATGAATGGGGGGACCAGCTAAGAAAGCTTCCCACCCTTGTGCACATTCCGTCCCCAGCTCTGCCGCCCCCTCTCTTCAGCCCAGCATTTCCCACTCCGCTCTCCCTTTGCTCTCCTGGCTCTGTGAGTCCTGGAGCTGCCGTTGTGTGCCTCGGTCCGTCTCAGCTTCTCTCCCCAAAGAGGAGAGAGAAGGGCCGTAAGTCAACTAACACTTATTCAGCGTCTGTCCGATAGCCTGCCTTCCGTAGGTCAGTTTTGGCAGGAAATAGAAAGAGAAAACTGGCATTTGCAGTATAATGTTGTGAGCGCCATCATACCCCTAAGGGGGAGGCTGAGGGCAAGGCTGGTGGGAGAGAAGGCTCTGGAAGACTTTCGGATCATTTTTCTCTCCACAGGACCATCATCATCATCATCATCATCATCATCATCATCATCACCACCACCACAATCATCAGTACCTCTGTTACATTCACCTGTGCTCTCTGCAGCGCTGTAACTCAGTTCATTAGGGGCCTCACTGAGGACTGGCCAGAGGGGAGGTCAGGTTGTGGAATTCGTTTCAATCAAGTTTTACAAGAAAGCCCTCCTCATCCTCTCATCCTCGGATGTCGGAAAGGTTCCCTCTGACCCCTAAGCCAAGAAGGTCCCCCTTCATCCAGGACCCCACTTTGTCACCTTTTCAAATGTTGGGGAAGAAAAACTTTTCCTCTACCCACTTAAGCTATTTGGGGGCGGGGTGGGGGGGGATCTGCCAATTAAAAGGACAAAAGACAAATTTACAAGAGAAGAGACAAAAATTTGACGATGCCTTTTTATTAATGTACCTACCAGAAGTTCCCAGGAAAACGTGAGTCAGAGGCAGGTGGAATGCGCGGCTTACACGCTGTCTGCGTGGGGGAGGGAAGGAGAGAAGGGCGCTCGGGGAAACGCACGACTGCTGGGGCCGGTAGCGCGAGCTGGGCTGGCTTTGGGGCCTGCCTAGGTCGGTGCGCCGCCTCCGGCGATGAGGGCCCCCAAGGGCAGGCGATTGATGACGGCTGAATCCTCTGGAGTTCTTTAGGAAGGCTCCGCCTTTCGGCAGAAAAGACCGGGAACTCAAATGCCTTCTGCTCAAAATACTTTTTCCGTCCCAGAGACATAGTCTGGACCCCTTCGAGGCCTGGCGCGTGACAGCGTGCACTCTGCGGGCAGCCCTCTCGGCTGCCTCCTCCTCTGTGCGCCCCTGCATGTGACAAGGAGCCTGACACAGACGCGACCTGCCGGAGTCTGACCGGGTGTCAGCAACCCAGGCTCTCCTTCTAACCGGCCGTGCACCGGGACAGCGGGCCGGTTGCCGGCGTCCGTGCGCACCGGAGCAGCTGCACGACACCCCGAGACCGGGCCTGGGCGTTTCGCCGTGGCCGGCGGGCCTGAGCTGTAACCTGAGTCCGAGCCAACACCTGCCTGAAAAAGGAACGAGTGGCGTAGTAGATGTTCTCACCGGAGATTTTCCCAAAGTGGCTGGAGCCCTTGCAGGACCCTGATACGAAACGACACCGACCCTGAAAAGCTGGCTTTTGTTCAAGTAAACACGCCTGACCACACCTGCAGACCTGAGCGCGAGTGGCTGCAAATTGCGGGCCCACGAGGGAGAAATACGAAGCCCAGGGTCTCTCTGAAAAGCAACAAAGGGGCAAGAGAAGGTTTCCAAGGCGTCCACAAGGAGACCGCCTGGCTCAGCGAGTGGCGCTACCTGCGCGGGGGCTGGCTCCGGTGTCTCCCACCTCCCGATCTGCTCCGGGCCCCCGCGCGGCGGGGCACGCCCTCGGCTCTCCGTACTTGTTTGCAGGGGGAATGAATTCCAAGTCTGGCTTTCGGCTCTACGAACTCCGGAAGACCGGAGTCTCCGCCGAAGGCCCTCGGAAGCCCTGCACCGGGAAGCAACGGGTGGCAGCGCTTGAGAGCACCCTAAAAAAGCCCCGCAGGGAGGCCACGCGTAGGCGGGACCCTGCCCCGCCTCCTCCCGGGCCGTCTGCGACCACTCTAGACAGAGTGCGGAATCGTTCCGCGACTCTCTCTGGTTTGCACGCGGTTTGCAGCTCTGGAAAAGAGCGTTTTTCAAAATACCGGAAGTGTAAAGCGACTAGTAATTTGATTTAAAAAGTGAATTGCACCTGGCCCGTACGGGGATCGAACCCGCGACCTTGGCGTTATTAGCACCACGCTCTAACCAACTGAGCTAACCGGCCGGCTGGCGTCAGAAAGCCGCCAGAGCCTCTATGAGGAAGCCAAGCCTGCGCCCGGCCAGCCAAGCGCGTTCAGGCTGACTCAGCGACGCCAGTTTCCATCCGATTTCCGCGGTACCTGTCGTGGTTCCCTGCAGCCGGAGAAAAACCTGAGAGCCCGGAGATTTCCAGCAGAAGGGAGGCGGCTCCTCAGAGCGAATGGGAGGCTTTCACAGAGAAAATGCAAATTGCACTTTGGAGCCCTGGCTCGGGAGAAAGGTTTTCAAATAGTGCATCTCAATGCTGTTTTTTAATCGTCGAGAATCTTTGCAGCTTGGAAACTTCGTGTATCCACAGCTTTTTGGTATGGCTAAATAAAGCTTAGAAAATAACGTAAAACCCGAGAAAGGACAAAAGAACCACCAAATTCCCCACCTCCCGGTAGTAACCGCCGCTGGGGTCTTGGCCTCCTTCCTGCCAATTTTTTTTTTTTTTTCACTGTGCAGGGGTGTGTGTGTGTGTGTAACTCTATGTATATGTATGTACATATGTGTGTGTGTGTATATATACACACGCCCCAGATAGATAGATATAGATATAGATATAGATATAGATATATCTGGAATTCAATGTAACCTTGCTTAAAAGAATATAATTTTTAATCTTCCTTTTTGTATTTAATATTCTCTCATAAGCCTATCCTTAAATAATTGCAAATGGCATTTCAAATGGTTCCTCCGTGTCTCCTCGCCCTTTTTTAGTGTCTGGAAAATGTTTTCATTTTGCCTCGCGTTAACTAGCACACGAATAAATCATGAACTAGTTGCTGGGTGGGCAACTGACAGTATTCGCGCCAAAGGAATAGGATCTGTATGTAGTAGTAGTAGTAGTAGTAGTAATAATAATAATAATAATAATAATAATAATAATAATGTTGGGAAGATCTGGGCGGAGGGAGCTGCCGGTGGCGGCAGGCGTCTGTCCGTTCGTTTTCATCAGAATGCTCAGAGCCTAGCGAACTGTCTGGAGTAGGAGTCAGACGGACGAATGAGCTAGCTCCAGACTCATCCCACGTTGCACGACGAAGTCACTTCTCTGTTCAAACGCTCCCCTCTGGCCCGGCCCTGATCCGATTGCCAGGTTTAGCCAGTAATTTCATGTAAGTATGCCTTATGCAGTATTTGGGACATACTTACACTAAACCGGCATTGGTTGTTTACCTGAAATTCAACTTTGGGAGTCCTGTTGGCAACCCTGCACCCCAAAGTAGCAGCAATTCGAACGACACCCCACCCCAGTCTAGCCCTGGCCGGGTGGCTCAGCCGGTTAGAGCGTCGTTTGCATGTACCAAGGCTGCGGGTGGATCCCTGGCCAGGAGTCAGCCACAGAACGCATAAATCAGTGGAAAAACAAATCGATGTTTCTCCCTCTCCCCCTCCCTTTCTCCCTCTTTCTCTAAAATCAATCAATAATTTTTAAAAAAAAATTAAAAAGAAAGACCCCATCTAACCTGCCCTTTCCCCCGTTTCCTCTGCTCCAGCCCCAGCGGCCCCACCACCCTCCCTCCCGGTACCTGCTCACCAGGCCGTGGGGCTTCTGTTCCTGCGTCCTGGCCCCCGGCCCCCGAGTCACCGCCCAGGCCGCCTCCCTCGTCCCCTCTAGGTCCCAGTGCGTCAATGTCACGTCAGTGTCAGCAAGCTTCCCAGACCCCTGTTTTTACAATCGCGACCCGCACCCAGAATCCCTCTGTTTCCTCCAGGGCTTGCTTATGCCTTGAACTGCAGGGGCGCGCTGATCTCTGTTTTGCATCACAGGCACCTAGAACAGTGCCTGGCGCTGAGCAGGTGGCGATGAAGGCGTGTCGAGTGAAGCTCAGGTGACCGTCATCCGTTAGAGGTCCGGCCTTAACGCACTCGGGCCGGAACCCCATCCACGTTTGCTGAGCGGGCGGGGAGGCGGGTCCCACGGTCTGAGAGACGCAGTGACTGAAGGCCGACGGCAGGGGGCACCCGAGACCGACGCCGTGGCTCCTCACCCGGAGGGCGCCTGGCTCCTCCGGACCGGAGGTGATGGGGGGAAGGGGATTGCGGGGCCCTGCTCTTCTCCCAACCCCCTCTCTGACTTCTCCCACCGGTTCTCACTCCGTCTACCTGCTCTTCCGAGACAAACGAGTCCTAATTTTCATTCTCTGAGCTGGGAAAACGCAGATACATGAGCAGAGTTAAATAGTACAGTGTTAGTATTCGAGTTTTT